CGGTAAACTAGTCGGACGATATATATTATGTTCTGCCACTTCTTTTGCCGAATTCATTGCGCAAAGAGTATAAACACAGACTTTACCTTTGATGAAGACTGTTAGTTTTCGATTATTTGTAATACACCGTTGTAGAGAAGTGAATGCTTGCCGTTGTTCTGGAGTATTCACCGTGCCAATAAGTGCGTATACTTTTAATTGGGGAAAAGGAAGCACACACGCATCACACCCACGCATACACACACATACACACAGACACACATATATATATATATATATATATATATATATATATACGAGAGAGAGAGAGTGAGAGAGACAGTTAAGCCTCCGCTTGTACCAACTTAACGAATCAATAATCGGTGCGAGATGTCGACACGATGTCGTTTCGAAGTAAAGAAACTACACTATATATATAAACATACATATATATATATATAATGGGATTTATGTAACTTCTCTCAGAGTACGGAGGAGAAACGTTCATCGCGTGGAAAAGAAAAAGAAAAAATGATTTCGCGATATTGCGCGCTATCGGGGTTTGAAGTACGAACGAAGAGAAGGAATTGTTAACAATTATAAGGAGTAGTAGTTTTTTTGTTGTTGCTTGTAACGCGACTCGTCCGTCGTCGCGTCGTGCGCTGCTGTTCACAAGAGAAGTAATTTCGAAGTATTCCGACAGAGCGAGCTTCGATCGAGTATATTGCGTAAAAAGTGCACCATGGGTACTCTTAAAACGCCGATATTTACTTTTAACCACACAAGCCCCACGTTGTAAGCCACACAAGTGAATGGCGATGAACATTTTACATTATTAATATATGCCTAAGCCAGGGGAGATCGAGACAATAAATGTAAACCTGTTACACTGAGAATACTGCGTTTTTCTTTTTTATTTGCTGATCAATCCGCAGGGTGCTGGCTATTAGAACGTTTATATATGACTATCTGTTTCCATGCACTTTGTTTTACGTGGTAATTTGTCTTCCATCCGAGACACACTTCTGGTAATCACATGTCACTTGTGTTTCACATTGCGTCGCACTGTCGATCAGTAATGCTGTCCCTATGTTCGCGCCCCAGTCAAATTTTCTTACAATGGGATTTTAATCTCAAAACACAGTCCGTAGCTATCGTTGTTTTCTTTTATTTTTTTATTCTAATCATAAGCATCAGCGTTTTAACACGATACACCGCAAAATCATATCATACTGTGCAAATCTTTGTTCTAATATCATAAAAAATGAAGCATCACTTCGACTGCTTTTAAGAGGTTATTCTATTCTAGAACGCAATTGTTTAGTGGCTCTTTAGAATTTTGTACAGGAATGTTTAATGCTTTCGAAGTTATGGTAATTCTTTAAATTCAAAGAATTTAGTTTTAATTTTTTTTTTAACGTCCTAAAAAAAAAGTAAAAGGCATCGAATTTGGTAAATCGTAGATGAAGATTGTCTTCAAATGTGTTAGAGAAAAAAATAGATTTTCTTAAAGTTTTAGAATAGAATATCCGTTTGAAGTGAATTTTGTGTGTAATTAAAGTATTTGGTTTAACTTTGCTTGAATAGGGTATACATACGAATTGCCATTAACATCGAAGCACTTGCTTAGAAAACAACTAGTTCGAAGGCTAACACCGGGCATGTCACGAGGAAAATTAGGATATCGTATCAATCGACTCCGATCGCAGCGTGATATATGAACACCGGTACATGTACGTGGTTATACTGTGGAACACAATGTTTGTGATGTACTTAACGGGTCGTAAAACAGTGATTATTTTCAATGCTTTGATGGTCACTTTCGGTGTTCGTTCGAAAGATAGTATTTATAGAGACACGAAAGAAAAGAAGCAGTGAAATCTGATAGCTGTATATAGTACTAGCCTGTACTGACCTGTAGCACATGGATGCGTGAGCGCAAAGCGATTGGTGGATTGCGAGATCGTATCGAGACACGATTTAAACGAAAAAGTATTTAAATCTGCAAAGAGGGAAAAAAAATATTTTTAAAAATAATTACCCATGAGGGATGACACGTCGAGTTTCTCTGTTTACAATTTTTTCTTAACTCATAATAATATTTTCTGATTGCCGTTCGCTCGGTGAGGTGTGCGTGAGTGGGGGGCAGGCGGCGCACACGGTATGCGCAAGAAATTTTCGTCTATTATTATTATTATTATGTATTTATTTCTGTATTTTATTTTATTTATTCATTTATTTATATTTATTTTTTTCGTATTAATTCTTTTTTTGCTCGATACGGGCTTCATTTTTTTACGTAACGTCCATGTGTTGTGGGTCAGAGCGCCCTGGAAATGTGGAACCACACTTCTCTTTACACGCGGTTCCCAAATCAAACCGTTTCTCTCTTCCTAGTTCTTTCATATCCTCTCTTTAAGTTTTGTGTTTCACGAGCCCAGCCCCTTCACGACGCACCGTCACCGCGCTGCGCTAATTAGTTTACGCCAGCATGCACGGAATAAAATTTGAAAATGAAACATTACCAAGATATCTGAGCTTCTTTTTAGATTACCGATTGAAGGTTGAACTAAAATACTGCCGAAAAGTGGTATGTTTTAGTGCCAAAAAAATGGTAATGCATTGTTTCGAATAACGTTGTGATGGAAATATTTTCAAAGTCGGATTAATGTGCATCTTATTCGGTCGCGAAGAACGACCGAGATGTATTGTTGTTATTATTGAAGTATTGCGGCGCGGGGACGGTGCCGTTCCCAACTCGACGTTGGGAATCTGGAACGCCCAACGTTGAAATTGTCAAATGCCGTAGTTGCCTCGAAGCTTCTGACTCTTACGTTCCAATTCTGACGGTTCCAAACATTCAAACATATTTACATATTTAGACGATCGTCGTGTGCATACGCAAACTTTTAATTTATTCTTTAATCCTTTGTACTCTGAGCAATGTCCGTAAATCTAGCGTTAATTCAATTTCTGGTATCATAAACAATGTGCAAGGGGTTAAAGTGAATAATTTAATATTTTTCTTTTTTTACACGATACGTCTGGAATATTTTCTTTTACGAATGATGATTTTCTTGTACAATCTTCTTGTCAATTACACACCGAGTACTTTTCATTTAATCTAATTATGTCGTGTCGAGGCGGGGTTGAAAGTCAACGAGTAGACGTTTATCGTTTTGTCCAGTAACTAGAATATAATATTATATCTACAATATTCACGGTATTGTAGAAAATTGAAATAAAGCTCGACACCTTATTCATGCACTTTAATAAAAAATAAATTAATACTTAGAAATCATCGTACTTGAAACCGAGGGAAGTGGAATTACGGAACCAGATACTTCGACAGCTTCCCACGCTGCGACAATACCAAATTGGGAGTCTCACACTCTCCACGTCGAGTCAGGATGGCGCTGGTCTCGCATTGTAATATGCTTCGAAATATCTCGGTACTGCGAAACGGTCAGATCGATATTTAAATTTGCTTTTTTTTTCGGGATATTTTGGTCTCAACGTTGTTCGAATTCGTGCAGTACCATTTACGGGACATATTCAAACACCGAAATGGTATTAAAAGAATGCAACTTCATTGAAACTTTACGAATACCAAGTATACTGAAAGATCTCTTTAATGCTAAATTTTTTTCCGTGTGTCAGTGTTTTCTCGCCCGAGTGTCAACTCGGGGCCAGCGAACTGCGATTAAATTTCCTCGGCCACGCGCGAATATCTTTCCCTTTAGCACCATCGTCGGTACTGGGTTCGACTTAACGGTCGAAGTTGGACAGCTGCATGAAAATCGAGATTTAAGATGCTTATCCAACGTAGACGTTTATATTTATACCGAGGTTGGAAGTTCGTTTTGTATTGTGCCGAACTTAGAAAAGGACAGCAAAAGAGAAGGAGCGATAAGGCGAGGAAAAGAAATATATCGGTGAGGCAACGCTAATGCATCGACGAAACTTTCTTATTTTTGGTTCTTTTTTAATGAAACTTTTAGTATGATAATCGTGAGATTTTTCTGATTAAAACGAAACCAAACACGCTATAATACAAATTGTATTTACAATCTACTCCCGTATAACGCGGTACGGATATATTAGAATGAAATCGTGTTGCAGAAGTGCTGCGTTGTATTAAATATACTCGGGTCAACGGGACGAGTCAGTGAAGAAAAACAAAGTGCTCGATGTGGTCGTGGGCTGTCAAAGAACACTCGGGAGTCACATTTAGGAACGTTTGTTTACGTTTGCTGACACGTTGGCCCGAGTATACTGTTTACATTTTACTTACAATTAATAAAATTCTATCGTGTTTGACGTGTATTTTAACCAGGAAAGATTCGCAAATACGTTGGCAAAAGTTTCGTTAAAAAAAAACCTTAATAAAAAAGTCTTATTGGTGGATTAGTCTTGCTCCACCGATATCTAAAGTCGGATCAGGTTTCATTGCCCGTCACGCGTCAAGGGGAATCCCTCTACGTGGCGATGACTAACGGACAGTAACGGTTGCTCGAATAAGCTTTTCGGAACCTTGTTTCGCGTTGCAGTAGATGAAAAGATAAAATAAGATGGCATTACCACCGCGGATCTTTTCTTGCAGTTATCCAACTTTTGCCGTATTATAATTCTCCCGGGGCAGAAAAATATTAGCTGGACAAGCTCGTTTCCCCGATTGTGAATCACCATAAACAGCCACCCCCCCGTCCCACTTTAACGCCGTCTAGTTTACTTCTCTGTTTGAGAGACAGAGAGCGCTTGCTTGCGGGTTCGCGCTTTCTGCCCTTCGAGTAACAACGGTAGGACAGAGCGAGGAGACGAAAAATGGAGGAGTGGCGGGATAGCTAAATACGATATATGGCTCGAACGTCGCGAGGAAATTTTCTCAGCTCGCTGGTGAAACGCTGAAAGCAGAACAAATAAAAAAAAAAATTTTTTTAAGAAAATGGGCAAGGTATCGCCTGATGGTGGACTTGCCTAACCTTTTACGTGTAACCGGCCTGGTGTTGGTTGATTCGCAGGATCAGACCGAGTCAGCGGCCATACTCAAGATCAAGGAGAGCATGCAAGAAGAGGCGAAGAGGTTTGAAAAGGACTCAGATCACCCCGATTATTTCATACAATAACTCTTCACGAGTCGTTGGGCTCCGAGACCAAACTAACGTTCTAACAAAACGAATCGCAAATCGATCCCCTCTCTTCCTTTTGTCCAGTACTCCTCTCACTGTACTTGTGCTCCACGATTGCATCCCGCCCTTCTCTCCTCTCCCTCTACTTCGAGCCGAGGTGTCGAAAAGAACGTGCGAAAATAAACAAAAAAATAAAAAAGATAAAAATTACAAAAAAAAAAAAGTATATATATATAGAGAGAGAGAGAGTCGAGCTCCGTGAGAAAAGTGTACAAGAGATATAGAGGTCGGAGAAGAGTTTTTTCTTCCTCTGCGAAGTGAGGGGGCCCTCGTCCATGAATTTTCGTCCTCTTTGGATTCGGAAAGGACATACCAGTAAAGTAAGAGTTATAAATATTTGAGAGCACTGTTTCATGCAATCTTTTCGCGTTGACGTACATTCTTACAGATGACTGTATATAAATACAATCATCGGAAATCATCGTCGATCGATGACCTTTGTTCACGAGTGGCGACGTATCGGCCTCGAGACGCTTCGAATCGCTTTCGAACGTTGGCTTCGACGTTCGGACGAGGTCTCAAAACTGTCCGGGCAGAGCTTGGCAGATTTTGAAAGCACGTTCAAGATCGGTGAACGTTCGGAACGATTCGAAGCCGCGCACGATTAAAGCTGCTTTAAACGAAAAATCGACCGCCCGTCGTCGCCATTTGTAAGTCACGCGAGCGAACCCGTTTCGACGTCGTTTTTTTTTTTACCATTGAACGGTAATCGTCTCTTAGCTATCCCCACTCCTTCGTCTCCTACTCTCTTAGGGATCCCGATTTTGTTTCCTAAATAAGTAAGTGCTTCCTTATTGGCTCTAAGTTGAAAGAAAACACTATATTTTTTGTACAGTTCGAGGAACGTTGTTTCAGCAGTAACGTGTGTAATGTTTTTATACGAGAGTAGTAGTCGTTCCCCCCTCCTCCCTTCGACTTGGTTTGAATGGTATCGATTCTAATGCACGTTTCGTGGAGTATGGAGCGACTGATCGCGACGTTTCATCGGTTTCCTCGATCGTCGATGCGTACGGCGGAAGGGTGATTTCCAACGTATCGAATTCCAAAACAGACCTAACTGTGATAAGACGAATCTAACGCGAAAGAATCAATGAAAATTTGTTCTTTTTTTTTTTTTTTTTTTCCTTGGTACAGCGAACTTAGTTGAGCTTTAGAACATCGACGAACAACATTCAGTCTTGGTAAAGCGTACACTCGGAAGGGACACCGTTACCGTTTACATTCTTAGAAGCAAATAAACGTTTCTGTTGCGTAAAAGTATTCGGTGTACGATTTCGGTTGTGGACTCACTGTAACAATGAACTCCAAACGTCGACGAAACGAGATTTTCGTTTCCGTCGAAACGGTCGAAACGTTTCGCGGAATATTCTCGACGCGAGATCGATCGATACCGGGAACCCAGATACGAGAGCGGCTCGAGCTTCTTCTCGAAGCGGAAACCCGTCTCATTTTATTAGAACGCGTTCGATTGTCGCGGACGGTTCGTGAATTATAGAAATATCATCGAAACATTACGTAACCAATGAAATTTTTAAAAAGCCGATAATTGTATAAATAAAGAGATTAAGCTCCGATGGTCTTTAACTTTCATATATTATCAAGGACAGTCTCCTTAACGCGTTCACTGTCCGGTCTCCCAGCGGCGTATCCAATAGCATGGTGATGTGACCCATATACGGGTCATAGACAGTGAACGTGTTGAAAGAAGAAAACATTAAAATTTTATTAACAACTTTTCAAAGAAAAACAACCGACAGGTAAAGTTGCTCCAGCATAACTCGAGAGACTGTCCACGACGATGTGTGTGAAGGTCAAAGTCATCGGAATTTAATTCCTTTATATAATTATCAGGAGCCCCCGGTAATCTCTGATCGAAACAGAATTCTTTCCAGCATTACGTAACGTAGAAAGCGCTCTTTCCTCGTACGCCGAGCAATCGATCGATCTTGCGCAAAGATTGTACGTCAGCGCAGCGATTCGCGAGCATCGGTGGTGTGGGTGTAACACCTGAAACGCTCGTATCGTTATTCGTGGCATCGTTCTACGATCAATCAATGCCGGTTATTCCTTCCGAGAAAAAGCGTCAATATCTTCCACGAAGTTGTAATCCGTTGACCCAAGAGAGAGAAAGAGAGAGAGAGAGAGAGAGAGAGAGTGTGTGTGAGTGAGTGCAAACGTTTTCGTCGTGTTTCTTTCCGTTAATAAGTACGTATAAATGCAATTTTAAAGGGATCCCGATAGATGCCGGTAGGATCGGTCAACGGAATTATCGATATTATCGCGTGCGAGATAAAAACGAGTTCTTAATTTATTTACGAGAGGGAACAAGAAACACACACGGGGTGTGCGCGTAAGTACATGGACAGACCTTATGCGCGTGCGCGCACGGTGCATGAGAAACCACCAACCGAAACATCCTCCCCGACGATGAATAGAAAAGTAATCGAACGTTAAAACGCCGTGGCGATAGGATCGATCGACCAAACGTGGTCCACGTCAATATGCAGTCGTGTTTACGGAGGACATTGAAGGGCATTGTTAACGCGGTCAAAGCGTTGCGATCTCTACCAAATCGTTCCGCATCGAGGATCGATATTTACTTAACCCGAGAAGCGCACAGTATTGAAAGGCTGCGACAACGCGTGTGTTGTTCTCCGAACGGGGATTGAGAATGTTTGAAAAATAATTGTTTCACGCTGTTGTAATATCGATTTCTGCCGAAACGATTACGAACAACCGAAATAACGTTGTAACTGCTGTTGGGAAACTATCGGATTATATACGGTTCTATACTCGGGCCGACGAGACGAGCCAGCAGACGTAAACAAACCGTCGTCCCTGAATGTACTCGTAAGTCACACGGATATGGCACGAACGCATTGTTTTTTCTTCGCTGACTCGTCCCCGTCGACTCGAGCACAGTGTGTTCAAGAAGGATGGCGAGTAGAAGCGTGAAATTGTCCGAAGATATTTTGAATCGTGTGCTGGCGGAACGGAACTCTATTATGCAATTGGATACTGCAGTTCAATAACCGTGGTACGAACCGTAGCCTATATAATACGAAAATAGAACCGTTGTTCCAACAACAATTGTAACACCGTCTCGATTCTTCGTGACTGTTTCGAGAACGAGAATCGATACTGTAACAGTTTTCAATCCCTGTTTTCCAAGTCGGTACGCAGCGACGTCGTTTATATTCGGTTAGCTCGCGCGGTTATACGCGAGAATTACTCGGGCCAGCTGTGTCCGAGGAACAAAAGGGAACCAAACGAAACGGTTCCCGTCACGTTGTATCTCTAGGATTTAATCCGGCCAGTGTGCATCGATAGTGTTACACATAGACGAATTTTCTATTCGAGACGATCGTTGGTCGTCGATCGCGGATGGGCGAATTTACAACGCGTAACTGCCAGTGTTCGATGGAATTTTATTTTATAGCTTTTTTGTTTTTCTCTCTCTCTTTAACTTAGTGTTATGTGAGTCGTTACGTTCACGTTTATTCGTCGAGTTGCTCGAAACTTCTGTAATCCGAACGAATGTATTCGATATAACCTAACCCGGATTTATAAAACTTCAACGTAAGATATAATATTTAGAAACTTTAACTCGGAGATACCTCTTGCATGATGTTCTACGGGCGAACGATATTAGTAAAATTTACGTTTGAAATCACTGATATTATTGGGCTTGTAGAGTATCGTGGAAGATCGTCCTTGTAATCCATTTTTTCCAACGGAAGCGTCAGGCTGGCGTCCTGTTGGTCGTACGAGCACCAGCTTCAGGGACTTTATACCGGTATTATTATAGCGAAGTTGTATCTAAACCGATATAATATCTTTAAAAGTACAGTTACATATTTTACGTACAAATTATGTACGTATAGACGAAGGCATATATAATTCCCAACGTTTCTTTATTAATTGTCGTGAAAACTGCGATTCCCTAACCTAAAATTTTACATTTAGCATCCGTTCCCTCCGAATTTAAATCTTGCAATTAGTATTATATCGGTTTCGGTACGAGAGACTCCCAGTAAGTATAATAATGAAAATAATACCGGGTTTTGACGTCAACTTGAAGGGAATCTTGTAAATTACAACGTAACCTAAAAACCAGCAAATATATCGATATTTCTGAATTTTCGTTTCTATAAAAATTAGGAAGGCAGAGCCGAGTGATACCGGTATTTTCCATTTCGGTATGAGTCCCTGGCAATGTTGTGTATTTTACGCGGGACGAACGTGAACGTAACCAAAGAAGAACAGGGTGAAACAGGATCGTGACCTGTGTCGGTTCGAAATTCGATCCCATGGAATTACGTAGCGCGATCCGTGATTCGTTCAAGCTCGTAACGGAAATTCGACAACCTGTAATTTTTTTTTACGTTCGCTGTTTACTTCCTGGTCGTGCCTCGAATCCGGGAACGGGCAGCGTGTACATGCACACGTGTATACTATTTCGGCGTATTATGTAAATGTGTAAGTTGTACAAACTGTCGAGTGCAATTCTGATTAGATAACCTATACTACGTTGGAATGCGGCGTTCCCGGTTACTCGCGGGACATTGAGAGATATCGATCTTCATTTCAATAACAAAGTGTTTTTGATTTCGGGCGGACGATTAGAATTTCATTATTTTTCAGTTCCAACTTTGTCGTTATATCCGTTCGTTTAATTTACGTTTGGACGTACCCGAATTCGAAGGCATTTTTTTTGTTGTTCGGTGCACGTTCGAATCTCGATAGTTTCGGAAACGGTCCGCGCCTACTTTTTAATGTATATTTAACCTTCTGCCAAGCGCAAGGATCCGGGCGACGTAGCCCGCAAGATAATTCGCGCGTTCTTTTCAGTTTTCTGTTTCGTTCGTTTGTTCCGATCGTATTTATTCGGGCGATTGTATTACGCGACGAACGAAACGGTGAAATATTTTGTACGTGGTACGCTCTCGAGAGACAACTGTTTCGATGGAAATTTTAACACGATAGATAAAGGGAACGTTGCGTTTAAGGATAGACCAAAAACTTTCGAAGGAAAGCGGTAATAGTATTTACACGATTTTAATCGATCGTCGAGATAACGAGAAAAGAAAAAAAAAGATATTTGTATATTGTTTGGAACGAGAGTTGCTCGTGGTTACAAAAAAAAAAGGAAAAAAAAAGGAAAAGAAAATTAATACGGTACCTCGGTACCGATATTGCGCGTTACGATTTCGTAAGATAATTAGGTACTATGAATAAGTAAGGGTGTTAGGTTGGCAGAAAAGATATAGTGGTCGAGAAACAAAAAGGGACGAATCGAATTATTCGAAAGGGTAATTCCACTGCGATCGAACGTGTGTAAATTAAGATCGATCGATAGGCAAAAAATTAGGTACCGAAGGAAATCGATGAGCCGCCATCGCCCTCGCCCCCACCCCTTCAACGAGTGTTTGCATTGAAAAGTAAACGTAATTTCGTTCTGTAATTATTTACTTGTACGATCATTGTAACACTGACACGGGCTGTACATCTTTGCGGCTGACCTCACGTATTCTTTAAATTCACGCATAATTATCGACATAATTATAGATACCTATACGAGTATAGCATTCAAGTAGCAAGTAATAACGATAAAGTAATTAAATAAATGTCATCTATCCTACTAAGCGCCGATACTATTTTCTGTGTTACACCTTCCGCTCTCATTAGCGAAAATTCCTCGGCCGTTTTTCTTACGAAGAAGTTTCACGCCACGGTGCACGCTCTCGAGGACCTAGAAGATACGTACGTAATTCATTGTTGGGTCGTATCGCATTCATGGGTAAGTCGCATGCCTTTTACTCTTATTTTAACCAAACGAATAAAAAACACTTCGCCCAGTTCGTTTAAATGTCAAGTTTGTTTTAACTGGGGCAGACGTAATTCGATCACCTCCGGTTTTATAACCTTCAATGTCGAGTGTCGAAGGGAATAAAAAAATTAAGGGTAGAAAATTTGAAAAAACTATCGCGTAAACAATTTTAAATGGAACTGTACTATCATTTCGAGATTTGTATTCGTATTTTTCTTAACCTCGAGCAAAATAGCTCGTTCTTTGAGAGGTTAAGTCTGCGAAGAATTTGCTCGACTACTCAACACGTAATAACGCAAAAGGAAGTGAAATAACAAAAATTAAAAGCAAAGAACTTGAAAAAATTGTTAAATAAATAATTGTTATCAAACGTTGGTGAGATTCACAACAGTAAAAAGATGATCAAGATATTTTCAAAGTTACCCAAGCTAGTCTTCGGTTGCATAAATATAAAATTTATTGGATCTTTTGGAAATTTCTCTTAGTATGTCGTGCAGAGACGGACAACATTTTTGCCTGAATAAAAAATAAACAATGTTCATTGCTCATTGAACAAAAATATAACTAATCGAATCAAATTTTTCCAATCTCCAACGTCGTAAAATAAATGAAATTCCGCGCAGAGGGGGGTGTATCGAAATTTTCAGGGTTCCCCTATAACGGTAAATTACAATAAAGGTTAATCTTTAACATAAAGGTTAAGTACACGCGACCACCATGTTAGGAAATACGGGTTTACTAGATTACTGTTTAACTTTCTAGACCCCGTACGATATTAGGTCATTCTGACTGTTTCTCGAAACAACGTCGAGGTATATGTATATCGTCTCTTTTACAAGAGGCTCGACTGCACCGCGAATCAATGACCTGCAGCGCTCCCAAGCGGTGAACCTGATACATTCGTTTATCAATGTCGTAAAGACACGAAGACCAAATTTCTTCGCATCATCCGACGTTCTGTTTTTCGCGGTACTTTCAAGGTAAAAATTTGTACACGGGATGTATTGTGTTTCTTGAATAATTCGAGAATCTCTCGTTCTACATTCGATGATTCGTTTAATCGTAGCGGCTGAACGCTGTGCATCTCGTAACGGTCACGAAGCATCTAGATTTGGGAAATAAAAAAATACGGCTGTTACGCCAATGCGTAGACCGACAGGTTGCCGTTCCACATTCTTCTTTGTACTCGCCCGTGGAAGGATGTTCAATGAGTCGATGGCCTTGACCAACTGCTATAGCGACGTGCATATCCGGAAATGCCTCGATCTCGCTTCACGAGATCCTACAATGCCGAAGGGTCATCTAGCTATGATAGAATAGCAAGTCCATCGTGATACTAATGGAAGAAGTTTTGATACTCTTGTTTAAAATAGCTATGTTCTAATTAAATTCGTTAAAGGACCCCTAGAATTTATAGTGCCATTAAAATTTCGAAAAAGAGTTGGCAGCTCGTGAGCATACACGTCGATCGCGATGTTATCTGGATCGAGAGACGATTGAATTTGTTTTCGACGAATACGATCCTGAAAAAAAAGTTCATTCGTGCGTGTAAGTCGAATAACCATGTACCTTCTCCTTCCAACCCTCGTTGTAGGACAAAACCAGTTCAGAGATTACGTTGTATCTGGAAAGTGACGATTATATTGGAATGCCACGACAGTTACAATCATGACCAACGACTGTTCCGAGAGACGAGGACACAAAGAGCTCGCCGTCTTCGTCCGTTACGAGCGTTTCCCGCTATCTTCGCTTCTATCTTCGGCCAGTCATGCGTGCGCATGCGCAACGATCCGTCCGCGTGCAACAGCATAAATACTTTTTTTCTTAACCGTGGAAAATCTCTTCTTCGTTTTGATGTTCGTCGAGAAATGAATAGAACAAATTCACCGATCGCTAATTTCAACGTAGCACGTAATTCGATGAATAACTTAACCTCGATCTTATCGTTTTTTTTTGTCAGTATAACCACATATTCTCATTTCGGACTGTAGACAAACGTATAGTAGTGGTTTTCAAAGTGGAAAGGAAGGGGGGCTTGGAAGGATGCCTTGCGATTTAAAGGAGGTACGACGTATATTATTAATACGATCAAAAGCTAGTTAACAAGGTTGTCTATCGTTTTTATTCGTTGCTCGGGAATAAAGTTCGACCGACTGTGGTTCGTAGCGAATGTTTGAAAGCGCCGAGAGAAACGATGCACACGTATGGGGTTTCTTGGAGTGTGATTCGACGTGGGATGGCTCGCGCGTACCTTTGGTGGTGACGAGCACAGGCACGTAGCTCCTTATACCATAGCGCGGGTTCAATGTGTTCAGTTTTGCTATGACCGTCGACTGGTCGCGAGACATCCCTGAAACAGGTCTCCAGTTTTGAATCCTGTACGGTTCGTCGTTGCGTCGAAGAAGAAACAGGATACCGCGATGGAGTTTCGAACGTTTATCGTAAGTCGCAAAAGTTATTCGATTTTCTTTTACATTATTTTACGCCTGTTTTATTTTCTACGTGAAGCGCGATTTTTTTTTTTTCAAAGTTAACAGAGATACCGAATAAGTGTGTTCGTTACAGCCACATCGATAATTTTAAATCGCTGCAGAGAATGTAGGTGTAGATCTAGAAGGTGCACATTTATTCTTTGATTTTGTATAGGCTCTTGGTACATACAATCACACAATAATACATACAAATAAGTTTTGTAAAATATTCGATTTATCTGGGACACGTGTAATCATTTTCAAAACAAATTAATTCTGTGTTAATTTATCCGTAACTTTTAAGTTACACTAGTCGTTAGAATAATCGACGGTTGAATTAGATGAAGTTTGAATCATGTAATTGACGGTACAATGTTATTAAGTTCCGTAATTGAAATACACTGTATAATAATTGAGCTAGCACAACCTTGACTTGTAGATAAATGAATGCGCCTATTAGCGTATTATTCGTAGACAGTTGCGGTCGAAACGTACAACTTTAACGTGTCTCGATTAAAAATGCCCATTGTTAGCAAACGAACATTAAATCTTGAATTTCCATAATTCGTAAAATGCGCGGGAATTTTAAACGAAAGGTAAATGGGAGGGACCCGATAAATTCATTACTCTAATGCTGGAGTTGATGCTTATTATAGAAATGTCCCGTATTCAGTAATCGCTGGGAACCGGTATAAAGTAATACCGTTACGCAAATGCGTAATAAACGTCACGTCGGGAAAAGTAACCTTTTTCGTCTTTTTAAACGCCGAGCGTAACGCGACCCATCGGTCCTCGCTCGAGTCAAACGCGCACGCCTTTTCAAAATACAATTTTCTCCCCCCCAAAAAAACGAACACCCGGCACGAAAAAAATTGCCATCGCCAATTTTTTCAACACAAAATTAATTAGAAAATTAATCGAAGATTCGGAAAATTATTTGGCCCGAGTATCACGGATTAATTGTAAGATTAATTTTACGCGTTACGCGGTTATTTTTCTGGTAAATAAATCTTGTTGCCGTGCCGTACTTATTTTTATAAACGTATATTATCTTAACCGTAAAAACTATTATATAATCACGTTTACGATGAAAATAAACAATGCTTGTTAATTCTCGAACCATCGTGCTTTTTATTTTTCTCGAGTACGTATACCAGATATCGCATGTAATGTAGATCCGTCTCGAGATTAATTATAAAATTAATTAAACATTTATGAGGTTACTTAGCGGACGTACGTATTCAAGACATTACGCGCTAGCAATTTTACACTTACTTACGGATTAATTATACGGTTAATTAAAAATTTATTAGTACGTTTTGTTTTATTGCTCGTCCGGATCGAGTAGAAATCTTAATAAAATAAAAAATCCTAGAGTTTGTAATTTAGGGAATCTAAAGAGAAAACTCATGCAACCTAATTTGTTCGAATTGTTGGAACTATGATATCGATAGACGTTTATCTTAAGTATAGTCTTACATAGACGAATTGATACTAACTTGACATGCGAATCAAAATTATATCACCTATAAACGATGCTTCTGCTATAACCGTATTTTGATTGTTTAATTTACTGAGCTCGATTAGCATCGATTTCAGATATTTTCGCTATTCGGAACGACTAACGTTCTAAGTTGTTGCAGCATCGAAGTGCCGTGTAACGATGTACAAAATCTCCATGCATTTTTAGAGAATGAAATAACGAGAACGAAATAACCATTGGTGCTTAGAAAAAAGATTAGCAAAAGCGTTTGATAGGCGAAGGTTTCTCAGGTCCAATAATCGTACTGATTTTTATCCTCGAAATTCCTGAGCGTTAAAGAGCCGAAAGAATGTAACGGCCAGCGAAGCGACGCGCACTCTTAGTGGGGCAGCCCAACGTGCAAGACTATAGTCTCGAGTATTAATAGTCCACGGAGCGTGGACCGAGTACCGTTAAGGCCGAATACGATACGACGTAACCCTTACTAACGGGGAATGCCTTGTAAGATCGAAACAAGCGTGTAGCTGATGGATCATCGACAAACGCGGTAGACCAAACGATCTACAAGCTTGTCCCTTACAAGGGAAGGACCCCAACTGTTCGACTTCGATTTTAACGGGTATTTGCGAGGTGATAGTATACAGGGAGTCCGACCACCCCTGGGGAAAATTTTAATGGGGGACTTCAGAGGCCAAAATAGAACGGAAATCAATGATATACATTTCTTGATCGAGGCATCGTTAAAAAGTTATTAAAAAATTAAATTAAAAAGTTTCAAATCATTTTGGAAAAATTATTTCCGGTTGTGGGGGTCAATTACAATCATTTTTGGTGAATACAGATACCTCCGAAATCCTACGCACTTTCGAAAAAAAAAATCGAGAAAGTTGGCAAAGTCGACAAAATTAAAAAGTTTCAAATCATTTTGGAAAAATTATTTCCGGTTGTGGGGGTCAATTACAATTAATTTTTTTGAATAGAGATACCTCCGAAATCCTACGCACTTTCGAAAAAAAAAATCGAGAAAGTTGGCAAAGTCGACAAAATTAAAAAATGTCAAATCATTCTGGAAAAATTATATTCGGTTGCAGGGGTCCATTACAATCATTTTTGGTGAATACAGATACCTCCGAAATCCTACGCACTTTCGAAAAAAAAAATCGAGAAAGTTGGCAAATTTTTCGACAAAATTAAAATATGTCAAATCATTCTGGAAAAATTATATTCGGTTGCAGGAGTCAATTACAATCATTTTTGGTGATTAGACACACCCCCGAAATCCTACGCAATTTCGAGAAAAAAAATCGAGAATGTTGGCAAATTTTTCGAAAAATTAAAAAATTTCAAATCGTTCTGGAAAACTTATATTCGGTTGCGGGGGTCAATTATAATCATTTTTGGTGAATAGACACATCCCCGAAATCCTGTGCATTTTCGAGAAAAAAATTCGAGTAGGTGAACAAATCTTCCGACAAAATTAAAATATTTCAAATCATTCTGGAAAAATTATATTCGGTTGCAGGGGTCAATTACAATCATTTTTGGTGATTAGACACACCCCCGAAATCCTACGCACTTTCGAGAAAAAAAATCGGGCATGTTGGCAAATTTTCCGAAAAATTAAAATATTTCAAATCGTTCTGGAAAAATTATATTCGGTTGCAGGGGTCAATTACAATCATTTTTGGTGATTAGACACACCCCCGAATTCCTACGCACTTTCGAGACAAAAATTCGAGTAGGTAGACAAATTTTTTGACAAAATTAAAAAATTTCAAATCATCCTGGAAAAATTATATTCGGTTTCAGAGGTCCATTGCAATCATTTTTGGTGAATACACATACCTCCGAAATCCTACGCACTTTCGAGAAAAAAAATCGAGAAGGTTGGCAAATTTTCCAAAAAATTAAAAAATTTCAAATCGTTCTGGAAAAATTATATTCGGTTGCGGGGGTCAATTACAATCATTTTTGGCGGATAGGCACATCCCCGAAATCTTACGCATTTTCGAGAAAAAAATTCCTTACCGAAAATCTAATGTGAGGTTAGAAATGGTTCCCCGAAATTTCATGCGTATCTTTACAGCATCATAACTCCTGAACGGATTGGCCGATTTTAATGTTTCGAAAGGTAAACAACACGTATTTTGGTGAAGAATATGTAGAAATTGCAAAAATGTTCGAAAAGTTGCTCCTTGACCCCATAAAGTGAGAAAAACCCCATAACAATGGTCCAATTTTCAAACGACCGTAACTCCTACAATTGCGAATGAAATTTTTCAATGAAACTTTTTTCTCACATAGAGCTCATGGGTAGCTAAAAAAAAGTATTAGACAACTTTTCTGTAGGGCGTCAAACAAAGTTGTTAAAAATCAAAAACGAATTTTTAAGAAAAATCGACAGGGTGCTTAAATTTTTCGGCGAAAAGAAAAACTTTCAAATCATTCTGGAAAAATTATTTTCGATTGCGGGGGTCAATTACAATCATTTTTGGTGAATAGACATACCGCCGAATTCCTGCGCACTTTCGAGAAAAAAATTAGAATTTGTGGACAAAGTTGACAAAATTAAAGAATTCATAAGGGCTTGGAAGGCCGAGAAAGATACGTAAAAAGAGTGCTTTGACAAAAGAAAAGTGACCTTTTAGATGATATTATTGTGCGCGCCGTCTTTCGCCGACGAATTTCACGAAACGAAGCCCACGAAGCTGATCGAAGACGAATCGAACACAGAATCGAACGAGCCACCGGAAGGATATTACGCTTTCGTAAAGTCGCCCAATGCCGAACCACCAAAAGTGAGGCCACCGCCTTATATAGACAGCGACAAAGAGTGTTATGGTACGCATTTCAAACTTGTGCCACTTATTTCATCAAGGTCACGTCAAACTCGCGATCCAGACTCCCAATTCTAATTAAAAATACGTCTGCTGGACGTTTGGATCGACGCGTGAATTATGCGAACAATTTCAGATACGGGCAAGCAGGGAAAAGGCTTCGTCTCTGTACACAACATTTGCGGGGATCTGAACAAGGGCTACATCCCACGAAATCCGATGAATCAATACTTCAATGGATCTTCGTATCCTTTGTAAGCATAAAACAACGTCATTAACGAAACGACCAGGGACAATGCAGAGTCGAGCAAATTTTATTCTCGAATAACGAATAAGATGAACTGAAACGAGACTAAACGCGATATAATTTTGATAATATTTGCCTATTAATATCAATCGTTTATCGTGACTCGTTCAATACGCAAATATAATCCAAATTTTTAATCGGAAGAATCTCACAAATATATTGGTGAAAAATAAAAAATAACAGTTTCACATTTTTCTGTTTTTAGTGCTTTGTTGAAAAATCACACCCTCAAGTTCTTGAGCAAAGCCTTGCCCATACTCAAAACTGACGATTCCCTGCCGAAGGTCGCCACGGTTCAATCATATTCGCAAAATTTGTAAGTACGCATTCATAAACACTTACCACAGTTTTAAGGTTTTCGATGAATGAGAAACTGCAGAATTATTTCTTTCTCGTTGTAATAAAAACGACGACGCGTTAGAGTTTTAATAGCTTTATTTCAGGACGCTTGGTATACGTGTGTAATTTTATGCGTGAACACGGGTTAAGAAGCGTAAGGACAGCGTTTTTTGTGCAATGCAAGCGATAGTGGGGTGGATAGCTGGATGAGTCAGTCGATAAAAATTTCTAGACACGTGCAAAAGTTTTTTTTGAGAGAAAAAAAGTTTGTTTAATTTGTTTCGTATTACGATATATTTGTAACCTACCTGTTACCTTAAGGTGACAAAAATCTTCCAATTCTCCAACACTCGATTATGCGGTCGACCCTCGTCCTTATCAGGATAATCGAAGGACCTGTTGCATGAAATTTTCTATAATGTTACCTCGAAGAGGGCCCACGCAACGATAACGGAAACATTGATATTTATTACAATATAAACACGAGAAAGCTTTGACGCATCGTTGGCGCTTATTATAACAAAAAAAAAAACGTTGTTTCTTCGCCGCAGCGTCGAGACTGACGAAAAACGTAGCAGAAACAAACGATCCTCCGAGGAGGTTAGCCTGGACACTCTGCGTAACGGACGGAAATTCTGCGAAAATGGCGAAGGAGTGTAAGTACGAAAACAATGGCGATAATAAAGCGAAATAGAAATTACGGTCGGCAGCTGGTTACGCCAGCTGGAATTTTGTGTTTTCGATTCTATCATCGATTGTATCATCGATCGACCCTGTTCTTTTTATATTCAAGGGTCTGCATGTTGTATAAAGCCATACAAGGCGAGCCGCTGGCTACGTCGCCGGTCGAACGACGAGACGAGCCGCCCACCCCCGAATACCGTCAACGAACACCGGCGCAAGAAAAACCAGAGTACACCGGCCCACCGACTCCTTGTCCAGCCAAAGTGGAGTACGCGACGCCCGTGTTCGCCAAGAACTATCAAGGAGTCTGGCGCTACGTGGTCCAGATCCCTTACGAGGGTTACTTCACACAGACCATCGAAGTCACCAGATGCATGTAAGTCAAATACACCGTACTCTGTTTGCATCGTTGCTACTAACCCTTCCGGACCTGAATTGAATTTTAGACGTGGTCATTGGTTAACTTGTTATAGAAAAAATGTGGGTAATTATTTACTTCAGAGGCCTCAACTATGATTTTGATTCTGATATTTTCCTATACATATAAGCGCCGCACGGACTTAGTTTAATTTGATCTCAACGTCGCGCGCATAAGTACCACCCAGTGAGGTTATATTAGGTTAGGTTTGGCTAGTTAACACTAGAAAGACTGAAACTATATACCTATATTGCCCAAAAGCAGTCAAAATGACTGCATTGTGAAAGAATAATTAATGTGTAAAGAAATTTGTTTAAAATTAATTTTTAATATTAGGTTATAATATTATGAATTTAGGGCGCAAAAGAAATAAAATAAACAACTTGTTAGAACAAGTATCACTGCATAAAGATTCGAATAACAAGTACTACTTTAGCTTATTGAGAGACTGCAATTTATCAAGTATACGCCCAAATCGACAATTTATCATGTACTTGTATGTTATCATGTGTTGGTAATCGAAAAAAAATGAAAACTGTTATTTCAATACAAAGTCGAACTGGTCATATAAGAAATTTACTCAATTCAATAATAAGAGTCATTTGATTATTTAAAATTTTTCAAGCAGTCAAAATGACTGCTTTTGGGAAATATAGGTATAACACATATATATACCGGAAATGAAGGAGGGGAGAGGTAACTACAATTATTAAACGCATTTATATGTTGTACAAAAAGTCACAAAATTCTAAGAAATTGTGTCATTATATACATAATTGTTTTTCTAATTGAAATTAAAAAGCAGTCAAAATGACTTCCTTGGGCAACCTAGTGTTAAATATCCCCGAGGCAGCCGATCGTGCGAAGTCGAGGCCCCTAATGTAAATAATTACCGAATTTTTTGTTGAAATTTGCCGATCGTTTGAATCGTTCGATTCGAATTTATTTTCAGGCAATCGAGGTGTCATTATCTGGACGGTGGTTGTTTGTCGTCGCCGCGGTGGACCAGTCTGCTCGTGGCGGAAATCTTCTATCCGGACACGGTCCTGGAAGAGAACCAGAATTCACGGTTCACCGGGCTCAGAGACACCGCTGGATCGCCGCCGCCCGTTCACGATTTTCAAAACTACCAACAGTACTTGCAGAAACGCGCAGGCGAGAACGAGGCTCGTAACAACGCGGGGTCGCAGCAACATCATTGCGACGGAGTCGATGAGATGGGCTGCTTCCAGGTAATCGACAAACAACCGAAATAACGATAGCTTGTAATCCGAGAAGGGCGATTCTGAAAGCACGGTTAAAGGCGTGTGTAAATTGATAGGTAATTGTCCACAGTCACTGTCCGTGGACAAGCGAAATGCAAACAACGGACAAAACAGAGAATTTTGGAGGCTGTACGCAAAAAAAAATATTTATTCACGGATATTGTTCCTAGTTCTTTAATTTGAAGTGATTAACTATACAATACAATTGTAATTTAAATTACAAGGTTACGCCATTTTTTGATCGTATACTGTACCTGGGAATCGCCGAGGAGTGCCTGCAAACAGTCGTCTCTCTATTTGGACGAAGTTAGGACAAACTGTAGATCGTTATCTGTTGGCTGCAAACAGTCTGTCGCGGGTTTCAAATTTCAATTCTCAGAAACGAACCGAGCTATGGATGTCGACCTCGTGCATGTCCTGGCCGAATTGTAGAAAAGGTCAAGAAACGAAGGTTAAATAACAATAACACGATGTGATTCGTCTTTCCATTGTCTCGTCGATATTTGAGCCAGGATCGGGCTACGCTGCGCGTCGAGTTTCGTGTTTAAGGGAGTCCAGTCCTCGTAGTGGGAATGAATAGCATTTCGCTTATCTCATTGTCAGACTCGGCGGACCGTTTTACGTCTGCGTGCCAAAAGCTCGCTAATTTTATTGGGTTGGATAAGATAAGTTCATAGCGTTTTTATCAAAGAAAAAATACAGGCACTCAAATTTTTCGTCAAATCCCATTAAACGAAGATGATTGAGAATCGTTTTATCCTCCAGAATTCTCCTTCAAAAGTGTTCTGAGACGCTCTTCGTCGAATTTAGAAGGTCTTCCGCTGCGGGGCGTGTCGTCGACGTCAAAATCGCCATTTTGAACTTTGCAAACCATTTGCAAAGCAGGTGTCGAAAATGTTGCTTTTTACCTCCTGGATGTTCCATTTCTAAGCGTCAAAAGTAATAAAGAATCAACTTACTCAAAAAGACGATCAGCACAGTTTTGTAGAGCAGAAAGAGCTCTATCGAATGAATATTATACACTTTGTCAAACAGCAAAAAATCGTTACAAAACAAAAGAAAATATAAAAACGCTACGAACTTATTCCCCGACCCAATATTTATCGACGAGCCGGGCAGTTCTTAACCCCTTCCCGTGCTTTAACGAGTCTTGACTCGTGATGAAGATTTTGGCCCAAACATGAATATCACGAATCAGACTCGCGAACAGAAAGTCGGCCCAAACGTAAACGTCACGAGCTAGGCTCGCGGACAGCGAATCACGATCGTGATTGAGTTTTAGTTCCTATCGGTACGCCACAGGGGTCGGGCACGATTCTTATAATCCCTGTTGCAAAGCAGTTCAGTATCAGTCTGGTCTGTTTACCGCGCGCTGACACCTATAATTTCGGCCAGGATTTCGCCGAGGTAAATGGCACGGGAAGTGGTTAATAGGATGAACGATTAATAAAAATTTTGCAGCAGGGGAAACCAGGGCTAGTCGACCAAGTTTTTTTTATGTATCTAATTTTTCTAGTGTCGTGTGAGGCCGATCCAAAGTGAAATTAACCTGGATATGTTCGTGGTTATGTTTCAGGTAAGATTGTACTACGATTGGTTCTTGGTGCCGGGCAGCTGCAAATGTTGGCGTCCCGACTACTTCAATCGGTATGTTCGTCGAAGTGGGTCTAACGTTGAGTTGTGATCGTAGCGACGGAAAGGTCAGACCACGGAAACCGTGTCGAGGATGAAAGAAAAAGAGACCGACCGGTTTCGAGTAAATTTCGTTCCGGTATCCGAGTGAAACGCGGGATACCAATAACGTCCAATAATCAATAACGATAAATCTTTTTCAATTCGCGCGTAATATTCGAAGAAACGGTCGATAAGTTTTGCGTAAAAATACGAGTATCGGTTTTTTTTCTTGAACTTGACTATTTCTGTTGGCTACGATTATAGTTACAGATTGCGATTGATAAGAATTTTTAATAGCAGAAAATCACGGTTAGAATTACAGAATGTAATCGTAATCGTAATCCGTAGCAATTACATATTGTAATTCTATTCGAGTCGCACGATTAACGATTACAAAATATAACCGTTAATCGCGATTGCAGCAATTGATTGCGTAACAAATTACAATAAATTGTAATTGTTGAATAACCAACTCTGTTTCCGTGTAACGTGCGAAAGACTAATTTTCTCACTGCTGATTCATTAGGCGTAATTAATTCGCGATATGCCCGGGAACGGAACGGCCTGGACGCGATTAATATTATACTAGCTTTAATACGAATGTAATACTTAATTGTATTGAATTTGCAACATTGTGCACCTTAAGACTGAAGAAGTACCGTTGTCGCGAGCGCTGTGAAACGCATGCGTATGCATTTTACATCGACGCGCGTTGTTACTAAGTATTTTGTTTTTCTTTTATAATTAATGTTTCCGCGCAAACCGTTTCGCATTTATACAATGCGTTGTTCAATCAATACGATAGAATATATAATATTTTATATTTATCGTTGTACATGTTAATTTCAATATTAATACGAAAATATTGCGAAATTAACTAGAATTTGTTATTCGAAAGAGAAGGACGCTCGAAAATAATATTTTCCTGTTATACTGTATTTGAAATTATTTAATATTATCGAAGATTCGAAGCCGCGATCTTCTGTGTTCAAAAGTCGGATCGAAGGTTTCTTCCGATTGTTTTCTTATTTCCAAATGACTTTCTCCACGAACATGTTATTCCTTCCATTTAACAAATAAAGCGGAATGTGTGCAAATTGTTTGCACGAATTGTTTATAAAATATTACATCGAAATATTTTATACAGGGTGTTCGGCCACCCTTGGGAAAAATTTTAATGGAGGATTCCAGAGGCCAAAATAAGACGAAAATCAAGAATACCAATTTGTTGATGGAGGCTTTGTTAAAAAGTTATTAACGTTTCAAGTTCCGCCCGTGTTGAATTTTTTTCTCGAAAATGCACAGGATTTCGGGGGTATGTCTATTCACCAAAAATGATTGTAATTGACCCCCGCAATCGAATACAATTTTTCCAGAACGATTTGAAATTTTTTTTTTCCGTCGAAAAATTTCACACCTTTTCGAATTTTTTCCTCGATAGTGCGTAGGATTTCGAGGGTATGTCTATTCGCCAATAATGACTGTAATTGACCCTCACAACTAAATATAATTTTTCCAAAACGATTTGAAATTTTTTTTTGCCGTCGAAAAATTTCACACCTTTTCGAATTTTTTTCTAGAAAGTGGGTAGGATTCCGGGGGTATGACTATTCACCAAAAATGTTTGTAATTGACCCCCGCAACCGAAAATAATTTTTTTAGAAAGATTTGTAATTTTTTAATTTAATTGTTAATAACTTTTTAACAAAGCCCCCGTCAACAATTTGATATTCTTAATATTCGTCTTATTTTGGTCTCTAGAATCCCTGATTCAAATTTTTCCCAGGGGTGGCCGAACACCCTGTATATAGTATTTGTAACTTTGAACGCGAACGTTGGAAGATTGTCTACTGACGCGTATACACAATTGAAACTCGTTTCTCAGGGCAAAGTGTGTTTCATGTTCGTTCGTAAAATGGCATACGTTAAACTTCGAAACTACCCAATGTAAACAAACGTTCTTTCATTTTTATAAAGTTACGGTAAACTAACATACAAACTAGCTACATTTTAAGGATATGTATAAAACTGTATTTCCTTTTCCATTTAAATTATTTATCATGTATATTTATAACGCTGGTACCGCGCGGTAAATTTATAATGTACCGAGGAAATTGTTAGACTACGTTCACGTATCTTGTACTATTTTTCGAGATAACACAGACGATTAAATGGTTAATAAGAGCTATAACAATAAAACGCATAAAATAATCGTAAGAAAATAGTTATTTTTAATTTTTTTAAATATGTAAATGCCTCCTCTCTTCATTCGGAGACGTTTATACGAACAAATAAGTTACACTTTCTATTTGTAATTTATATTTTTCTTCCTATTTAACAGTCGTTTATCCTCTATTCGTCGTTGAAAATTTTTACCAAAATAATATTTCATGTCTGTATCATGTAAAAGTACAAACGAAAAATCGATGAAACTAAGCCCCCCTCCCGTACCTCCTAATTTGCATACTGAGAGAATTTACGCGAGCTATACATTTCAGATCTTAGATAATCAAGCTCCGCACGCGAAGACATTCGCTATAGTCAACGAATCTTGATTCAACGACACCAAATGCGAACGGGCTCTAGAAAGTTGAAAAATTTCTAATTTTCGACTAGGAATTTCAGACTGTAGATTTTTCACTTTTGTCCATTGCTCGTCGCGCTCAAAATTAGGCAAATTTTATTCCCAAACAACGAATAAAATTGTTACGACTTCGCTCGCACGAATATCGATTTACAAAAATTCATTATCAGATTCTAATTCTGCGCGAGACAGTTGGTTTACGAATAAATCTATAATATGGATTCGTTATTCGTGGCTAAAATTTGCCGACCCTGGCCACGCTGTGCCCGATTCGGTTTTGAAGGTTATGTTGCCACGGTATGCGTTTGGCAGTTGGCGTGCGATATTTAAATCCGATGCGACCCATTGGAAATCGGGAATAGACGAAGGAATCCGTATAGAAAGAAATTTGAACAAACTGTTACGATTAAATGCACGAGGTTCGAAGAAAGTTGCGTGCTACGGAAGTTAAATTGAAAAACGAAACGAGATTTCGTGCGCGGCCGGTCTGATACGTGTTTCACGCAACGATGCACCGTGTGCAAAAACGTCCATAAAAGAAAAATGCAGCGAAATCGAAGTTTTTAAAATAATAATTACCGCTTATACGAGTTGCAATGCCATTTGATAATACTTCAAACTATAATAAACGACAGAAGTTAGCGAAAAAAAACTGTATCAAAATTGACCGATTCTTGGATATTACGACATACCACAATATGCACACACTACTGGCTTTGTTGTAACAGTATTGCAACCCTTGCAATCCATATTTAAAATTAATCACGAATGGTATAAATCGAACACGAGAGCGGTATCGAAACATTACTATATGACCATTGGTGAGACCACGACGACGACACGTCCGTCTCCTACGACCGTCGAGAGCTAATTATATCGCATGGAATGCCCATTGTGCATTTTAACTGCCAACCAGTGCACGAAACGGCCGAAAACAAGCGGCCTAAGTTCGGATAGTGCCGTTTACAGTTCCTCGTGCGGGATTCGAAGGCAAAACCGTACCCCGTTTACAGCTGCGCACCGTATGTAGGTGTTGCACAGCCGGGATCAATACTCCGGGCATAGAAAGACGAGGAAAGAGGTTGGTGGCGACAGCACGAAAGACAAGGACGAACGATCGCATGGTGTCTGTTGGACGTGGTTATCGAGCGGTTCCACTTGTTATGGGAATCCCCGCCGAAAAAGTTACAAACGATTCAAGCACTCTTTCTTTATTCTTTTCGTATTCTTTTTCGAACAATATCAAATCTGCTAAATCACACTTCAATATGTGCATATTAATTTCAAAAAATGATCACTGGTCTCACAGGAACATGAACTTCATTAAACGAGGATACTTACATCGAGTAATTTATTATATTCATTTGAAAATGCAAGACGGCCTTCAGTTAATTATCGCTAACTTCGCTATAAAATAAGTACTGTACGATTTTTACCGACAGGCAGGTTTCATACGTAGCGACAATTTGCATTTGTTATATCAACAATTACTGAAAGTTTCGTTCTGCCTTCGTAATATAATAAAGAAAGAAGCATTGAACTATACGCCTGTATCTGTATTTGTCATTCGCTATAAATTTTACGATTTGTAAATGAAAATCGACCGAATCGCTAGATGTACGATTTTAACCAGGCAACTGTGGCGACCTCTTTTCTGAGCGCGCACATGTTTGTTTTATTTTGACCTCCGCAGATTCTAAACATATTGAAATTTACGAATATATTTTAGTTTCCGCTAAAATTACAATTTAAATAGCAAACGGTACCTAATTTTACGCATGACGGATACAGCCGTTATGGCACAAAATACTGCCATTTCTCCATGACGAGTATAGTGGTCAAATACAGCTGACCGGTTAAGCGACAGTCACGGTACATACGTTCGTCTCTGATGTTTCGTGACGCGACGGTGAAGCATATTCCCGACGACGAACGAACTCGTCATCCCCAGATCAGAAAAGGTTTAATGCGATCGAGGGATCGCACGCACCTGTTTTCGAAGATCGATAAGAGACGCCTACTCTGCGTCAAATACATTCTCCCACGTGATTCGGTGCATCCGCGTATATCGCGACATCGCGCGTATATACGTATATATAAGAGCAGTGACAACGTCGGCTGCTGCGCCAGCTGAAACAGAAATAGTGGGGGGTAGTGCTATGCCAACGTAGACGGATATTGCAAGGGGAACGCGACGGGGAAGCTAGTTCAGTGTCGACCGACGTAGGAGACTCGTCGTCGTTCGGTGGTTTTTTTTTTCTCTCTCCACGGTACGAAAGTTTCCGTCAGGTGCCTGTTGTTTTCCTTTCGTTCTGCTTGTTTCTCGGCCGACGCGTCGCCGGCACGGACGGGACACACGCGCGACCAGGGAAACGATCGACCAGACACACGGTCACCGTCGCTCGAACGTCGCGAAGTTTGTTCATTTGCCCGAACAGAAAGCAGAAACCAACATGTGGCTAATGTTTCGACGCGGTGCGAGACGTCTCGCTAAAAATACGTTCGCCAAACGATCGAAGCGCTGCCAGGAGGTCGGCGAAACCGCGGATCAGTGATGTCGTGCCGCGGAGGAGCGAATCTTCGAGCGACGCCAGTGACAACGTGCGTACGTCGCCGGGCATTTCAGAAACGGTCGTGATATGAAAATTCACGCATTCGGAACAGTACATGAACGCCGCGAACAACCAGCAGTCTCCCGTCGCTCGGGACAACCATCGATGGAGGAAAACCGTACGGAGAGATTATTCGGAACGGACCGTTGTCCCGAACTAATGAAACCGGACGGCAAACGAGGGAAGAGCGTTCGTTAAGAACGATGAAGCAATCGTGATTTTGCAACGGTGCGCGAACTGTGGCGCTTTTCTTTTTTTTTTTTCTTCGTCGTGCACGATTCAAAGTTTGACAGAGCGTCGATTCGAGACTGGTCGCGTGCCGTGAGTCGTCGACGACGCGAAATGATCGCGATACCTTGGCGGACGTAACAGCGTTTCCCGTCATATGTGCAGCACGCGGTATGTTTCAATCGCGGATCGCGTAAAACCAGGCGGAACGATCACCACTCGCGAACGGAGCATGAACGCCGATTATCAGGTAAGTTTCAATCGCGTTGATCGAAACGGGAAACGTCGAACGTTCGATCGGATCGATAGCGCTAATTAATCGATCGACGGAATCTAGAGAGCGTACCGCCTTCGACTATCAACGATCGGTTCAAGGCGAACGCGTGTTTTTAAACCGATCGTGTATGCGAGCTTCGTGCCGTTACCTAAGTATTATGGAAAAGATTATTAATTCGTTCCGCGACCGAGAACGTTGCGGATAAGTTTTAAAAGAAATATCAGGCTGTTTGTTTCGCGTTCGCGTATCGAGCGTAGCCGCGTCGAGAACTAGTATGAACGTTATTGTAATTGTAACGGAAGCGGCGTTGTGGGAGAATCTAGTCGAAAAGGACGCGAAACAAATGGTTGTAAAATAGGTTATGATCCTCGAACGCGTTCGAGCGAAATCGAACCGGACAATCTTCGGCGTTTGTCGCGGAAGAAAGGTGGGAAAAGCGTCTTAGAAATGATAGAAGCGTTCCTCGGAAGTAGACGGAATTCTTTCGACGGGAACAAAAGGCCCGGAGTACTTCGTTGAGCGTAAACGGAAGTTCGCACAGTGGCCAGTGGCGTCGCTGAATTGAAAGGGTTAACAAAGGGATGGAGAATTGCAGCTTTTCGTGACCCACATATGCAAGGCACAGGTTGATACTGCACCAACCGATGTACGTCTGTCGTGGCGCTAAATTAAGTCTAATCGATGTTTACCGGACTATTTCTAATCCTTCGATTCAATTATGCAACAGCGCTGCGTTGAATTTTCACCGTTTTTCTCGTGTATGTGTGCTTTAACGCGCGATTTATTCCGACAGTTTTCCTTTCCTTTCGTGTCACCTTCACTCCATTCGCGACAAGGTATATCGCCGGTCATAAGCATCAGGACACTTGGCCTGAACGTTGTCGATGTCCAAATTATCTTATGGTTTCCATTTATAGTAATCGCGAGAAAAAAATACAAATCGAATGGTAGGGATGATTACGCGGTGTGTACAATTTCATTTATTCACACGGGAACAAGTATCTCTTATCTAACTAAAATAAAATACGCAACGCGTCAGTTGTACGTTATCGCGCGAGGAACGAAGACTTACACACATTTCCAATAGGGAAGGTATTGGTTTTTTCCTTTTTTTTTTTATTTATATTCCTCGACACATAATTATTCATTAAACGGAGCAGCGATTTTACATCATTTCGATTCTATCGACTTCATATTCCTATTACGAGTTACCTCTCGCTACGTTTTTGGCTTCTCTGCCGTATATTCGTATTTTATTTGTTTTATAGAAACTAAATACTTTTCTGAGCCACTTCTGATACGCGTTTACAGTAAATGTATCGTAACAATGGTATTTTTTAATTATTTTCTAATTTTATTTGCGCGGTTTTGGGACCCGTTTTTTGTTCCATGTAGAAAAATAAGTGGAAATAAAGGAATGACATATTTTCATTGGAGGTCTCGTTTTCGAGAAAAACGACTTTGAAAATTCATTGCATGCGTGCAGTAGAGTTGGAAATCGGTGCAAGAAGTAACAGTGATTAATGGACAGACACGCCAGGTAAATCGTATTCCGTCGCAGGCATACCTGACTTTTAATATTATAGTGCTTCGGAAACAAAGCCTCGAACGAAAAAAATATCGTTCCTTTTTTTTCGACTTATTTTTAACCATTGAATCGCCGACTAATCGTGATCAAAGTATCTTGAAATGTCAAATTATGATTAGCTATTAGCAATATTTCGTTATTGTTATAACAAATTTATTTTATCGCGATGTACAAAGTTTTAAATTCTAGGAAAATATAAAAAACGTTTTGATTTTTTTATTTTTGATACTAGGTAGACTTTACAGTTAGTCGTACAATTATTTTACAATATACAAAAAAGATCTATAACGTTGAACATTTTTCGTATTTCCTTATCAAGATTCATATATACTGTATTTGAAAATAGCTTTTACGCGTTATCGGCGATAACACTTGAGTAACTGGAAGGCACAATAATTCGCATTTACACTTTGTACATTATCAAGGAGTCATACCTAGAAACAGTTATCGGAAACAATACAATTTTTACATCATTTGATGCAATTCATTTCCTATACAGAACTACTATCTAGACTTCTTGTACGATACAGACGTTTATTTAAATATTAGCTGGGTTTACGAAGCGTAGACCGGGACTGAAATTAACAGGAACGGGTTGTAAAATTGCCTGCGGTTTCGAAATTGCTTAACAAACATGCTAAGAATAAACATTTAGATTTTCGAAATCTGTGTTTTCATGATGATGATATCTCGCGTCGTTAGGCAGTCGATTTCACCACGAAAATTACAGAGTGTGATTTCCTCGACGAAAAGTAATTTGCCAATGTAGGTTTGCGAGTCCGGTAAAAATTGTAGTTTTGTGCAGTTCGCGGGACGAATATCATACCAGTCGGATTTATTACTTTTTCGTATAGTTGTGGCGATTCAAACTCTTGTACCAAATTTGAAATTTCGTCCAACATGTGTGTATCAATTTTCGAATTTTGGTGTTGATTATTGGTTAAGTATAACAATTCGTTATTTAGACAATTTTTCGTGTCATTGGACATGTTACGTTACAACAGAATTAATTTTAATGGGAGATTCTAGAGGCCAAAATAAGACAAAAATCAAGAATATTAATTTCTTGACCGAGGCTTCGTCACAAACTTATTGAAAAATTAAATCTAAAAATTTCAAATCGTTCTGGAAAAATTATTTTCAGTTGCGGAGGTCAATTATAATCATTTTTGGTGAATAGACACATCCCCGAAATCCTGTGCATTTTCGAGAAAAAAATTCGAGTAGGTGAACAAATTTTTCGACAAAATTAAAAAATTTCAAATCGTTCTGGAAAAATTATTTTCAGTTGCGGGGGTCAATTACAATCATTTTTGGTGAACAGACCTACCCCCGAAATTCTACGCGGTTTGGAGAAAAAAATTCGAGTATGTTGGAAAATTTTTCGACAAAATTAAAAAATTTCAAATCGTTCTGGAAAAATTATATTCGGTTGCAGGGGTCCATTACAATCATTTTTGGTAAGTAGACCTACCCCCGAAATCCCGCGCATTTTCGAGAAAAAAATTCGAGTAGGTTGGCAAATCTTTCGACAAAATTAAAAAGTTTCAAATCGTTCTGAAAAAAATATTTTCAATTGCGAGGATCAATTACAATAACTTTTAGTGAATAGACCTACCCCCGAAATCGTACCCACTTTCTAGAAAAAAATTCAGTATGGGCGGAACTTTAAACTTCAATAATTTCTTAACGAAGCCTCCATCAACAAATTGGTATTCTTGATATTCGTCTTATTATATATTATATATTCCATTAAAATTCCAAATAAAATTAAAATGGAATATTTCATTAAAATTTTTCCCAAGGGTGGCTGAACACCCTGTATATTGCGAACGATTGTACATCGATACATTAATACTTTATCGAGAATAAATATACATATTATTGCGAATGACGTTGTCAGATACTAAAATATTAAAATATTGATAGGCTTGCACGAGATCGATAAATGTATACGCAAGATAAAAGCAACTTGGGAAATCTGTCAAATATGTGCCTATGTGACGGTAAATTTCAAGTTGACGTTAGTACTTTTGCTCGTGTTTGTTACTATAAATATAGACAATGTCATTCATTATCTGTTTCCTGTCATTCATGTTACTTATTCCAAAGATAACGCAAGTGTCGAGGAACTAAACACAAACATTGTTTTAACGCGAGTAGAATTACAAGTGCACGTGTAATGCGCTGCCACTGCATGAAAATTTAATGGAAGAAGATAAAAGAAACGATTCGGTTAACAAGACTGTATTTGGAAAGCAATACTCTTTTAAATTCTAAAAAGCAAACCTAACTAGACGCGCCATGTTTTTCGCAGTATTTTTAACGTTGATTCCACGAACAAGATAAAAATGCTGGCTAGTAGAGACGCTAACGTCCTGTAGATCAATTGTATTTTTGGAAGGAGAGAAGAAGAGGACAATAAAGGTTCTCGGGTTACGTACGACGCAGTGTTGTGGTTCAACGGAAAGAATAATTTCAGTCAGGCGTCATTCAGAGTGCTTTACGGCCGTTGCAAGGTCCGCATTATAAATAAAAGTTATAACCGTAAAGTTATTAGATACATAGAGGGCATAAATTAAGTGCAGGTGGCCGTATTAAAAACCAAAATATGTTATAGAAATACAAAGTAAACTGCATAAGTACGATACAAAACAGAAAAAATAAATCGAAACGAAAAATTCTGCACTGTTTATCGCAATTACACTCGCTAATTCCCGATAACACACTGATATCACACTGAGGATTTTCTACTGGTTCAAGCTGGCGGTATCTACTATTCTTAAAAACGAATAAGGAAAAATGCGTGACATATTTGCACAGTGATTAATTACAGGAAAAGGCAGAATTCGAAAAAGCTTAGCCCATTATCCCTTTTTCTTTTTAATTCCGATCAAACTTACAGTTAGATTCAGAAGGTCTATTTATTTTTTATCTGTTGAACGCTTTGAAGTTAATGGATTTTTATTTATAGATTCTTAGTCTACGCGGTAAAAGAACAAACTTTTGTATGGAGGATTTTTAAATTTTATTTAAAAGTAAAGATACGTAATGAAATAACGAATTTTTATTATTGTATAATTTAATTTGGATTTCAAATTAAACGTTCTTATAATAATAATAGACAGTTATATACAGGGTGTTCAGCCACCCGTGGGGAAAATTTTAATGAGGGATTCTAGAGGCCAAAATAAGACGAAAATCAAGAATACCAATTTCTTGATGGAAGCTTCGTTAAAAAGTTATTAACAATTAAATTCAAAAATTTCAAATCGTTCTGGAAAAATTATTTTCGGTTGTGGGGGTCAATTACAATCATTTTTGGTGAATAGACATACCCCCGAAATCCTGCGCATTTTCGAGAAAAAAATTCAGTACGGGTGGAACTTTGAACGTTAATAATTTTTTAACGAAGCCTCCATCAACAAATTAGTATTCTTGATTTTCGTCTTATTTTGGACTCTAGAATCTCACATTAAAATTTTTCCCAGGGTTGGCCGAACACCCTGTGTAATTTAATTTGGAGTTCAAATTAAACATTCTTAATTAAACTGTGAAAAGAGCAATTTTTGTCGATGGAATAGTAGGGAAAAATCAAAGAATAATAGACGGGTATAATTTTAATTATAATATGTTTTTTTCATCGCTTTTGGCATGCGAATGCCCCACAAACTCATTACAAAAACAAACAACTTTGTTTACATTTTTTCACGTAGCGGTAGCAATTTTTCCAGTTCCGCGATTGCCGTGGTAACTGAAAATATCACGTTGTCGTATTTAAATAAATAACGTTCACATTTTTTGGTGTACTATTGTCGTAAAGGAGCGTGCTTATCGCCGGAAACGTTTATCATATAATTTCCCTTCGCAACTTCTGTGCACGCTGTCTAATTTTACACGCTCGTTAATTTTGTCAAATCAAATGGGTATAGTTTCAGCTCCCTCGTGCCTAATTAACTATTTCACAAATTCAATTCACCCCTTTGTAAAACAAATTTTCCTAAAAGTTTGTTTTCCCGAGCCATTGCAAATGAAAATAAAATCCAATGTAAAATCATTATTCCGAGATAAAAATTTTATTACACAAAAAATAACATACATGCGAACGATATCTAATTCAGATTTTTCATTCAATTAAATCACAATGTAATCTGTAATTGAAAATATCAATCAATTGTAAATTACAATCTGATTGAATTATATCTTCGAATTTATAGATAAAAAGGGTATAGCCGAATAAGGGGGTCAAATGTGCCCCCAAACCGAATGGAACGAGCCACGGGTCATTCGATAGCAAAAAAAAAATTACCCCTGTGTGCAAATTTTTAACTTGAAATCTCGACCGTGGGGGTAGTAATGGGGTGAAAACGAAAATCATGTTTTTGAATTATTTCTTTTGACCTATTGAGTAAAAAAATGTAAAAAAATTCAGAGACATTTCGGGTACCGGGGCACATACTTTGGGAGATTTTCAGATTTTTTGATTGAAGAACCAGGTAGTGAAAAATAAAAAACAGCAAAAAATGCCGAAAAATGCCGATTACGTATTGAAGGAGGCCCGGAACTACTTTTATACTTTTACAGTAAACCGGTATTACTATTACTATTACTCTCAATTTTTTTCAGATTTTTCATTTTGGTGCGCCGCAGTGAAAAAAAATAAAAACTGAGTTTTTCCTCGTTTTCTGCGTATTAGAGTAACTTACACGTTGAATTTTTATGCATCCTTCAATATATAAGTGTTTTGTAGACTGTTTAATGTTTCTACACTAAGCAGAATTACATAACAATTGAAACAAATAAAATAAAGCCAACCATTGGGTGTATATATCCTAAAAAATCAACGATATTTTCAACGGCGTCGATGGCGCAGCGTTAGAGTGTCCGACTGCTGAATCGCTGGAAGTTTTTTTACCGTAGGTTCGAGTCTCTCTTCTGGACTTAGTATTTTTTTTTCAAATTCTAACTATATAACAATGCTTTATATTTATTTATAAATGTTCTGATAGCATTTTACAAATATTTTAACCTGAAATATGTATAAATATAGTCTTGGAGTGTTTTTTGCGCTTTTATTTTTTTTGTCAACCACGATTATTGTTTAACATCTCTTACACTGAAATTAATGTGAAATGTTAGTTTTCAAATCTCTTACCTTTGACTATTGTGAATGGATCGGAGCAGAAGATTGTATATTGGCTTACTATTACTTCTTCTCGCCCTTCGATCAAGCAGATCTTTCCTTCTCGTTCTCTTTCTTTGATAAATATGAATGTTTGCTGCGGCTTTAGTATCTAACGTAGACATGTAAGGGTTATTATCCTTTCCTTACTGCTGGTTTTAAAGATAATGAAAACACTTGTAGGACCAACCTCTACGGACCATGTCAAGTAATTATGTATAAATCCCATCGCATACAGTAGCTTGAACTGAGTAATTAAAAAATACATTGTGAAACCCGAACGCGACAATCACCCATTGACCTGAACGGCCTGGGCCCTCACCCAACGAACCTTTATTTCCTTCGTAACGCAGGTAGGACAATTAATCATTTTTCCCCGTGGTTTCCATCGAGCAATGATACTTCATTCAAAAATAAGCATGAAACGATCAAACTGGTACTTAAAAATGGGTTTATTAGAAAAAAGTATCATTGGCAGAGAGTGGGTTAATAGATTTGGCGTGGAATGGCCCTTACATGTCTACGTTAGATACTAAAGCCGCAGCAAACATTCATATTTATCAAAGAAAGAGAACGAGAAGGAAAGATCTGCTTGATCGAAGGGCGAGAAGAAGTAATAGTAAGCCAATATACAATCTTCTGCTCCGATCCATTCACAATAGTCAAAGGTAAGAGATTTGAAAACTAACATTTCACATTAATTTCAGTGTAAGAGATGTTAAACAATAATCGTGGTTGACAAAAAAAATAAAAACGCAAAAAACACTCCAAGACTATATTTATACATATTTCAGGTTAAAATATTTGTAAAATGCTATCAGAACATTTATAAATAAATATAAAGCATTGTTATATAGTTAGAATTTGAAAAAAAAATACTAAGTCCAGAAGAGAGACTCGAACCTACGGTAAAAAAACTTCCAGCGGTTCAGCAGTCGGACACTCTAACGCTGCGCCATCGACGCCGTTGAAAATATCGTTGATTTTTTAGAATATATACACCCAATGGTTGGCTTTATTTTATTTGTTTCAATTGTTATGTAATTCTGCTTAGTGTAGAAACATTAAACAGTCTACAAAACACTTATATATTGAAGGATGCATAAAAATTCAACGTGTAAGTTACTCTAATACGCAGAAAACGAGGAAAAACTCGGTTTTTATTTTTTTTCACTGCGGCGCACCAAAATGAAAAATCTGAAAAAAATTGAGAGTAATAGTAATAGTAATACCTGTTTACTGTAAAAGTATAAAAGTAGTTCCGGGCCTCCTTCAATACGTAATCGGCATTTTTCGGCATTTTTTGCTGTTTTTTATTTTTCACTACCTGGTTCTTCAATCAAAAAATCTGAAAATCTCCCAAAGTATGTGCCCCGGTACCCGAAATGTCTCTGAATTTTTTTACATTTTTTTACTCAATAGGTCAAGAGAAATAATTCAAAAACATGATTTTCGTTTTCACCCCATTACTACCCCCACGGTCGAGATTTCAAGTTAAAAATTTGCACACAGGGGTTATTTTTTTTTTGCTATCGAATGACCCGTGGCTCGTTCCATTCGGTTTGGGGGCACATTTGACCCCCTTATTCGGCTATACCCTTTCAAGTAGAAAGCAATTACTATGATTAACAGTTACGATTACTGTGAAATCCAACCGATGGTCGGTGATTTGAAATTATCATGTAATCAGTGTTTACTGTTTAGCAATCGTTTAGCAACTCATTGTCGTATCGAGCAAATTCATCGAACACAATTACACGTAACGTGATAACGTTAAGAAATAATTTATACAAAGGAAATGCACGATCGATGTTTCGAAGACATAAATTACAACTAGTGTGCATCGAAAACAACATGGTGGATCACGAAGGAATTAACAACAATTATCTTCGAGGAACTTTTTCAACATAGTCGCGTTTTATTTTCCCAGAAAAACGAGACGAATGTCAGGAATGAAAAGAAACGCTGCATACTTAATTTAATAATATTTTTTTACTGCGTATCTGAAAAGCGTCTGACAATTAAAGGATGTATTATCGCTAAACGAAGGAAACAGTTTTGATAAACGTAGGTTCACAGACCTTCTGTCTCCCATATGCAATCGCTCGACGTTTTTTGGGGGGCTATATAAATTTCGTGGGCTGCAAAGAGAAGCAATATTCTTATTTAAATAAAAATTTCGAACAGAATATGTATACAGGGTGTTCGGACACTCCTGGGAAAAAATTACAATGGGGGATTCTGGAGGCCAAAATAAGATGAAAATGAAGAATACCAATTTGTTGATGGAAGCTTCGTTAAAAAGTTATTAACAATTAAATTCAAAAATTTCAAATCGTTCTGGAAAAATTATTTTCGGTTGCGGGGGTTAATTGCAATCATTTTTGGTCATTACACATACCTTCGACATCTTACGCACTTTCGAGAAAAAAATTCGAGAAGGTTTGTAAATTTTCGATGGAAAAAAAAATTTCAAATCGTTTTGGAAAAATTATTTTCGGCTGCGAGGGTCAATTACAATCATTTTTGGTAAATAGACATACCCCAAAAATCTTGCGCATTTTCGAGAAAAAAATTCAGTACGGGCGAAACTTTAAACGTTAATAACTTTTTAACGAAACCTCCATCAACAAATTGGTATTCTTGATTTTCGTCGTATTTTGGACTCTAGAATCCCCCATTAAAATTTTTCCCAGGGGTGGCCGAACATCCTATATAAAAAAAAAACAATTATTGCTTCGAAAAACTGTAAACACCGTATCGAAAATGTTTTTCCAATATACAGGTCTTGATATGATGAAGCCATCCATGAAAATGGGGGTGATAGCCTTGATAGGTGTGTTCGTGGTGTTCTACCAATATCATCTGTCCAGCGGCATTCGATTCGACCAGATATCCGATTTCAACAGCGGCTCCGCCGAGGACAACCCGGTGCTGTCTCAGGAGGAAGTGGAGAATTACGTCAGGTCGTCAAAATTCACCGAAGAAATAGTGAGTCTCCTTAAAAGGGTATTCCAGATATTTCGAGATAGTTAAACGTTCGCGTCTGTCCATACAAAAAAAACTATTTTAAAAATTAAATGTTTCGCTAATGTGAAATTTATCTAAGATCGTTAAATTTTATGAAAATTAATAGTATGGCGTAATCGTTGATTCGCGATAACGCAAAAATTACAAATTTTAAAATCTGTCGAATCCGTTCGCGCGCTCATTCATCGGATCACGTTTCTATTTGTAGATCAGGAACACGGTTCGGAAAGTTCAAGAAACGAACGGTCTCAGTCCAGACGTCGCGACGTTGCTAGTCCAGGAACTGATGAATCATCTGCACAAAAATATCTTGGAGCTCTCCGTGAACAATTCGAAGGTTCCAGCGACGACGTTGCAGACCGTGTCCAGGACTGTCGAGACGCCTAAACCGTTGTACATAATCACGCCGACGTACCGCAGGCCCGAACAGATTCCGGAGCTGACCAGGATGTCGCACACGCTGATGCTGGTGAAGAACGTCCATTGGCTCGTTATCGAGGACGCGACCGTAGCCACGAAACAAGTCACCAGGCTGCTAGAGCGTACGGGATTGCAGTTCGACCATATGACTGGTAAATATCCGCCTTCTTACTCGATCGAACGTTATTCGGGCCAGTGCCAGACGATATTATTTGCCAACTGCCCCTATTTCGTACGAATTAAATCGTTCTACTTGCACAACCGAATATTAAACTAGGCGACGCTGCGAAGGCAGTATCGCTCGTTAGTCTAATTAAAACTTATAATATACTTTGAGAGATTTCTATAGTTCCATTAAAATTTTTTTCTACTTTCGATTATTTCTGCAAATAAGTGTCTGCAAATTCTTTATTTATCAATGTTAATTTTTAAAACCTTCACGACCATTGAAAGAAATAGTTTGCATGGGTCGAAACGGACCCCGAATTCGTTGGGCGATAGTTAAGACTGTGGCGACGTTTCCCGCACTCGCTAACAGAGGGACACGCTCGACCTTACTCTCTCACAAGTATTTGATCGACTGCCTATTCCTATATACAGTGTGTTCGGCCACCTCTGAGAAAAATTTTAATGGGAGATTCTAGAGAACAAAATAAGACGAAGATCAAGAATATTAATTTCTTGACTGAGGCTTCGTTCAAAAGTTATTGAAAAATTTCAAATCATTGTAAAAAAATTATTTTCGGTTGCGGGGGTCAATTACAATCATTTTTGGTCATTAGACCTACCCTCGAAATTCTATTCACTTTCGAGAAAAAAATTCGAGTGAAATTTTTCGACAAAATTAAAAAATTTCAAATCGTTCTAGAAAAATTATTTTCGGTTGCAGGGGTCAATTACAATCAGTTTTGGTCATTAGTCATACCATCGAAATCCTAACCACTTTCTAGAAAAAAATTCAAGAAGGTATGAAATTTTTTGACAAAATTAAAAAATTTCACATCGTTCTAGGAAAATTATTTTCGGTTGCGAGGGTCAATTACAATCATTTTTGGTCATTAGTCATACCCTCGAATTCCTAACCACTTTCTAGAAAAAAATTCAAGAACGTGTGAAATATTTTGACAAAATTAAAAAATTTCAAATCGTTCTAGAAAAATTATTTTCGGTTGCGGGGGTCAATTACAATCATTTTTGGTGAATAGACCTACCCTCAAAATTCTACCCATTTTCTAGAAAAAAATTCAGTACGGACGGAACTTTAAACTTCAATAATTTCTTAACGAAACCTCCATCAACAAATTGATATTCTTGATTTTCGTCTTATTTTGGCATGTAGAATCTCCCATTAAAATTTTTCCCAGGGGTGGCCAAACAGCCTGTATATGTGTATAACATCGTGTGATCAATTTCGTAAGTTATTGTAAGCTAACTCGATGAGAGGTTATGACACGGTTCTGGTTCGGAAGCCTCGAAGCTTGCTGCATATATTTAACGCGTACCTACGGTGCTACAAAATCAATATAACGTTTTTTCGTCGAGACCTTTGCGGCCGTCCCAATTAATTTTTCCGACCGAACCGCGGTCGCTCGATGAAATTAACTTTCACGAAACACCACTAGACGCCTTTTCAATTTGCACGCCAGGCGTTGCGAATTTTCCAACATACAAAAATCCTCTGATCAACATTTTTCAAATTACTCGTTTTCGCTTTTAACGCGTCCACTGTCGGGCCAAATTCGTGAAATTTTCTACGAGATCGACGTTTATCGCGATTCATAACCTCTAAATATCTCACGTCAAGGATAAATTCGTTCAGCTTTTTAGTAGAAATTCCTATCACCCAAGTACGTAAATGTATTAGTATAGCACGAAAGTGGAACGTTTCGATGATTCCTTTAGGGCACATCCATCATTGTGTCTTTTTTGCTACGGAGGCCAGTACGTTTCCCGCGAAGATGTAACTGAATTTGCTGTCAGTCACGAGAAACAGTACGTTTCGCTCGTAGCCCGTGGAAAGCGTTACTTCAACGCTAGATTTAAGGGCATTGACTGCACATATTTTCATCGAAACCCGTTATGTTGACAGTTACATCGAAATGCGGCTTTTTCAATCGAGATATGAAATTCCTATCGTTACGTTAATTAAATACTACATAAATTGCTAATAAATACTATTTATGGAATCTGAAACTCGTCGAATCGATTCCACAAATCTAGTGTCAAGTACACTACTGTTCATAAGTATTAGTGCACTTGACAGGAACGTTGTCAATATTTCGTAAAAATTGATGAACAATTTTTTTTGTCGTTTTAACCCACTTCGAAATACTGTTATATGTATACAAATTATTTTCTGATTTCGATTGAGGTACATAATCGACTTCTAATTCGTATGCTCCTTATAATCGATTACTTTAGATCGAACGGAACGTAGTTGAACGCGCCTCTGACCGTTTTTCTGCCCTTTGCAGCCCCGATGCCCGAGAAGTACAAGCAGAAGAAGGGCGCAAAACCGCGTGGCGTGTCGAACCGGAATCGTGGCTTACAGTGGATCAGGGCGAACGCAACAACAGGCGTCTTTTATTTCGCCGACGACGACAACACCTACGACATAACCCTTTTCGACGAGGTATTACGATTTAAGTATATTATATCTCCCAAGCTTATTGTGTTCGGCTACCAATGGCGTTGAGTAGATAATTAGGGACCCTGGGTTGCCGACAGTATGTGTGAGTTGGTGTGAAAAGAGAGCGAAAGGGGGTTTGGATGGTGTGAGAAAAGAGCGTGGTTGTGCCAAAGGGCAGAAGATTCTGGAGCCACAGACAAGATATACGAGCAGACCTTACAATTTATGGATTTTCGTAGCCCAATCGGACTGCTATACCAACATGAAATTCGAAGGTGATTGGATACGTACAAAAAAGTATTAAACATTCCCGTAGAGCGTGAAACAAATTTATTCAAAGTCAAAAACGAATTTTTAAAAAAAATCGACAGAAATCAGCAGAAAATTTTTGTCGAAAAAGAAGTTTCAAATCGTTCTGAAAAAATTATTTTTGATTGCGGGGGTCAATTGCAATTATTTTTGGTCATTAGACATATCCTCGAAATTCTACGCACTTTCGAGAAAAAAATTCGAAAAGGTGCGAAATTTTTCGACAAAATTAAAAAATTTCAAATCATTCTGGAAAAATTATTTTCGGTAATGGGGGTTAATTACAATCATTTTTTGTGAATGGACATATACCCGAATTCCTACGCACTTTCGAGAAAAAAATTCGGAAAGGTGTGAAATTTTTCGACAAAATTAAAAAATTTCAAATCGTTTTAGAAAAATTATTTTCGGTTACGGGGGTCAATTGCAATCATTATTTGTGAATGGGCATATACCTGAATTCCTACGCACTTTCGAGAAAAAAATTCGAATAGGTGGACAAATTTTTCGACAAAATTAAGAAATTTCGAATCGTTTTAGAAAAATTATTTTCGGTTACGGGGGTCAATTGCAATCATTTTTGGTGAATGGACATATACCCGAAATCCTACGCACTTTCGAGAAAAAAATTCTTTTCCGAAAATATAATGTGAGGTTAGGAATGTTTCTCCGAAAAGATCATAACTCCTGAACGGATTGGAGGATTCTAGTGTTTCAAAATGCAAACAACACGTATTTTGGTGGGGAATATATAAAACTTCTGACAGTGTTCGAAAAGTTGGTCCTTTACCTTGTAAAGTGAAAAAAATCCAATTTTCACACGACCATAACAACTACAATAGTGAATATATTTCAACGAAATTTATTTCTCACGTAGAGCTCATGGGTAGCTAAAAAAAAGTATTAGACAGCATTGAAGTTTGAGAAACACTGCGTTATAACACGGTGCTGCACTGTGGTAATCTCTGGGTCAAATATTCTCGTGCGGCCCACCACAATTATTTGGCACGCGTCGGCTCAGTCTAGTGTATAGCGTTGCGCCAGAACTCTCGCTCAAAGCTTGGAAAATTTCATTTAACACGATAATTGCTACATAACCTCGTATATAAACCGACGATATATAATACGATTCGAAGTTCCACAAAGGAAACTCCGGAGATAACTTCGCTAAAAAGAGATCAAAGAATAATTAACCGCCTCGAAATTGTGCTACTGTCAGAGGATCAAAACGTAAACTTTGTCACCGTCGAATATTTCCTTTTTCAATCGTAATAATCTTCCGTGTAACCAACGCCAATTGGCGTCTTCCGCACAATTTAATAACTACATTAGTACAGGCGACTGACGCCAATTGGCCTTAATTAGAATAAAACTAAAAATAAACAATTACAATTCGCAATTGGATAACACGTTATACGGCAAATTTAATATTATAGTAATTTAGTCGAGAAAATGCATGCCGTTTATGTGGAAGTGTCGTCGCGAATGCGTTTAGAAACCCAGTGATTCTCAACTTCTGGATCGCAGGACCGTAAGTGCAATGATAAAAACGTAAACGATCGTTTGACACGTACAATAGAATAGAACCGTAGTACTTACGAAACATAGCATCGTGAAATTTTGTTCAGCTCCCTGCAATAACAATATCCGACAGGTTGTTAAATTTATTGGTAATCGACTCCTCGTCGATGGAGTTTTGCTTCGTGTGCATTATTGTCACGGGGATAATAACGTCGAATAACCTTAAACTCTTATGCATTAGTACATCTTTATCTTGCGTAACTCACCTTACAGTACTCCTTGTCTGTCATCGTAACAAACACGTCAACTATTATGATTATCACGTTTCAATGTAATACAAGAAGTACTTATGTTCCGCGTCGTTGTTATTTGCATTGACGTCTGTTCTCAAAATTGTTCCGTCGAAATGGTGGCAATGCTACGCGCGTAATAAATATGTTAGCCCCAAGGCTTCGCGTGACGACAATAACCACTACAATTAATTGCGGAGAAACAGAGTTACGATACGCGTTACGATTAAATGTCATTGATAAATAACGCTGTTTCACTGGTTAAAGTTATAGCGAGGGAAGATCCTAGCGATATGTTTGATTATTCATGGTATAATCTCCTTTCTATAGTAGACTTACGTATGTATATGCGAAAAAACATCGATGACGTTAACGAAAAAATTATTTTTGTAATGTATCGGTACCTTGATACCGCATAAATTGCATGGAAAATATTTTTTATATCGTTATAAGGTTGACATTTAGATGGGTCACCCAGTATTTATAGAACCAATGAACTTTCGTAAATCATCGTGTTAGAGAAATTTCGTTCACTATACAGGGTAAGAAGCTTCCGAAAAATCAGATTTTCGTTATCAAAAAACAGTCCAGCTAAATACCTAACCTAAAAACTGTGAGTGGCGTTCGTAACGATGTCTGCTATTATTATCAATTTCGCGTAACAATATGCTAATAATCGTTTGAAAATAGTTTTTATATCGTTATAAGATGAATATTTATATGGGTCACCCAGTATTTATAAAACGAATGAACTTTCGACAGTAAATCATCGTGTTACAGTAATTCTGTCCACCATACAAGGAACGGAGCTTCCGAGAAGTCAGATTTTCCTAACCTATAAACTTCGAATGGCATTCGTAGCTATGTCGGCTATTATTACCAATTTCGCGTAACAATATGCTAATAATCGTTTGAAAATAGTTTTTATATCTTTATAAGATAAATATTTATATGGGTCACCCAGTATTTATAGAACGAATGAACTTTCGACAGTAAATCATCGTGTTACAGAAATTCCGAAGTCAGATTTTCCTAACCTATAAACTTCTAATGACATTCGTAGCAATGTCTGCTATTATTACGAATTTCGCGTAACAATATGCTACTAATCGTTTGAAAGTAGTTTTTATATCGTTATAAGATGAATATTTATATGGGTCACCCAGTATTTATACAACGAATGAACTTTTAACAGTAAATCATCGTGTTACCGACTCCGCGTAACAGTATGCTAATAATCGTTTGACATTTGAACCGGACGGTAGGATAAATTGCTCCGTGCACGTCTGTATTTCAGATCCGTAGAACGAAAAGGGTATCGATGTTCCCCGTGGGCTTGTGCACCAAGTTCGGTCTTAGCTCGCCGATCATCAAGAACGGATCGTTCGTCGGTTTCTACGACGGTTGGATCGCCGGCAGGAAGTTCCCCGTCGACATGGCGGGTTTCGCCGTGAGCGTGGAATTCCTGCTACAAAGGCCGAACGCTACGATGCCGTTCAAAGCTGGATACGAGGAGGACGGTTTCCTCAAGAGCCTAACGCCGCTCGAACCGAAGGATATCGAGTTTCTCGCCGACAATTGCACCAAGGTGCTCGCGTGGCACACGCAGACGAAGAAAAACGAGCCCAGCGTGCCGCTAAACTTGAAGCTGTACGGTGAAACGAACCTCGTTAAGTTGAAGCAGCAAATAGTATGATGTTCGATCCGCCGTGACGACAGAAGATTATACCGAGTTCGATCTAGTTTCGCGTTGCTTGGTACGGTGGCCGTGACCGGGAATCGTTCACAAACAAAGTGATTCAGTGCCTGAAGTATTATAATGTACGGTCGGTGTGACAGGAAATTTTCCTTTTCGTTTTTCTACCCTTTCTATATGTATATATATATTTTTTTTTTGTTCGAGTCATACGAAATTAGCAGAAGATTTTTTTCTTTCGTTGTCACACGTGAGTGGAGCAGAAAATAAGCACCCAAACCTATTACCGAACACGTAGGCTCTGCATTGCGTAGCGTTAATAGTTATTTTGTATATTAATATTTAGGTTTTAGTTACGATGGTTACAGGAGTCCCTGCTTTACAGTCCGCAGCGTAGATCGAATCCGGACGTTTATGCGGGAAATCGACTTCCTGGAATTTGAATAAAGGAACTGGAGAGTCGAGTTCGTTCATCTTTTCAACGGACGTCTTTTCTTTTCTTGCTAATAAAAGGAGGCTGTGGAAGTCGACTTTCGAAGGTGTATAATTTTTCATACGCGGCACAGATTCAAATCTTGCTTTTGCATTTTTAAATCATCATTTTGTAGCATAATACAATTTTTCTTTAAAGATAAAATTTACATATATTTTTGTAATTTATTTAAATAGATTATTCGTACTCTTACGATTGAATTCTGAAGTCGGCGACGTTGAAAAAAGGAAGAATTATACTGTACGAAATCTGAAACCGCCGGTTAGTAAGAAATGGAAAGACGTACGTCTGTTGAGAAGACGGTGCATTGCTAAAAATTGTTACTAAAAACTTCGATGATATTTTGAACATTGTATCGTGTCTTATATACGTCGATTTCGTCGGCGAGTGAAAGCTCACACCGAGGTCCCAATTTACGGGAATCGGTGGAGCGACGGGAACGCCTTAGCGGGGAGAAATGCGAACGCTAAAGCGGGGACTACCGTAAGTACGTTCCCCGTAGGCCAATGACCAATTAGCGCAAAAGAAATAATTCAGTTTGGGAGTTACACGCGATGCAAAGACACTATGATAAAAGAAGCAAGGGAATCGTGTTAGGAAGAATTTACCAATGAGTACAATATCTTTACATTATCTTCCGTTTCGATTTGCAAATCGTTTTGCTTTTTCTATATCTGTTGGTTAGTCGCGAACCCGATACATGATCGATGGACGTGCACCGTCGGTAAACGTAACGTGGCTAAGGTTTCTTCAACTTTTTGTAGCGTATAGACGATCGTAAGTTACCTTCTTTGTACTTATCGTTGTAGAAATATTACTTTCCACTATTTATCGTACCAAAAATATTTTACCGTGGCGCAACAACGATTTTGTCGTGTGTCGGCTCGTTCGCGACGTAGAGTTTATTTGAATTGTACAGAAACTCGATATTTAAGACTTTTGTTTGTTTGCGTCTATTTTAGTATTTTTTTTTTTTTTTATTCATCCAAAGTGATTCATTTGCGTTGAACCGAATTTGCGCTTCTTCGCTTTGGGCCATCATCCACGATGAATACGAGATAGTTATTAGTTTTTAAAATATTGTTGGAAAAAGTAACGAGGTGAAAAATATATTTATGAAATGTGTTGTGCTTCGAGTGCGTTATGCAACGATTCACTTATCATCGAACACGTTTGGACTTGTCGTTGCAGTTCATTTTGGATGAAATGCAGATAAAAATAATGTTTGTACTTTTTACTGTGAACGATCCGAAGCGAAGAAGTATAAATTACGGCGTTACAGTAATCTTCGGATAACTGAAACGAAGTCGAGTGTTCGGCGTTTCGGTTAGCCAGGACAGGTCCAGATTTCGTTTCGCGCAGTCGGCCATTTTTTTTTTCCTCGGACTGAGGCCGAGCCGCGCGCATACCGTCCGACGGGAAGAATGAAACAGTCCAATGGCGAGTCTCGGGATTCTTGCGTTCAACAGCTCGCAACCGAAAGCAATAAAATATAAATGGTAATCTAAATAAATGAAAATTAAAATTTGTATTTTTCATCGGTAGGCGTGATGTTAGAGTCGACCCCCCCTACAACACGATTAATTCGTTCCACGTGAAACGAAACCTACAATTTAACACGCTTATCTTGTCAAATTTTAATTAACATTGATTAGATGTTTTATCGCTCGAATCGAAGGGGCGTTCGCTCGAAGCAACATAAATTAATGGTGGAGATAATTTTGTTTCGATTACTCGGAGATTACTGTATTTCCTATTTGTTTAAAGGAGAATCGCCTATATACACATATGTATATGATAATATTATGAAATAGCTGATTAAGGGACTCATTGAAATTTCGTAAGAAATAATAGCGATTGTTGCACGGTTCAGGATGACCGAAATTTCGATCGTGGAGTGCAAATATTCATATCGAATGCATGCGTAGGTAGGTAAAAAAGAAAAATACAATGTAACGAAACGTGTTTCGAGAGATCTGCGACGAAGCTGTGCTGAGACATTGAAATTTTTAATTATTCCCTGTCGAAACCAGACGCATGTTAAGCATGAACATTGGCAGACGTACACTTACGAACGCTTCTTAATATTAAATTCTCTTATTGGCAATGTTATGAGACGGGTATAAACAAATTTCAGTTGCGATTTTTTTACGGCATACATTTACAGGGTGTTCGGCCACCCCAGGGAAAAATTTTAATGCGAGATTCTAGAGGCCAAAATAAGACGAAAATCAAGAATACCAATTTGTCGATGGAGGCTTCGTTAAAAAGTTATTAACAATTAAATTCAAAAATTTCAAATCGTTCTGGAAAAATTATTTTCGGTTGCGGAGGTTAATTACTATCATTTTTGGTGAATACACATACCTTCGAAATCCTATCCACTTTCGAGAAAAAAAAATCAAGAAGATTTGAAATTTTTCGATGGAAAAAAAAAATTTCAAACGTTCTGGAAAAATTGTTTTCGGCTGCGGGGATCAATTACAATCATTTTTGGTCATTGGACATATCCTCGAAATTCTACCCACTTTCTAGAAAAAAATTCGAGATGGTGTGAAATTTTTCGATGGGAAAAAAAAATTTCAAATCGTTTTAGAAAAATTATTTTCGATTGCGGGGGTCAATTACAATCATTTTTTGTGAATAGACATACCCCGAAATCTTGCGCATTTTCGAGAAAAAAATTCAGTACGGACGGAGCTTTAAATGTTAATAACTTTTTAACGAAGCCTCCATCAACAAATTGGTATTCTTGATTTTCGTCTTATTTTGGCCTCTAGAATCACCCATTATAATTTTTCCCAGGGGTGGTCGTACACCCTGTATGTATATTTAACACTATTTCTACCGCGGTTCTATGCGTATCTATTTTGATCAAAAAGTGGTTCTTGACACCTTTGAATTTGGATGCAAACAATTACGTAAAGTTTAGAAAATAATTTCAAATTGAAATTTTAAAAAGTGTCTTTTCACACCTTTCGTAGAAATAGTGTTAAGAGATGGCAGAGTAACTTTTAGCCGAGTTAAATTTCAAATGAGATTTTTTGTATTCGTAGAATAAATTACATCGGTACAGCTCGTTACAGGGTTACAGCAGATTGCTCGATTCGGTATCTTAATATGCAACATTTATTACCAAAGTAATACGAGTGATATAGGAAGTATCTCTGAACCATAGAGATTTATCGTCAGTTTTTAATGATTAAACGTCGCTCAAAAGTTTAATCTCTCCGCCCCTGTTGCTAGAGAACAATAGTTCGGATGCTACGCGCGTCGCATGTATTATATTCTAGTCCAGCAACATCAGCAATGTCGATCGTGCAAATTGTGCGGCGTTACGAAATTTCTTCGAATCCGTAGAACGGAAGAAATTTATTCGATATACGACCGAGTAGCTGAACAAGCTTATTCTAGCCACAATTTGTCGACATTGCACCCAGTTTCGTTTAAAAAAAAAGGAAAACGTTTACAAAGAAACTGTGTAAATCGTTCGATCGATTGTGCCTGTTGTTTTCTTGCGATTTTCCCACAATCTGATTAAACGATGATATCGGTGAAAGCAATAAACTCGTTGTTAGGTACGGTTGGCTCCCCCGTGGGTCACATAATTGCGTGAGTGTATGTTAATGACTTTAACAATTGTAAAAGCGGACGATACTGCGTTTAATATTTATCGTAAAAGATGAGAACGCTGCTTCGAAGCTAGCGGTATTTACGAGTATTCGAATCGTGTTTAGTATTGCCGTGCTTGAACTGCGCGTGTGCACTTTTCGATAGTCTTGCACAGGCCGTCGCACGTGCGTGTTCAAACCCGCGATTCGCTTCTATCGTTTTATCCCCCATTTCACAGACGCATACGAGTCGTTCAACGACGAAAATAGAGAAAATTAACTGCAAGGCACTAACAGGTAACTTCGACAATAAATGCGACACTATTTTTTTTTCTCTTTCTAACCCCTCTTTTTTGAATTCTTGTGCACGATGTAGACAAAAACGATGTCTCTCGTTTATTCTCGGTGAACACGTCGATGAGATACATCCTTGTGAATTCAAATGGGCTTGGCACAGTTCAGGATCACTAAAATCCATAAAGATGCACCACATCGACGAGTCCGTTTATTCTTTCGATCAAAAGTCCCAAGTGCGAAAGTGTGATAACGGTTACGCGATAGGCGTTCATTTTGTTTTTGTAAACTCGATCGCACGCTGGATCACGCTCGTGTGCCATTAGTATACAAATCGTATTCTTTATATCAATCGTCGAATGTATTACGCTTCCTAATTCTTTTAGTCTCTTCCAAAATTGAAAAATTTTTAACGGACACATTTGAATGAAGTAATTCAGTCTTGCCAAAGCCGCTGCTGGATACCCCCATCACACTGTCTTCGTTGTCGTGGCAACAGAGTTCGGCCGCCCAAGGCCACCGAATAGGCTTACCTCGATCATACAAATTTTCGTACGACAAAGATCACGTCTAATAATGAAGCATAGTAACGATACTCGTAAAAGAGCAAACGATAGAAAAAAGGCGTAGACGCGACGGCGTGAATGCGTGCAATACATTTATAAGACTGAGAACGCGAGAAGGGGGGTTTTTTTCTTTTTTTTTAAATGAAATCTTCGAAACCTACTCGAAAGCGTGAACGCGAAAAAAAAGAGGGCACGAAAGACGAAGTTAGTTACGAGGACGGAATTGCAAAGGATCAATGTCGTCTGAGAAGTTTAAATCCATCCAATCATTTCGAAAGTTTTCCATACCGTTTACTACTCGCGTTTTACGAGTATCGTTGTTTCGATCGACACATATCCTAATTACGGCATTACTCGCGAATTCTCAACGAAACAGGAACTGAATAACTGAATAAAGGAATGTTGCGATACACGTAAGGATTTTAATTCACGGTTTCGTTTTCGTACGAACTTTTATACGGTTCGGTAAGTACAAACTACACCGATCGATTTTAATCGAATCGTTTGCTAGTCGCGTTATGTTGTGTAAGTTACGTAGAAATAAATGTGAATAAAAAAAGAAAAAAAAAAAATGAAACAGAAACCTACCGCGTGTAAACGATATATTCACGCTTAGTTAGTTACTTACTGTTCCTTATAGAGAAATGTAACAAAAGTAATAAATGATGATGTGATATTCTAATTTACATAACGTCTATAAAGGTTTTTCATTTCCACCATGTGCTTGGTACAATCTTGTACAAATGCGTTATTGTATTACAACATGGTGGTTAATAACCTTTTTTTTTTCGACGGACTCCTTTATTTTACGGACGGTAAATGAGAGTTTATGTTAAGTACAAAAGGATCAAGGTTCTCTGTAGTATTTTTAAATATTGGTAGAATAATAAGACTCATTTAATTTATCTTATTTTACCAAGATATCCTTTGAGGATGGGGTTGATCGCTCCAATAAAACACCTTGTTAACGAAAATATAGAATTGTAGAAAATTAACTACCAACGTAGTGACTAATTCCATAACAATTTGCCACTTCTTTGGTTTCTGAATAAGTAAGCGATAAAAAATATAGGGAATAATGAAGTAACGTGGTTCTATAAGCAACTGAGGAATAAGGACAGCTGATACCATGATAAAATAGTTAATCTGTGTTGTGAATCTCAAATGCTTGATTCCATAGTATACCGTATATAGAGTAAACGAGTAAACAGGTATTAACAGATACTTAAATAGCCTGTACCTTCCCATAGACTTGTTCCAAAAGTAAAATACATAATGCCTATTGTCGGCTAACATGTATGGATGAACAAGCGTGTTGTAATGAACTATTACGGTTAAAACTATTAGCAAACAACTTCCAAAGATCCAGTGTTTTCGAACAAAGTCCAAATAGCTTTTCCAACGTACAATTGTATATGGCCATAGGAAACACGAAAGAAACGCAGAAAAATATAATAACTGTGGGATATGAATAGTAGGAACATGGGCAGTCCGATCTCCAACTACAATACCTTTGTTCCAAATAACAAATGCAAGAAATAAGAAACAAACTGTTGCATATGGAAGCAACTCTATACACACTCGAGTAACAAACTTTAGAAACGAAGCCAATCCATGACATTCTTCTATTATCTTTTTGCATAGTAGCTAAAAGTTATATAACATTACATGTAAGTGAAAATATTACGGCAAACAAACTCTAGGTAGATAGAATAATTCCAGTTTACCTATAATAACAGTCTACTTACTCGTAAATAAAGTATCGAACTATATTGTTCGTATGAAATTGATTTATGCATCGTACGATCTAACAAGTCAAATGCACATTCCACAGCGATAAATGCAACCCAGATAATATTTGTTTGCCGAATTAATACAGACAAGAAACCTGCGTAACAGTAATTACAATTTTTTTCTCCAACCTGCAACGCATTCAAATCCATGGCTGTTTATACGTACCTAGAAAAGCTGCTGTTTTAAACCGTTCGCGCAAATGTAACAGTAACATTAGCAATACTGCGTTAACAGACACGATGTCTGTATAATACAGAAAATGCCAGAAGAACAAGGGTGGAAAAAGCATAATGTTATAAGCGATTGCGAGTTTCATCCAATTGTTCCATCTTTGCCTCCGACGAATAAATGAGATTCGTTCGAGTATATTGTACGCGAGATATAAATTTACAAACGTTCCAAGTAAATTTATAGATCTCATGTAAAAAATGTTACAGAGGTTCAAAGGCGATAAGATCGCGGTCGCAAGTAGGTACAAACCAGGTAAAGTGGTAATTTTAGGATCCCACTGAAAATAATATATCCCTCGAATATAATTTATTTAAAAATGCTCGTCCTCGCAATGATTTAGAAGCGTTCGATTGCAAACCAAAAATTTAATTACGTCCTCCAAATACGTATTCAATAGCGAACGAAAGAAGCGTTGGACGCTGTCGTAAATGTTTTTGGCGAGAAAATAATAATTGTTCGATAAACGAGAAAACGTACCTGTGTAAAATTGTTGGCACAATACTGCAATGTCTGAGGTACATGGAAAACCTCGTCAATGAAATAATGTGGTTGCACATGGTTCAGATAAATAAATAATACTACGACACTCGAACAAGACAATAATATCAAAGATATCTGTACACGCTTAGAATTTATTTCGATCGGAAGAGCCATTGTTTCAGTAACGAAAAATTAATCAAATACTACGAACAATATTACAAACTAAATCGTTATAAAATTCATGACATATTCGACGCCCGACGATTTCGTTAAAACTAATTTGCACTCGACCAAAGATAATTTATTACATTTGTTTCGGTCGCTTATCTATCGTTACATGATTGTACGAATATATTCTCGAATGATCACGCTTAGACGGTTAATGGTGTTTTGAAATGTTACGGTGAGAACACGTATTCCATCGTGTCGTACACTTTGTACTTTACGTTTATGACGTTGACAAACTTTCTACAGTTCTCTGAAGTTAACGTCGAGTCAACCGGTCAAATCAATGACCGAGCTTATCGAAGGTTCGATACGAAAAAACGCGGGAACAAGATTAAATAATACACATTAGTCAAAATATTATTCCTACCTTATTTACGTGCTTAATAATAATTAATATCTGCATCGATGCTCAGGTATCGGGATATTATTTGTTCTCGTCTGTTATCGGTACATTTACCTTACCTGAAAAAATTTCAATTCTTTTAATACAATTTTTAAAATAGGCAAACCCTCCCCGACAAACTAAGTCTTCCGTAAGATGGAAATTGTTCGTTCAAATCTAAGCACAGATCGATACGTACCAACGAATATGGACAATATGGGAGTAGGAGTACATTTCGTAATGATCGTTACAAATATGTAAATTGTTTGGAAAATGATCTTCACTATATCGAGATAAATAAGTTTATTATAACTTAATCTCAGATTTGGAGCAAGACAATCTGAGTGACCTTGTTTTTGTTTTCTCATGTGTAAAAACGTTGGCAGAATACAAATTTCAATACTTTACAAATTAGTAAATTGCGATCACTAGGCAAACTTGTTCTAAAGTATGACGCTTAATTACTTAAACACTGTGCTCATTCCTTAATCTCGATTAACCAAATCATATGGAAAACATACATGTATAAGAACAAATTTTTAATGTCACTTTACATCTATTACACTTCCTTTTTTTTTTACGATTACGTAATAAAATAATTAAAAATTCTAATTAATATAGCAATTTTTTTTACAATTAGTTGAAATTGAATTATAAGATTTAAAATAAAACTAATATATATACATATATATAATATGTTATATATATATATATATAATATTGCAATAAAAGTTCAATTTACCAATTCAATGTAAAATATTCATACAACTTTCTGAAATCATACCAAATGTTTAACTAAAACCAAAACTAAATTTGATTCGTTCCGATATTCAATTTTCCTATTTAATATTAATACAAACTGATCGATGACTCGAATTATGTTAGTTTTGGATTTGGCTTGTTTTGGCTTTTGAATGCTCGTTTACTTTGTGCATCAACGGATTTTCTATTATTCAGGTCTAGGCAGCTAACGTTATCGCCCTACGATCTCGATTTCTTCTAACAACACAAAAAAAAATATCTCTGCAAGAGATTGTTTGGTCCAAATTAACAAATGCTACAATTAGAAGATCGTTCTTTTTCAAGTTATATTTTTTACGACTTGGAAGCCATTGCAGTTTCGTTGCATGGTATTACGTATTTCCTTGTACAGTATTTTGTGGATGGCTTCGACGGTTTCGAACACGAAAATCTTTATCTCGAAAATCGTTGGTACTCACGGACGCTTGAGAATTGTGTCATTATAGGTATTTAAATTTGTTTCGATATCGATCAGAACCGTATACAAAAATATATGTGTAACCCCGTTTAAAAATACATCAATACGTTTAAAAATTTGAAAGATATACGATCTTGAAAAAACGACGATCCACCAATATTTGTCCCTCCGGACCAAAACGTTCCTTCCACGGACATTTTTTTCAGATCGTAAAACGAACGAAGATTATTTGGTCGATAACATTAGGCGCCTCGCTCTCTACAATTTGCGCACAATTTCTCCTCGATGTATCATTAGATGGAGCTTATAAATGCTATCGTGTATCGATACAACGCATATCAATGTTCAGTTTGATTCTACACTAATCTGATTCCTTTCCTAGCGTTCAGGAAAATCAATTCACATCGTAATATCGAACTTTATGGCATTTTCACCTGAGAATAATTGCAGGATAATTGTCGACGTACTAAATGTAAAATAAATCAAGTTTCGTTGAAGTACAATGCACGAATATGTACAAGCAATTTGATGTAATTGTTGTACGTTTAAAACATGATCTCTTTATACATAGATATAATACATAAAAAAGACATAGGCAAACAGTATACATATATCACGAGTTAGTAGGCATACATGAATTCACATTTATGTATGCGTTATACAAAGCTGAGCATTTCTCTTGTTGGGATCCTAGTGTTGTCTAGCTTCTTAATCAAGTGGTATTCATTTATCTCTTTTTACTTCCCTGTTTGTTTTTAATCAATCTAAAACAAATAAAGAATGATGTGGAATCTTTATCGTGCTTAAAAGACAATTTCTTGAAAATAATTCAACTTTTTGAGCTTATGTACAATTACTGTTCGCTTTTTCCTTAAAAAAATTACAAGTTCCAGACGTTATGTAAATATGAAAAGTTTATTGTTTCCAATTAAGAAAAAAGTAATACCTATCGCGTTATTTTCCATAACAAACGGTTCGTTTTTAAATCACGGTGAATAATCACGTAAGAAAGTAAATTCAACAAAGAAAAAAGAATCTATAGGATTGTGGATAAATAGTTATAAGTACAAAGCTCTTACGTGCGGAATGGATAACAAATGAATATTTTGATTTATTGCAATAAAATCAATAGCTCGCACCGATAATGAAACGAAAACATTTCGATTAATCTCAAAGCTTCTGACACGTAACAAAAAAGTAAACAAAAATTTTTAACACATTGGCAACGAGAAGTATCATAGCACGCAATAGGTTAACCGACCAAATGTTACTAAACTGATATTACATTTGATGTTTCTTTAATATATCTCTATTTTGCGTTCTTAAAATTGCAAACAGAATTTAGACGAAACGTACGTTTGGGTCGTGACATTTTTAATAATCGACAGTAGTTGTACTTCTAGTTGCAAATGGATTAATACTTAATATTCTTCTATGTTTCCCGATAACTTTTCACGTAATATTAAACATCGCGAATTACAAATACAGCATCGAAAAAAGACATTATCGAGTAACAATAAAGTGTTCAACGCACAAACATTTGACAATTATTGTGGGAACTAATATGTATATTTTTATTTCACTGCAAATGTATCTTGTTTCGGTAAAAGCAATACGGTATTTATTAAGTTGAATACTATGAAGAGTATGCACCTTAAATTGGGGGGAGGGGGAACCTTAGTTTTATGTATAATCATAATTTTCAACAAACGGACGTACAAATTAAAATATGGCGAAAAATGTTGTAAACATCATCCTTCGAACTCACGTGACTACCTGAGATATTTTGTATCTTTCAGTCATTAAAATTCTCTAAAATGAAAGAAAAAGACGTACACACGGAAGTACGCATGCTGACACTGAAAGCAATATCTAGAAAAATATCAAAATGTATGCTTAGTTTTACTCAATCTTTTGTCTCTCCTATTGAAACTAAAAACGCGGTAACTAATACTTTTATAGGCGTTCGATTCTAAATATTGCTTTTAATGTTCTCATTTTCTTGAAGAGAGGAAAAACGAGACACTGGAAGAAGCATGTTCTTGTTACAATAACGAATCGTACAATTGTTATCAGCACTTGTGGAATGCCTGCAGTCAAAGTGATTTCAAACACTAAATACGTACATGTTAAAAAATTATATATGCGCCTTTCATAGAACTATAATCACGTCTTAAGCAAAGATCAAAGAACGTTCGAGAATTATTTACATTTCTAACCTTACTCCGCTGAAAAATAATATTATACAAGTAATGATAAAAGAAAAAAAAAAGAAAAGAAAAAGAAAGAAAAAAAATATGGCAAAACCCGACTTTCTGAGAAGATTAAATCAATGAAAACTATTGTTCTAGTAAGAAATATAATACACCCTTGAATCCTAGAAATTTAAACTGTAGTACTATGAGCTATTTTTAAACAAAATGATTTATCTCTCTGCGAAAACAACGTATATCTACTGGTTTTCTTAGCTTGAAAATAGTTGTTTTTTTTTTTTAAGGTACGCAAGATGGGGCAGCTTATATGAAAGCAAGTTTGTGCAGATAACAAATAAAGAGCACTCCTTAGGAACTAACGAGACTTAAGCGTTATACCGAGATCTGAGCATATAACCAACTTTGTAAAGATTAAGCATGTTATATATATATACAATTATTTTTAATTACAGGTAACCCTCCGATAATAAAGGAGTTTATATCCATAAAAATATCGTACAAATCAAACTAGTATAAAAATTGGAATTGCGCGCGACAAGGGGTTTGCCAATTTTTAAAAAATTTTACTTTCGTATAAAAGAAAGTAATCATGACCAATCATGATCAGTCTTAAATCACTTGAAATAGTGAATATTACTATTTTAGAATCGTTCGTCCTTACAAAGTTCTGTCGATTGTAAATTTCTGTTTCGGGATCATATTCTTTTCGCAAGTTTCAGTCTATTTGTAATAAAAAATTCACGTTTACGCGTGAATCGCTAACTGTACTTCTACGAATCTCGCAAGGATACTTCATTATCAGGAAATTACCTGTATATTTAATTTAGGAATACATTCATAGTCATCCGGTAGAATTAAATAAGTCATTAATTATTTCGTGGCTATAAAAAATCTTACTTCTATCTCGTCGTGTAACGAAAATTTTTACCATCAAGAAACAAAGTAATTCGATCTTGTTCCAAATAAATAACTTCGTACTTGTTCACTTTTTATTTTCTATATTGATCGTATGTTCTCGCGGTTCTTTTGTACATTGTTTACGATGGATAAATATTTTTTTTTTTGTAGCTCGAAATCATAGAAAACTAACAAAATTCATTTCACTTCGGTCTCGATAGGAAAATTTCGTTACACGACGAACTTGAATGAAATTACTAAGTAGTAAGGGTCGTACATAGGCGGTGGAATTCTAATGTAATAGTCGAAGTATATTAAAACTATAGAATTAATCCTATTGACCAAAGGCCGATATGTAATACAAACGTCACAAATTTGAAATTGTGCCTGTACATGCTATTCTAACATCTGTACATTGCAATAATACAATAGTAAACCAGCTAGATACGAATCGTAACTTAATTTATCGTAATTTTATTGGAATATACTTTTTATTTAGTTTTAACGTAAATTATATCATTGAATCGATCGATTTGCATAGCAGTTGATTATGTACATCTTTTTCTCCTATAAATCATAAATAATTAACGAAAATATCACTTATTCGAGAATAAGAAATTAAATAAAAATTACGGTGAAACGTACTTAAGTGTGTATACGTAATTTCATAGAATTTGTTATTGTTTTTTTTTTCGTACGTTTTAGTGGAAAATATGTAGAAAAGATATGTTAAATGTAATCGTTACGAAAAAAGTTGAACGGACAAATGACAGGCAATGCCACAGAGTGCTCCATATCGTATCTCTAACGAATTATTGCTTTTTGCACTTTTCTTTCGAAATATTCGGAACGTTATGCATTATTATCCTTACAGTCGTGTAAAAACCGCTCGTGATTGAAAATCAACCAAGCCCAGTTCTACGTCGTAGCTTAGCCGACGAACAGTGATCGGTGTATGGAAACTTTTGAAGTACATTGAAACGAAAAGCATAAGAAATAAGAAAAAAAAAAAAAAGAAAAAAAAAAAGTGAAAAATGAAAGGAAAGATTGCAACGTGATTACTCTTCGGTCGTTCTCGTTATTGAGTCTCGATGTATAAACGATATCAGGACCCCGTTAAAATAGTGTCGCGTGGAACGTTACGCACGGTAAAGTGTATTGTCGTTAAAAAATATTGTTTTCTCGGGTACATTTGGCAAGCATGCACATCTGGATCGAATCTTCGAGGGGGATCTGGAAGATCGAATCTTCGAGGGGCAATTAAATAAAGGGCGATGTGGTATATGAAAATTAATGACAACTACGAGAGGACGGTTCGCACTCTCCTCCAACGTGCCTCCCATTGTGGCTTATTTCTTTTAGCGCTCAATCCAAATCCGAATCCAGAACCAACTATAACTTTGTTAATACAAGCAATGTTGTTGCTGTTGTTGTTATTCGTGTGGCCGTTGTTCGTGTTAAGACTGACCAAGTTTACTGCGTGTAAAATTCGAACGGCCGACGTGAGCCGTAATTTGCTCGTCGGAGAACTGAACACCAACTTGCGGTACTGTTTAGCGCTGCTGTCGGCGTCCCCGCTATTGCTAGCGGCGTGACGATCGGTAAACTGTTTCGCTGTGTGGGTATACTCGGTGGAAAACGATTTCGCCATCGATCATTGTCGATACGTTTGAGACGATATGCCGTTACCAGGCGTCACGTAATCCCCGATCATCAAGCTGGGATTCACTGGATAATGCGAAGTGTTGCCAAGGACCAGCGATTGCTGGAAAGTAACACCAAGCTGTAGCGCGAAAGACACGCAGGCAGGCGTACACTTTAGTATCCTTTCGCAGATTAATATCGAATTGTTTAGCGAGCTATTGTTTCGTGCAGATGTTTCAACGCACCAAACACTTACGATATATATGCATATATAGGGAAGTAGCTCGCTGAAAATTTTAAATACGATTCGTTAGCCACTTACCGTTGCTGGTGATGTGAACATGTTTGGGGTGATTCCACCGCCTATTAATTGCGCTGCTTGCGTACTCGTCGCCGTGCCACCGACTCGCCCCCGTCCTGTACTCGAAATCGAACCGGGGTGAATGTTTGGCTGACCTCCTGTAGAACACAAACATACGCGCCAGTAGCAAATAGTAAAATAATTCTCTTAGGGACTGATATATATATATATTTATACGGACAAAACACTTGTAAATATGCAAGACAGATATCCAAATGCGGTAAATCGTATTTAAATTCACATACATTCCTAGAAAAAAAGTTTTCTATTAAAAGAACACGTAACAATGTTGATTACGAATGCGATCGCGCTTGGACGTAAAAATCTTATCCAATCTCTTTTCTTACCTATTGCGAGTAAATTGCCGGCGTTCACTGCTGCGGTCGCGTCCATCGAAACCTCTCCCAAACCGTTAACGGACATTCCATTGACCATGTTCACTGCTTGCCTGGCACCCTGAGCGTCCAAGGTTGTCCAATAAGACTCGCTGGGCGAGCTATTATTTAAACCAGGAGGTGGCTGCGCAACCGCGCCGCCCGTGTATCTGAAGTACGGATTTTTCAAATCCAAAGCGTTACTACTGCTCTCCATATTCGTCCCTTCCAGCTTCAATTCTATTGTCACGTCGTAAGATTGTCTGAAATGAAAACGTTATGCGAAATTATGTCTCGTAAATATTTTAAATACGTCCGATGCTTGAATGTTTTCTAGTTTCATGAACTAGCATTGCAATCATGTAATGTCACCTTTTGTTCGCAATAAGAATGACCTTTCCGGATAACAGCTGACCGCTTTTACAGAATAAAGGATTTTCCAAAAGGCAACGAACTTGGTACCAATGCGTGAGAGGTTCTGTGGGAGCCGTACTCAACCAGACCTGTTGCGTCGACCCGATAAATGCAACGTCAAACCAAAATGCAAGCCCGTGGCAGGTGCCGCTCTCCAGTATATGAAAATCAACATCAATTTCTAGAAAACACACGAATTCGGTAACACACACTTCTATGGCCGAAAAGCAGCAACGCGACAACAAATGCACAGTGTTTCACCTATTTTATGTAAGTCAGTCTCATTAGCTGTTTGGAAGTCGACTATATGTCTAATGGATTTAGCCATACAAATTCTTATATCAAAGGTATCGACGATTGGTTGCCTAAAGTACTCTTTAATTGCATTATTTCTCATTGCCGAGAGATCCACTCCATGGAAACACGTTTGATACCAAAAATTAGCTTTATTAAATTGTTCCATGTAAAGGTTTTCGTCAGAAAATGGCGCAATATGAAGATCGCCTCGCGAAGGGAACATTCTGCCACCTGTGTTGGAATCGTTCGATCGTGTTAGAATTGATGAGTGTAAACCAAGCAACAAAATAATGGATATGCGTTTACCTGGAACTAACCACTTTTTCGCGTGAAGGTAAGTTTCAAGCATTCGTTCATTGTATAACATATAACCCATTGGTTCGCTCACTACACAGTCTACTAGTTCAGGTAACTCAATTTCTTCTATTTTACCAGCTATGACAACAATCTTATCCGATAAATTATTTGCGGCAACTAACAATTCTGCATGATTTGCCATGTTACTTGCTTCTACCGCGTACACTTTCTTTGCGCCCGCTTGAACCGCAAAGAACGACAATATCCCAGAGCCCGCGCCTACGTCTAACACGACTTTGTCTTTAAAATCTGATAGATTTCCTAAAATTGCTCGCTGGTATGTACTGGTCCTAATATAATCTTGCATCATGTTTTGTTGCTGAGACAGATAGCCATAAAACTGAAAGTACTGCATCGCTGAAGATTCTTCGGTCCTTTCATTGAATGCAGATATACCCTTGCCATTTTTAAGTTTCAATATTTGCGAATGAAAGTGCCGAAAATCTGTGTAAAGTATGTATTGATCGTTAATAGTACAAAGTAACGTTAAATTGTGTCTTAAGAACGAAATAATTTCTATTACATATAGTATATATGCAGGGTGTTCCAGGAAAAAAGAACTGAAAAACTTTAATAGTATATTTCAAGTTAATAAAGGTTTAAACAACTTATTATAACACTGTTTTTTCTTATTTAGACCCACAAAATATACCGATGAAGTTCGACCGTTAAAACTTGGGACACCATGTATATCGGATATATGTTCTTTTTTAATATAAGTATAATAATTAATTGCAGATTATAATTCTTAATTAGCTTACCTGTTTCATTGGCGAATGTTACAAGTAAGCTATCCATATCTAATGTAAATACATAACTTCGTGAAGATACCCTGGAGCATTCTGTACTAGGAGTTACCGGAAATTCCAATAATGTAGTTTTATCTTTCCCAGTCGAATCTCCTATTACATACATGAAAATAAAAGAACAGAATATACACAAGAATACTTCATTAAAAATTTAATTCTTACGCGTTAAAACCGTATTTTATAATCTTTATAAAAAACAATCCTGTACATTGTACTTTCATCAAAGTTCTTAATGTGAACGTTAATTGACAAAGAACAAACGACATAATTTTCACGACAGTGACAATCAGCATGGTAAACAAATACAATGATCCTAAAGTACCCGTATTGTTTTTTAGAATACAATAAAGAAAACAGTATTAAACGCGTGATTTCCAACGAAAACGAAACCAGGATTTAAAATCTGTTAGTTACAAAATGAAAGAGCAGAGCGACGTAACAGAAAAATCAAAGCAGCAAATCTGTAGAACAAGCGTACTGAATTAATTCGTCGTAAACACCCGAAGACGAACGTCCCGTTTTCACGCATGCCTCGTGTAAGAATTAACGAACAAAATTAATTTTTAACATCACCACGGTCGCAACATGCAACAACAACGCTCGTTAAATTCGTACAAAGGAAACCTGTAAACGCACGTCCCGAGTGTGGTTATGTTGTCCACTCCGGAACGACGCTAACGCGATTCACAAAAGATGATTTATTGACAAATCAGTACCTGCGAAGAACTCAACGCTAAGACCTTGCGGATCATAGTTGATACTGAGCGTGACCGGCTTATTGTATTTAGGTGTTGACTGTCCATTGTTTGACAAAGTCGATACTGTCACCGCGCGAAATACCTTCGCCATTTTTACCATCTTTATACCGCGTGCGTATCGTACGCTGCAGCTCTCCGATCGGTTTATTTGCGCTTCCTCTTTATCGCGACGTCGTTTCTCGAGCAGTTGTCAGCCAAAAAAAAGAATACGATTTATCGTTCCTCCGGATGCAAATCACGCAATGGATATCGAGAAAAACTTGATCTAATTGCGATTTTTCACGTTCTCACACCGTACCATTGACTAACCACCCCCCGGCGCGTATTACACACGCGCACTAGGGTCACTAATGCACTGAATATATATCTAATTGAACTCCCTAGATTCGCGATGGGACACGGACCGTTCGAAGAAGTATCGGGTTTGTCATAATCTGTCTACCGTGCATCGTCGCGTACCAAGATCCATGCTAATTCCACGGTTCGAAAATTTCGATTGCCGTTTATCTTTAACCGTGGCTCGGTGGAGAATTTTTTTTCTCGTAACTAGGCAAACTCAAATGAACCGCCCAACATCGAGAACGCACGAGAGCGAACAACGACGAGCGAGCAGCCGAAACTTTAAAGCAACAGCGAAAACAGATCGAGTGTACGAACGCTAACGTAAATTTAAAATTTTTCATATTTTTTATTACGTCGTTGTGAAACGACGAGACGTGATCTCGTTCTAATTATAATTTATGCGAATAATTTCTGAAAAACTTTCTTCGACTACGTATGATTAAAAATAGTCCGAATAAGATAGTGTTCGGACTTACAACGAGAAACGTAAACGTTTTGATTTGAATTGGTACTGAACACATCACAAATGCGTGGCATTGCTTTGAAACTGGGTCAGCAAGATTTTAATTTCACAGCTAACGACCACTCGTATCGACGGATCGTTCGAGCCGAAGAAACCTAAACAGTGGTGGGGATGATTTAATTTCTTCGATCTTGTGCTAAAATTCTATCGTTAAACGAGGAATTATCGTAATTACAATTTCGAAATTTCATTTAGTTCTAACGCGACTGATTTTAGATATTATTATATTTGATAACGATTCGGATAACTTATACACATATTTTCTTTACTTTTCCACGTATACGTTTATTGTATACATATTCCTAGAAAAAAATCAGAACATCTAGTGACAAAAGTAGCTATATTCAGTGATGCCAGATTGAGCACCGGGTGCACTACTCACACTATGCCACATCACGCGTACATGAGCTCGTGGACTTTCGGAGAGTCGACAAAGGCAAACTGACGCATGCCCTCTTTCTCGATTCTCCGAAGCTGCCCGAAGTAATTTCGGACCGCCTCGTGGGAGTCGAGAGAGGAAAGCTCATTTGCCATCTCGCTCTTGAACAACTGAAATTCGACCTCACGTCGGCGGCATACGATTCCAAGTCTCGACTGGCCAGGTATTTTTTACTTTCCGACCTATGTATGTAGACGAACATAAGCAAGGTACAATAATGAAAAAAATTTTGTGAAATTTTTCTTACGGAAATACACGTTTTAAGACCCCCCGATCATATTTGAATTATTGAAAAAAAATAAATTCTTTTTTATTATTCCTATGTATGAGCGTACATATGTATATCATTTCAGATATCACATCTGCTACATCTGGCAACGTATAACCATTACTGCTGGCTCTCGCAGCCTCTTCTGGCTTCTGCTGGCCTCTGCTAACCTCTGCCAACATGTGCGGGCTTCTGCCTGCCTCTGCTGGACCCTGCTGACCACTGCTGACCACACCTGATACTTCCGACAAGGTATAACGATTACTACTGTTTACTGCCAGCCTCTCCCAGCCTCTGTTGGCCTCTCCTGACCTCCGCTTATATTTCTGACGACGTATAACAATTACGACTGACTTCTGCCAACCTCCGCTGGCCTTCGCTGACCGCTGCTGACCTTTCCTGGTATTTCTGACAACGTATAACGATTACGACTGGCTACTGCTTGCCGCTGCTTGTCACTCCTTGCCAGTGCTGGTCTCTGCTGCCCACGGCTAGCCTCCGCTGGCCTCTGCTGACCACCCCTGATGCTTCTGACAACGTATAACTAATACTACTTGTTACTGCTGGTCTCTGCATGCCTCTGCATCCCTCTGCTGGCCTCTGTTGGTCCCTGCCGACCACTGCTGACCACTGCTGACCTTTGTTATCAACTTCTGACATGATGTATAAGTATTCAAGCCTTGTATAATGTAAATCTACGGCAATAAATCATATAATTTAACAGAATTCTATGTGTTCTCATCATTTTTACCTTTCTTTTCCTCTCCAAATCATTGTCTTAGTTTTAAGAGACCGTTTTTCCGGTTAAATTTGGATTCCCAAAGTGTCCAGCTCTCGTACTTGCTGCCAAAATCAAAAATTAACTTTAAAATTTTTTTTCTTCAAAATGTCCTGAAACAACTGGAAAGTCCTGAAACAGCTGGAAAGTCCTGAAACAACTGGGAAGACCTAAAACTCCTTGGAATTTTGGAACCCCTTTGGAAGTCCCGAACCAGCTGGAAAGTCCTGAAACAGCTGGAAAGTCCTGAAACAACTGGAAAGGCCTGAAACAGCTGGAAAGTCCTGAAACAACTGGGAAGTCCTGGAATTTCTTGGAAACGCCGAAAATTCTTGGAAACCCTGAATTTTTAGCAAAGTTCTGAGTTTCAGGACTTCCGAGGTGTTTCAGGACTTCCTAGTGGGTTCAGGGAAACCAAGGAGTTTCAGGGAATCTTATAACTAAGGTAATGATTTGGAGAGGAAAGGAAAGGTAAAAAATGATGAGAACACATAGAATTCTTTGTAATTATGTCATTTATTGTCATAGATTTACATTATACAATGTTTTAATACATATATATCATGGCAGAAGTTGTTAACAAAGGCCGGCAGTGGCCAGCAGTGGTCAGCAGGGGTCAGCAGGGGTCAGCAGGGGTCAGTAGGGGTCAGGAGGGGGCCAGCAGGGGACAGCAGAGGCTTGCAGAGGCAAGCAGAGACCAGCAGGGGCAGGCAGTAACAAGTAGTAATCGTTATACGTTGTCGGAAGCATCAGGGATGGTCAGCAGTGGTCAGCGGAGGAAAGCGGAGGTCAGCGGAGGTCAGCGGAGGCCAGCAGTGGCAAGGAGTGACAAGCAGAGACTAGCAGGGGCAAGCAGTGGCAAGTTGTAATCGTTATACGTTGTCGGAAGCATCAGGGGTGGTCAGCAGTGGTCAGCGGAGGCCAGCGGAGGTTGGCAGAAGTCAGTTGTAATTGTTGCACGTCGTCAGAAATATAAGCGGCGGTCAGGAGAGGCCAACAGAGGCTGGGAGAGGCTGGCGGTAACCAGTAATAATCGTTATACGTTGTCGGAAGTATCAGGTGTGGTCAGCAGTGGTCAGCAGGGGCCAGCAGAGGCAGGTAAAAGCCCGCATATGTTGGGAGAGATTAGCAGAGGCCAGCAGAAGCCAGCAGAGGCTGTGAGAGGCTGGCAGTAGCCAGCAGTAATGGTTATACGTTGCCAAATGTAGCAGATGTGATATCTGAAATGATATACATATGTACGCTCATATATAGGAATAATAAAAAAGAATTTATTTTTTTTTAATAATTCTAATATGATCGGGGGTGTCTTAAAACGTGTATTTCCGTAAGAAAAATGTCACAAAATTTTTTTTCATTATAGTACTTTGCTTATGTTCGTCTACATACATAGGTCGGAAAGTAAAAAATACCTGGGCAGTCGAGACTTGGAATCGTATGCCGTCGACATGAGGTCGAATTTCAGTTGTTCAAGAGCCAGATGGCAAATGCGCTTTCCTCTCTCGACTCCCACGAGGCGATCCGAAATTACTTCGGGCAGCTTCGGAGAATCGAGAAAGAGGGCATGCGTCAGTTTGCCTTTGTCGACTTTCCGAAACTCCACGAGCTCACGTACGCGTATCTGGCATGTGTGCGTGTGCACCCGGCGGTGCTTTTCTGGCATCTCTGCCTCTGGCTATATTGCCAATTTATAAGTTATTCTTAATATAACGCCAGGAATTTTATGCTACCCGTAAGTATTGTATTTTTTTATAACTTTTATGGAATAATATATATTTATATAGTAATCAAGACATCGTTAATAACATCTTAATTATTATCATTTTGATTATTAGGAGCAACGAATAAGAATTACATTCTTTGATACCACATTTATGTAGTTTTAATGCTTTTATGAAATATTTGATGGCAGTTAAAGCATAAAATAACTGATGATAGGACAACCAATTAGATGTGGTTTCCATGGATGGGCATATTTGGATCTGCAACGCCATTGGTTGCAGTACTGCGCTTGGAAAGTTTTGTCTACTTTCTGGTTAGTGGCTGACGATACTTCTGATCGATAAATACGAGTTGGACGATAAGTCGAAACTCGAAGACTGGCGGCGTGGCTGATTGCTCTTCCCCGTTTTTGACAGTGCATCGGATACATTGCACTTCTACGCAAAAATGACTGCTCACGATCAAATGCGAGCTATGCTTGATCAGTTAATGGGCACAGGACGGAATGGTACGTAAAATTACATTTCGTACAGTGTTTGCATGTTCTTGACGGTATCACTATTTACAGTCGCTTGAAAGCTCTCACGAAAATACAAGATGGTGGCCTACAATTTGCCATTACGCGAGTACCCCTCTAATTGAGTGGCACTGTTATTAACGTATACTTTATATTTTCAGGTGAGAATAACAAATTTCAAGTGAAGTACTCCGATCCAAAGGTCTGCAAGAGCTTTTTGCTGGCGTGCTGTCCGCATGAAATCCTATCGTCAACAGTGAGTGTACTTTAAAATTACCATATATTGAAATATAAATGACATACCATTGGCACTAATGCGCTATCGTAGAGCATTTTTGTATATTCTTTTGATATTTCTTCATGTTAACATAAAAGCAATCGGACATCAGTACGTTTAATGTTGCATTCAGCTGTTTTTTTTCTGTTATTCTTTCGATCTTTCTAGTCTACTCTCTGGTTACACGATTCAATCACTTTAATTTGGTTAGCAAATTTATTCGCTTAATTGTTTCGTTGGTAATAAAATAATTATGTTTTATCGACGCACACGTAACACAACGAAAAATACGATTATTCTTATATTATGGAGGCAATTTATTTACATATATATGGCTTATATAGCTTTGTGTATATATTTACAGCTTTGTTAGAATTATATAAATTATGACGAACTTTATAATTAGTTGTGCATAAATTGTAATACTTAGATATTTTTTTGCATTAATAGTAAACGCATTATTCGATCAGCATTATAGTTTGCTTAATACATAGCCAACCAAACGAGGAGATCTCTCTGCTTTAAAATATGTTGAGTTGTTGGCTAAGTGTTAAGGTTCATAAATTGAAAACTGTGTCGTAATTAGAATATTCATCGGGACATGCATAGACGAAATATCATATTGCATTTATTTTGAATAAAAAAGATAATGTAGAATATGCTGAACATTTTATTTTGAAACCAGAAAAACAGCTTGAAAAGAAATATAGTTTGTTGCTTCTGCTGGATAATTAAATAAATGTTTGTTCTTTAATTTGAAATATAAGAATCAAGTACTTTGGGGTACGAATGATGCAACAAATGTACAAATATTAGTGTATAAATACATATACTTAAGGACACGTGTTATGTGCTGTAATGGTAGAATATTAAACGTTATAATTATTTGCTCGTATCAAGTATTGTATTCTTGAAGCAGTCTATTATTAAGATTAAACAATCATCTTATTGATTTTACCGTTTAGCAACGTTATTTTTCATAAGAAAAGTATATATTCCATGCATATAAATCTTCGTTTGATAAACCTTTATAAATTAATGTACAAATACGAAAAAATTGTTATATGTTTGTGTTGGTATCATTGTTACATATTATCGCGAACCAATTTATTGTTTATACCCAATATTCTCTTTTACTTTGTTTAATTTTCAAAAATCTTATATTGATAATATTCAAAGATTTTTGTAGTTCGACACGAATGTTTGTGACATCAAAATTTCTGATTACCATTTATCAACACATTGGATCGTGTAACCATAATTTGTTTACACATAATTAATAACGATAGAAGCAAATTTTCTTGCACAAATTTTTTTTCCACCAAAAACATAAAAAATCAGATATATTTCTTTACCTTACAACAATACACATTAAAAGAAACACGACTGCAGAAATCCATCGACTGATACACTACTTTCTGGTACATATACGATTACAATATACAAGTCCTTCTACATATTTGTATACAGAACTATTTCTCTATAATTTCATGTATAATTCTGAATGTCGTGACTTGAATTGTTAATTTGAAGTTACACACGATATACGTTGTGCATAGTGCTTCCTTTCATCAGTGCCAATTGGTCCAATCAGTTTTGTAGATTGTACAAGAATTAGGTGATAAGAATCAATTTTGTGACGCGTATACAATAGGATGATATTTGCGTAATGTACTTCAGGAATTGATTCAGATCAATTCACACCAGATAGGCGTTGAAGTGCAACACGGGGCAGCAAACTACCGATAATAGGGAGCGATCCTTCAGATTCTCATAAAGTGGAGAGAAAGTGGGACGACAACGTCGGAATAATTTCTTCCATTGCTTTGACAAAATAATTCGTTTTCCACGAGTTTATAGCGTCAAAGTGAATTAAAGTTTCGGTAATCATATTTCTTATGCATAAAGTTCAATTCGCAATGGATGTATACAAAAATATTAACAATAACGTTTATTAAAAACTTGCCTTAATACTCTGACGGTATCAGGAATAAACTGTAGCTTTAAAAAGTAACGATTCACGAACTTGTCCCACTTCTCCTCTACACGATGCTTGGGAATGAACCGAAACTTAAACTACACTTGTGGTAATGGCCCTGTACGATCGCGAAACAATAATACTCGCAAGAAATTCTAGACAATAAAACCATAAAGTTTAAGTAGAAACGACATTCTAAAATCAAAACAATGACGTGATTTTCAAATAAATAGTATATTGTTCACGTTAGTACTGCTTCGCGCATTTCTTTGTCATCTCGTGCGAATTGGTCCGAAGGGTGTTTGTTAAATTAAAAGATTGTTTTCTGTTAAATTTTCCAACCGATCGTTCGCTTGTTAGAAAAATCATTTTAACACGTTTCGTGCCGCGCGGGGGCGTGGTGTGCATACGCCCCACGCTGAACTTTTCGCTCGAGCCATTTGAAATTTTCCACAAGAGTTATTACGTACCCACATTGCCAAAACGAAATCGACATGAAATTGGAAATGAAAGAGGAAAGGCAACTCTGATTCCGGTACATAGTATGGATGTTGTATTCGATGACTATAGTTACCGGTAGGATACAGCAGGCGTGCATAATGGACGACTATAGTCGCTGCTAGTGTCGTAATAGCGTGGCGTGTATACGACCCACACGGCCTGAACGGAAAGTAACCAAATATCGATCCAGTACAGAACGTGTTAAATACTCGGACGATTATCGATCGTTTCTCGCAGACGTCCGTTGTCGCAGTTAGCAAGCACCCTTCTACATTATTCGTGTAGGTTTTCCACGATAGAATTGACAACGCCAAAATTCTGAGAAAATGAAACGATGTATTTAAAGATTGATGATAAAAAAAAAAATAAATAAATAAATAAACGTAATACTTCTGGCAAATACTCGCGAGAATGACCGATATACAGGTTCACTAATGTCAATGTACCTACAGTTCTATTTCCAGAGTCTCTGGAAAAAGCAATTCCAATCAGATCCATTGTACAATATTGTTGCGAGTATTGTCCGCTCATATGTCGTGTTGTACTTGTCGCTCTCACACGCGCGTTACTGTAAGTACTGAAAGCGAAGAGGACGTACGTATTACATTCTACAATTTGATTACCTTAACATAATTCAAGTACTAGGTATTAATTCGATTGAGAATAAAGGCGGACGGTTTCCTCAGCCCCTCTACCGGTAACCACGGTGGCGAGGCTGAGTACCGAATATTAATTCCGAGACCCCGAATGGCCTGTTAAGTTGGTGAGTAGCGCCATTGCTGATTCATGAGACGATCTCTTATTGTCGCTTCTTACTAATAATGCCGTTTACGGCAGGTAGAAATGAAGTTTACTTTGAAAGTATGCGTGAAAATGTATTCATCCTCGGGAGATGTAACGGGTACAGGAAATGAAGCAGTGATCTGTAAGTAAGACCATGCGAATTGCCAAGAAATACGTCTGAAAATTCTGATGTTCGAGTCTCGGAATTGTAAACGTTGACATTTGTTTCTCGATGATCCCTACTCGTTCTTCGGTTCATTGATCCACGGTGAAACTTCGATCGGCCTATTTCAGGGGATATCTCGTATGATGTTTTAAGAGTTTCGAGAGCCTCGATTACGATATTGTGAGAGTATGTTGTGTTCAATGATAGGAACGATCGAGATTTCACTGTCTGTCGTCCTCTCGGAAGAAAAGCTCTAGACGTTACGCGGAAATGCAGTTGTGGCACATTACCGACGGGAAACGAGAATCCTCGTTTTATTGAAATATACGTTACCGACGGGAAACGAGTATTCTCGTTTCACGACAGGTGTGTGTTTTTCTATTAATTTATACAAAATAAAAATATATTAATTACAAAAATGAGATCATTATGTATTTAATATCGCTTACAAGTAATTCTGCATTGTTTTCGATGAAATAAAATTAGGGAATTGTGCCCTTTTTATAGAAAAATTAGAACCTTTTTTATAAAAACGCTTCGCGAATAAAAGATGGCAGTAATAGCCTTATTATACACATTTTGTAGATTTGTGTCATTTTCCCTAAAGCGTGTAAATTACATATTAATCGAATCGTATAGTTTTTGTAAGTGTAGGAAATTGGTTTTACCTTCATAAATATGCAAGTCTTATATTTTACAATTTATCAACAAGTTTTTTTTTACTGAATTTTAGTTCGTCCCCACTAATGACTACAGAATTGTAATAAATTGCCACTGTGTCACGATCCACGAGCAACGCAGGTTTTTCATCCGAGTGGACATTACTTCTTTTCAGTCTTTCGTTTCACAACGTCGACTATCAGATAGCTTTTCGAACAATTATCGAGAAATGAACGAGAATTATTGCATACAGTTCCAACGTGTAGTATATTCTAACGCGCATTGGAGAGATTTCTTTGAGCTTGTATATAAATTTTGAATCACTGTTTTATTTAAAAGGCGAAAGCGAGTCTTTCAAAAACCGGCGTGGAGAACCCGTTAAAATACAAATTATTTTGGCAATTTGCAAATGCAAAATATACATATACATATTTATATATATGAAAAAAATGACCACGAGAAAACGTGAGAAGTGGCATGAAGCAGAGAGAGAGAAAGCGAAACAGTATTAGGCGGAATTGTACAGCGTGCCAGTTCTGTTAGAAAAATTTCCGTCAACATTGGATGTACGTATTGAACTCGTTTTCTAAATCGTCTAGAATTGATTCACCTAAGGCAAATGCGTGCCCTACGTAAATAGTATAATAAACTATTAGGCTGTAAGTTGTTTCATAGACATTGAACATATGAACTTAAGGTGTGTGCTGATTGTAGCTTCATTGCCATCGCATTGTCGTGTCAGGCGGAGAGGTGTTGCCACTCTGTAAGTGAACATAACAAAATATTTATCTGTAAAATTGTATTTTTACTTTGTCCAAGAACGAAACGATATGCCAGTCAATATATGCATACATGCATATGTATATAGAAATATATTCATAAGTATATGCAGGGGTGTATACCGGTGTGCCAAATCCGCTTCAATAATGGGATCGGGAACGCTGAAACGATGGAAAAAGTTCGCGCAAATGTACGTCTTGTACGATCTTGTTACAGAGTTATGGCTGCTTTTTTTATTTCTGTAACTTGAGGCTGTTTACGTTCGCGGGAACTCGCTGGAGGTGACCGTGACTTTGGCTCAAGTACCTGCATACGTTGTGTCAAAATGTCTTTTCAATCTCTTAAATACTTCTTGGTTATTGAACACTGGTCGAGTAGGCAAATGTTTTTAAGTGGCCCTAAAAAATAAGAATTCAATGATTTTAAACAATATTGTAAGCTCGATTGTACCAGATCGATTAGCGATTAAGAATCGTTGTAAGAATGCTTACAACTCGGGAACAAGCGTTGGGTAGGACATACATTCGTGCAAACTCGTTCCATTGTTTTCGTGCCCTTCAAATCACCGTTGAAGCGGGTTTCGTGTGCTGGGATACACCCTGTGTATTTCCATATACATTGTCCCTAGCGCATAACAGAAGAGCAACCGTTTGTAAGTTCTTGTATTAAAAGCATCTTTGGACAATTTAGGGTTTTTAACTTCTGTCGTTGTTGCCGTGCATAGTTTAAATTGTTTATGTAATTGTTGATTATCGATTCAGTTTTCTATTACAAACAGCGAATTAAGAAACGATAAGATTTCATAGAACATGTTGGGAGGGATTACATAAATAAACCCGATGAGGCGTCATACAGTTGAATGGATGTAATCTAATACAAAATGGTTTGTAAATCGCAGCGCATGGACCTGGGAGAATGCCCCCAGATTCACGACTTGGCCCTACGGGCTGACTACGAGGCTGCGCAAAAGAAGAAGGACCACTTTTACGATATCGATGTAAGTACTGTTTTTATGAAATTTATAACCCATAACACTACTACACACTAGTGACTAGTAGACTACTACACACTACTACATTTAACAGTCAAAACGACCCATTCGTAATTTCTAATAAAACCTGTCAAAAATTTACTGGACTGAATGTTTGGAAAGGGTATAGCCGAATAAGGGGGTCAAATGTGCCCCCAAACCGAATGGAACGAGCCACGGGTCATTCGATAGCAAAAAAAAAATAACCCCTGTGTGCAAATTTTTAACTTGAAATCTCGACCGTGGGGGTAGTAATGGGGTGAAAACGAAAATCATGTTTTTGAATTATTTCTCTTGACCTATTGAGTAAAAAAATGTAAAAAAATTCAGAGACATTTCGGGTACCGGGGCACATACTTTGGGAGATTTTCAGATTTTTTGATTGAAGAACCAGGTAGTGAAAAATAAAAAACAGCAAAAAATGCCGAAAAATGCCGATTACGTATTGAAGGAGGCCCGGAACTACTTTTATACTTTTACAGTAAACAGGTATTACTATTACTATTACTCTCAATTTTTTTCAGATTTTTCATTTTGGTGCGCCGCAGTGAAAAAAAATAAAAACCGAGTTTTTCCTCGTTTTCTGCGTATTAGAGTAACTTACACGTTGAATTTTTATGCATCCTTCAATATATAAGTGTTTTGTAGACTGTTTAATGTTTCTACACTAAGCAGAATTACATAACAATTGAAACAAATAAAATAAAGCCAACCATTGGGTGTATATATCCTAAAAAATCAACGATATTTTCAACGGCGTCGATGGCGCAGCGTTAGAGTGTCCGACTGCTGAACCGCTGGAAGTTTTTTTACCGTAGGTTCGAGTCTCTCTTCTGGACTTAGTATTTTTTCTTCTTCATTATTTTTTTTTTCAAATTCTAACTATATAACAATGCTTTATATTTATTTATAAATGTTCTGATAGCATTTTACAAATATTTTAACCTGAAATATGTATAAATATAGTCTTGGAGTGTTTTTTGCGTTTTTATTTTTTTTGTCAACCACGATTATTGTTTAACATCTCTTACACTGAAATTAATGTGAAATGTTAGTTTTCAAATCTCTTACCTTTGACTATTGTGAATGGATCGGAGCAGAAGATTGTATATTGGCTTACTATTACTTCTTCTCGTCCTTCGATCAAGCAGATCTTTCCTTCTCGTTCTCTTTCTTTGATAAATATGAATGTTTGCTGCGGCTTTAGTATCTAACGTAGACATGTAAGGGCCATTCCACGCCAAATCTATTAACCCACTCTCTGCCAATGATACTTTTTTCTAATAAACCCATTTTTAAGTACCAGTTTGATCGTTTCATGCTTATTTTTGAATGAAGTATCATTGCTCGATGGAAACCACGGGGAAAAATGATTAATTGTCCTACCTGCGTTACGAAGGAAATAAAGGTTCGTTGGGTGAGGGCCCAGACCGTTCAGGTCAATGGGTGATTGTCGCGTCCGGGTTTCACAATGTATTTTTTAATTACTCAGTTCAAGCTACTGTATGCGATGGGATTTATACATAATTACTTGGCATGGTCCGTAGAGGTTGGTCCTACAAGTGTTTTCATTATCTTTAAAACCAGCAGTAAGGAAAGGATAATAACCCTTACATGTCTACGTTAGATACTAAAGCCGCAGCAAACATTCATATTTATCAAAGAAAGAGAACGAGAAGGAAAGATCTGCTTGATCGAAGGACGAGAAGAAGTAATAGTAAGCCAATATACAATCTTCTGCTCCGATCCATTCACAATAGTCAAAGGTAAGAGATTTGAAAACTAACATTTCACATTAATTTCAGTGTAAGAGATGTTAAACAATAATCGTGGTTGACAAAAAAAATAAAAACGCAAAAAACACTCCAAGACTATATTTATACATATTTCAGGTTAAAATATTTGTAAAATGCTATCAGAACATTTATAAATAAATATAAAGCATTGTTATATAGTTAGAATTTGAAAAAAAAAATAATGAAGAAGAAAAAATACTAAGTCCAGAAGAGAGACTCGAACCTACGGTAAAAAAACTTCCAGCGGTTCAACAGTCGGACACTCTAACGCTGCGCCATCGACGCCGTTGAAAATATCGTTGATTTTTTAGAATATATACACCCAATGGTTGGCTTTATTTTATTTGTTTCAATTGTTATGTAATTCTGCTTAGTGTAGAAACATTAAACAGTCTACAAAACACTTATATATTGAAGGATGCATAAAAATTCAACGTGTAAGTTACTCTAATACGCAGAAAACGAGGAAAAACTCGGTTTTTATTTTTTTTCACTGCGGCGCACCAAAATGAAAAATCTGAAAAAAATTGAGAGTAATAGTAATAGTAATACCTGTTTACTGTAAAAGTATAAAAGTAGTTCCGGGCCTCCTTCAATACGTAATCGGCATTTTTCGGCATTTTTTGCTGTTTTTTATTTTTCACTACCTGGTTCTTCAATCAAAAAATCTGAAAATCTCCTAAAGTATGTGCCCCGGTTCCCGAAATGTCTTTGAATTTTTTTACATTTTTTTACTCAATAGGTCAAGAGAAATAATTCAAAAACATGATTTTCGTTTTCACCCCATTACTACCCCCACGGTCGAGATTTCAAGTTAAAAATTTGCACACAGGGGTTATTTTTTTTTTGCTATCGAATGACCCGTGGCTCGTTCCATTCGGTTTGGGGGCACATTTGACCCCCTTATTCGGCTATACTCTTTATCGTAATTTTCTATGAGAGAATGAATAAACACTTATTTCCATTGCATTATACATTTCTGCACGCACCTATCGTTTCAATTTCCTTGATACAAATAAACACACTATAATTGTCGGTAGTTCTAGTGTCAAAGGCATTGTACGTACTGTGGCGACACTTTCTGTACTCGCCGCCAGAGGGCTACTATCTTGCTTACCATTCCCTCCGTAGAGCCATAGTATTTCAACCGAAAGCTGTTATGTTGAGAATTACATATAAAATGCGGTTTTTCTTTCAATCAGGATCAGCATATATTATTATCCAGTGTACCGGGTAAATGACAATATATAAAAACTAACAACGATTTTTGTATCGTCCACAGGCCATGGAACATTTGCAAAATTTTATCGCCGACTGCGATCGTCGTACGGAACAAGCGAAACAACGACTGGCAGAGACCCAAGAGGAGCTCAGCGCGGAGGTGGCAGCAAAAGCGAACAACGTACACGTTCTTGCTGAGGAGATCGGTAAGAAGCTGGCTAAAGCCGAACAGCTCGGCGAGGAAGGTTTCGTGGAGGAGTCGATGAAGCTCATGGGCGAGATAGACGAGCTGCGTAAGAAAAAGAACGAGGCGGAACAGGAATACCGTAACAGCATGCCGGCGTCCAGTTATCAGCAACAAAAGCTGCGCGTTTGCGAAGTGTGCAGCGCGTATCTCGGCATACACGATAACGACAGACGGCTGGCGGATCATTTTGGCGGCAAGCTGCATCTAGGGTTTATCAAGATCCGTGAAAAGTTGGCGGAGCTACAGAAAACCGTCGAGGACAGACGCAAGGAGAAACGGGAGTCGTTGCTCGACAGGCGCAGAGATAGGGACAGGGACGATCGTGACAAAGACCGCGACAGATCGGATAGCAGACGTGGCGGATTGGGTTACAGGGAAAAGGACCGCGATCGTGACCGTGAACGCGATCGTGACCGCGACAGAGACCGCGATCGTGATCGTGATCGCGATCGAGACCGTGAACGCAGAGATAGAGATAGGAGAAAGTCACGATCTCGAAGCCGCAGCCGTGGAAAAAGGTTGGTGGGAAGTTTAATCGAGAATTTAACTTACGCTGATCATGCATGAAGACTGCCGTCACGCTTTCCTGGGCGTCTCTGCACAATCGGGAACATTTGTATCTCTGGAACGGTTAAAGATACAAACAAAAATATAATTTAAACAAAATCCATTTGTCAAAGGTACACCAAAATAATTTAGTAAATTTTTAAATGTTATAACTGTTGAACCAACAAATTCAAAGCATAAATGCACAATTCGGATTGTGCATCATTTAATGCCATTTAAGTTTGCTTTGTAACATTTTTTTTTTTTGTATCTCTAACAGTATCAGAGAGCTTTCTCTCTTTCGTCTTATTCAATTATACTAACGTTTTGCCGCTTTGCTTGTTTCAGATCGAAACGTTCGCGCAGCAATAGCCGCAGTCGTCGATCTCGTTCTCGTCGTAGTGGATCCAACGATCGGAAAAGATAAAATTGATTGTCATTAATAATTATGCTCAATCATTTTCTTCGTATGAAATTCACGTGCTTACTTGTGCACATTACATGTAAAAACAGGAATCGCGCTCGCTGACCATCATATATTTTTTTTCTTTCGATAGATTATTTCGCAAGTTACACTAAATTTGTACATTATCCGTCACCTTATTACGAGAAAAAAAAAAACAAAGTAACACCAATATATGAAAATATCTTTGTGTAAAACTAGGCACATTCCTGTTAATGTAAGGACAGGATTGAATTTACTAGATATTAATACACTAATACACTTATTCTATTTGATCATGATATACCGATATACTTTTAAATGTAGTTACTATTTCGTGTACATAAGAATAGTTCAGGTGTAACTCCATGTATTTGGAGATGTTACATATTTATAATATGATTACTCGATCTTATGTGATTATTAATGAGCATAAAAAAATGAAGGTATGTCCGAAAATATATACGTTTAAGTAATTATTGTTTAAAACGCTGTAACCTTAATGTTTCTTACAATTTTCATTTTTACACAACATGGCGTTATTAAGTATATATTACAAATAATTGAAAGAAAGTGAAATCAAAGCCGCAAAAGATTGAATCTTTGAACGGAAACATTTTTATTTATAATGTAGTAGGACATGAAACTATTAATGAAAAATAAATATGAATGACAGCACTAAAATCTCTTAATAATTTATAAAGGAAAAATAAAAAAGAAATTTAAAAACAGTTTCGAACGAAAATATATAATACAAATATTTTTTTTTTTTTCTTCACGGATATTACACGATTAAGTTAAACAATTTAATAACATATTGAAAAATAATACATATGAATAATACTGTATAAGAAGGGATATTTATTTCACGTGGTCATTTATGTAATAATCATTGCGGAGCTATTTGTACATACAAAAGTTTGCTTAAATTTATATCAAGGAAGAAGAACAAAACTTTCGTTATATATTTGTATTAAGATTATTTACATTTTATTAATTTTAATAATCCTTGCACTTTATAAGAAGTTAATAATTTCTACACATACTCACGACCGTAATGGTAAACGAACCTCAATCTACATTATCTTGGAAAATCAGTTTCACATATCCTGGTGTTCCTTCGAGGGGGATTGCACAAAACGGACAAATTGCAATATATCCATTTGTACCATGTGGAATCGCGACTTTTTCCCAATATCTGCACCGAGGAAAAAGAAGTGATTTAACAAATATTCTTATCTGTACAATCAAAATATTAGTCTTTCTTTTGGGTACTCAAATTAGTGTACCTAACGCGTGAAACAAGAACTTTTACAACAGAGAAAATCAGTGCTACAATCGTGAATAAATGAAAATATGCTTTTTATCGGGGTAAAAAGCTCGGGAAATATTTTTCCGTAAAAAGACGTCCTCGCGTAACGAGATTCAGCAGTGAAGAAGCAAATATTATGTAACATTAACGTGCAATACTTTTAATAAACATATTACTTTTAGTTATGAAAATAATAGTATACTTTTGTTAATTTTAGGAATCCAACCCTATGTTTCGTGCCAGTCTTTTGTTCCGCGTAACCTAATTACCGTGTTACACATGGGATACCTGTATGTAAAAGCGATACGACGCAAGGTATACTAACTTTACTGTTTTCTCCGTAGCCATGTGCCCGCAAGGCCTAAATGCATAAGTAGGTGGGCCACAATCGACGTAGAACGCAGGTTCTATTCCCATAGAAAGTTTAACTACCGAGCCAGCCACTAGACACATCGGGCATCTTCTTGTCGCTTTATCTTTTTCCTGGCCCCAGTCGTGGTGGCCCTGCACGTGTCCACACTTCAAATACACGTACGGCTGCTGTTGCGCTGAGTCTGCAGCCGCTTTACGTGGTATGACTAACGTGTTCAGACCGACCGGGCACTGCGGTCTCCCAGCATTTATAGCGTCAACTAATTCCTCCAAATCGTGTTTTGTCTATACGAAACATCCACGATGAATCACTTCGTCATAAATTGTTAGAAGAATATGAGTTCCAATTGCATTATCTTGAGTCTATAGAAAGGTTCAGAGATTGTGCATCTCGTATATTTACCGGAGATTTCGCAAGACCTTCGGCGGATCTCCACAGTAACGTAGCACCGCACAGATCGATAAGCGTCCCGTCTTGCAAAATGTTATTCTCATCTTCGACAACGTTCCCTTTCTGTTGGGCGCTTCGGCTTTCTCTTAGCGAGAAAACGCCACCGCCAACGCTGACTTCTCTCCAAAAGCCACACTGCGCCTCGCCGCCGCAGAACTGGCCCCGCGGGTGCATTATTAAAACGCCATTCGTCGTGAGGCCATCGATCTCGCGATTCTCTTGCCACTTGGTTGCTTTTTCCTAAAGACACGTTTTTAGGCATTTTTCGAGTTTCGATTATCGATCTACCGTCCAATAGAATACGAGAAGCGAGTCTATCATTTTTATTAGTTATTCGAGAATAAAGTTTGTCAGACTCGTGATTACGGTGTAACAGAACTCACCCCTAAAAAGATATTTCTCGAGCTGTCAAAACCTGCGGCATATATTCTTGCGATTCTGGGATCCGACCGATCGGCTAAAATTCGACAAGCAAACCTGCTAATTGTACTTTGAGCAACACGTCCTTCGTTAGATCCGTCGCTGCCGCCTGCACATGTATCCATGACGACGAAATCAATTGGGGATTCGGAGGAACGTCCGACCTACGATACCATTTATAAACAAGGCAAGGTAAGTATTACAAGAATAATACGGTGTTCCAAGAACTGAAAAAGATACGAATAATACGCTCACCTGAAACATATCGGTTCCTTCATCTTCAGTATATTCCACAATAACGGCTTGTGTTCGGGATAAAGTGTACGAAATTGAATGTTGTTTTGTATTAAGAATAGCTTGTGAACTGTGAGGCGTTTTGACAATATAATGTTTACTACGCTTTACGCCATTTGGTACAGGCCTCTTAAAGAGAATGAACTTACTCCTCCTTCTTCCTCGATCCCCTGGTGGGAGAAATCCATTGTATCTGCACATTAAGTTTCAGTACGTTAATACTTATCCCAAAACGTATTGGAATAGATTTACAAACTGATCTCTTACCCAAGAATAACTAGCTCTCCGTATTTTACTAGCTGTTTTGGTTTTTCATGACGATAACTATGAGACCTATGAGGATTAGCATGCGAATGACTATGATTATGTTTACTGCGTGGACTATGAGGCGCGCCAACTGTTTCTCCTTCTTCCACAAGTAATGGACTTTCACTGCTACCACCGTCGGATCTAGAAAGAAACATATTTTAGACAAAATCTTTTATTTAAATTTTAATTGTTATAAAGGAGAGGTATAAATATTTGATCTGCAGTTAATTGGAAGTTAATTAAGTATTGTTAAGATTCGTGTTGTGGAAAGCAATGTAGAAAATTTTAGTTGCAATAACTAGCTTTGTAAGATAATAGAAGTAAAGAGACATTCAAGAATACTCTTATATGGTGGAAGTATCTAGATTTATGCTTTGTTTGATTCTTGATAACTTAAAATGTTAAATAACATCTTATCATACATTTATCTTACATACCATAAAATAAAATTACATTTAAAGTTGTTAGATAAATTGTCCCTTATACCCCACTACTAAGAAGGTGGATGTCAGTAACAGTTCTTGTAAGCCAGAAAGTACAGTTGTTATACAATAAAGTACAAGAAACAGTAAACTAGATCGTAACTTACTTTGAAGATAAACGAAACAAAAAATAGTTCACTGTATATTTTAGGAGTACAGATTTAATTATTGCTATTGTAATAATTTTAAGGAAGTTTTCCAAAAGAAGATCATACAATTAACAGAATTTCTTGAACATAATATTTAGATAGACTGTACAAAAATGTATTTTCAATTCAGAACATTCATAATACATAATGCTAAGCCATATATCTATACATTTCTCTGTTTTTGGCCTATAGTACTTAATACGTAAACCACTTACTTACCGCGAGGGGCATGGAATACGTTTAGTTACTGGCATCCTCCTTCGAGCAAAATTTACAGATAACTACTTCCACCGTACTTCAAAAGACACTCATTAGGACAGACAGTCTTATGTATCTCTTCGCGCGGCTGAGCAAATGTGAGCAAGTGCAACGCGGGTAGCTGCGAATTGGTAATTACAATCTGCAATAAGAAACATTCAGTGTAATTTGTTGCCAAAATATTACATATTTTGACGTGTGTTCCTACTCTATCTTTCTAAACGTAAAGAAATAAAGCAAATTAGTTGAATGTTTATAGATAACTAAGAGACATTTATTAATCCTATATTTATAGATAATTTAACAGCAATTATTTTTTAACAATGACACATAAATATAATATTATACATTGATGTTGTCTCATAGAAAAAACTGTCTGTTCCTATACACAATGAAAAACATGATTGTGGGTGTGGTCTAAATATCCCTTAAAAATGGTTTCTTATTGATAATACTGTTATTGTTCCACATAGTGGTGTTCGATGCATAGGAATATACCTTTACAGTATTGTATACATTATAAATTTTTAAATTATTAAAATAAACGTTTGTTAACTTTCTAGACACATTTAAACGAAAATGTGGAAATTCTTCATAATTTAGAAAGAATTCTTTCTTATTTGTAGTAGATGTATAACGTCTTCATTTATTTTTTAAGCATAAAAGAATCTAGTGTTATCAGCATAAAATCAATATTTTTTCTTCTACATTTAGACATTTGAAACCCTGCTTTTAAATAAGAGTAACACAAGATTTTATATAATTTATAAACGCTTAGCAAATAATGTCTTGTTACGTTCAGTTAAACAGCTGATTCATTATCTTATCCAAGATTTCATTCTTATCACAATATTGCACCAATTGATCATATCACTATCTACAAGGTAGAGATTATTCTAAAAATGACTATATGTCAAAACAGATGCATGCAAAATCTTTGAGTAAACATTTATTTAAATGATACATGCTTTTCATTTAAATAAACAAAATAATTGTATCTTTGTTTCATAGCACAACGAATGACGTTTTTATCGGAAGCAGCACGATTTCTAAATATTGTCGATCAAGTCTCTATGTCCCAGAAACTCAAATCTAAATACTTCCAACTCATTTTATTCTACAGGTCTGCATGCATGTTATTATCCACTTTTAATTAATCAAGATTCAAGGAATACATAAATGAAACATGACTTTGACAAACTGTACATTTATTTTTATACAAATTATACTTAGTCCTGGATTTCATGAATAAGTAGCTTCATAATTCTGTAAATGTTGTAAACAATCATTGCCATAAAATGTTTGTGTTTCTCGGAAAAAATAACAAGACACTTTTCACAAAACATAAAAACATTTATTGCATACTATCGGATTCCAAATAAAATAATACTTTTATTAAACAAGAGACATATTCATTTATTTATTCCATTAACAGTAAACGTTCTTCTCTTTAATTCTTATAGTAAAACTTGTATTCTACATAAATCATTAGGATACACAAATTTACAAGCGTTTGGAACTTTAATGCCCTCCGTAGGATGTTTGACATTATAAGGGACACTGTCAAGATAACATTATTAGGAATGTTGTTTTGGATAACAATGTCTGGAATGTTTACAATTCACTCTCATTCTCCTAGGCTTGTGTGCAGGCTCTTGTAGTACACTTTCTTGCCACGCAATCCAGTCACCAAAAAATAATTATAATTTCATCTGTCATCATATCAGAAGCATTAAAAAGAAATTGCCTAAATTATTATTCTTTAATCGATTTTTTTTTTTAAATTCAAAATAACGTTGAGGCTAATAAAGGGTGAGCACGTTACTTTAAATATTTATTTTTTATTCTAATATCAAAGAAAAGCTGCCCAGCTCCCAGCTTCGTCGATCATGAAGCTTCAGGAGCGAATACTAAACGCTATCGGGAGCATTTACTTTTCAAAGGAATACCAGTTAAGTGGTTATTTAAAAAAAAAAAAAATAAGAAAGAAATAAATATGCATATGTATGTAGCTATGTACGTGTGTGTATTTATTGTTGTTCGGTGAGCCGAAAATCATCGAAATGTCGACCGGCTTAGCGAAGAAATTACGGTGATCGATGCGAGCGAAGATCACGGAGGACTCGCGACGGACAAACAACGTTAATTAACCTAGGCATCCAGAAACGATGAACTATTTACCGTATCACCATGCTGAGCTCTGCGTTCAAAAACGGTTTCGCTGCACGTTCGAGACACGCGACAACAGTCACCCGTTTTGATCGTTTTCACGAACTAACGGTGTATAAAAATCATTTGTCCACTCTATGATGCCTTAATTTAATTTTCCATTTCTAAATTACACTGTTACTATGTTCGTATGATATTCCACCAATTTCACGTTTACGATCCTATTATTCATGATTAAAGACACACTCGGGTACCGTGGACAATACGAAAACAATAGAAAAAATCACCCCGACGCAGAAGAACTGCATCAAAAAATCTCACGGAACAAACGAAGCCGATTTATTCCATCGATAATCGCTCGACGCACTGATTATTTGTGTGCATCTCGCATAAACTATACGTATCGAGACGATCACAGGCGAACAATATCGGATGAGTGGAAGCCTCCGTAGGAGCCAATGTAGAAAAAAAATGTCTTGCAGCGTTGCGTCGTCGTCTTACCGCCAGAGGGCTGCGAATCGCAGCCAATTTTCGCGAGTGTCATTCGCTTTCTTGCTAAGAGCTAACCCATTGCTCTCGACGACCATTTCGTTAGGGGGAGCCAGCAACTCGAGATGATTTCACGAATGTTTGACGAATCTCTAACCAAGGATCTATGATCGGTATGATTTTCATGTATTACCGAAAATTGAAACAAATGTTGGTATTATTTCGGTATTCCAATTGTGGAGATTGCCAGTCTGACGACATTTTCGCGGTATCGTTATCGAACTCGAGAACCAATTTTCATTTATTTATATTTCACATCCCCTTTGTTATCGAGTCTGCTATCTCTAGTATATGATAAAGTAACTGTGGAAACGTTTTAGAATACAATGTTTTCAGAGTTAAATGGTGGTACCATTGGTGGTAATTATTTTGGTTTTGATATAGCAATTTCGGTACTAAAATAAAGTACTGGTAATATTGGTAAACTACAAGTAGTTGCCCCTTTTATTCTTAGGATATATTCCAATTTTTCCAAAGCTTAAAAAATCATCCGGAAAACAAAGAGATTCCAGCATAGGCTGCGATGATTTGGCATGAAATATTCCGGTTCTCCTCAATTCGCTGAGGAAATTGCACAACTATAGTTTGATTCGGATATTGTAACAAACGTAACGATAATTTGGTCGCGATATGTTACACCAGTACGAAGGCAGAGCTTTGTGTGTAACAAGTACTCTTTCAAATAAAACAAAAAATAGTCTAGTCGGTTAGTTGATAATTATACAAAATCCCAATAGTTACCGCAGCTGCCATAGTTGTCAGGCTGAAGAACAACGTGAAACGTTGCTGTAAACGTATCATGGAGGTCCTCTGAAAAGGCCATATACCGACTGTGACCAAAAGACGCTTGTTCAACAAGTATTCCGGCTGCTCGAAGAAATCCATGTTGGCCGTCGCCGTGTTTTATTTGTTTCTCTTCGATGCGATCACCGAAGAAAAGCTGAGACAAACTGCTAGCGGCCACCTGAGTCGGCGGTTCGAGCAACGAAAAATCATTAATCATTGATGGATCACACGAACAGGTGCAACCCGTACAGCGAGGCAAATTGGTTTCCCACAATTTTTTACATTCTATTCTGCTCCTATTACGCGTAGAAAATGACCGTTGCTCAAAGAAGATTGTCGTGTCGTTTAATTTGCACGATCGTTATTGCCGCGTAATTACAAGCACCGGTCAGAGATTTCTTTTCACGTTTCCCATCGTACCCTCACGCAAGAAAATAGCACACAGTCCTCTACTATAGTTCGTGCGGTGACTTCAAAGCGAATTCGTCCCACGAAAACCGCGCAAATAAATCGAATTTTCGTCTTTGTCGTAGAAGCTCGAAACCTTTGGGTCATTTTTGAATCACTGAAAAATGTTTTCGCCGAAACGATTCCGCAAACAATTAGCATTGTCGGGCTATTGGAGTACCTACGCTCGAAGCGCCACCCTTTCTTAACGCTTTGACGGCCGCTGTCACGTATACGTGACTTTACCAGCTAGCCGTTAGCGGCCGCTGTCACGTGTACGTGACTTCATCGTTTCGTCATCCGCTCGACTTATTACGTTTGTCGAGATTGAAATTTTATGTTTTTATAATATTATTCCTAGTATCTACTAAAATTTAATCGAAAACTTCGATCAAGTAGTTCAGGCATATCTTCGAGAAATTTGAGAAACCACGTTTTAGATTTCGATAATTTGGCATGGAATGACACTTCTCTATCTTTACATTCGATCGACGAGATTAATTGTTTGATTGTTTACGAGTCTTTGATCGTATTGACTTGTTTTAACATTTTACAGCTAAGATTCTTACAGTCTGCATCTTTTTCAGTTTAGTGGATTATGCACCGTGTGGGGAGTCGACTACGATGCTTTAATGGGGTCTCTGTCACCTGTCATTTGCATGTTTCTTTCATTGTCGATGTACTTAAACGCAATCTTTAGCACCAAGAAGGTAGATCTTTCATGTTTACTGTAAACGTTCATTCCTTATTCAGTACATGCAAAACATTTTATCAAGATGTTAGCCGACAATTGAAAATTTTCTTTTTCTGAATCGTTTGAAACGAATTTTATTAACGATTTTTTCATTAATAAAAATATAAATAAATTTTTTTATAGTCCTTGATAAAGCATTAGAATACAATACTCGTTGCATACAAAGTGTTTTCCTTTGTCAATTAAAGTTTTCTTCGACTTTGTAAAATGATTTATTCTACATTTCAGATAAAAAAAATGCTTCTGTTTATTAAGAAAGATTGTATCCGCTACCAGAACCGTCCCGAAAACGTGATTTTACAGTACTATAAAGTGCAAGGAAGAAAAATAACATTTTACTATTCATGTAAGTGTGTTCTCCATAGAATACAACTATTATGGTCATTTCTAGCATAAGAATTATTGTTTATTGTCATCTAAGTATACATTTATACGACGCTGGTCCTCTACATACTAATACCAATGGCGAATCTCGTAATTAACATTGCTACGCCGTCGAATAATTCCCAGCATACAGTATTTCTTTTTGAACTTAACTATGGCGTCGATACCGAGAAATACTTTTATTATATAATCATACATTCGTATGTGGGAGCTACAATAATGGGCCATTTGATTGTTGTATGTTATACCCTGTATGTGCTGTATGCTCAACACGCCTTCGCTCTATTTGCTATTGTCAGGTGAGAACTAACTGGCTATAAATACCAAATTATTGATCACAAAACAATTGAAAGATTTTATATTTAAAATATTAAAGTAATTCTGCTGAAAGAATAACATTTCGATGAAATCCTTTGTACGATAAGAACGAAATAAATGAGTAAATCAAATTTTTTTTCTTCAAATTGTTGAATCGATCATTAAATTTAAATTTGACATGGTGAAAATTGATCTGGTCATTTTTACATAAAATCTTACTTAAATAAATTCCTAAAAATATGACCTTCAAAAAGCTGTTTATTTATCGTAATATTTACCTCTTTAAATATTAAATATTAGTTATATTTTAACATAATAGTTACCAATTGAAGACTATCCATATTTTGGATGCAAACAATTTCATAAATTTAAAAGACGATAATTGGCTTAAAAAGTACGAATATGTAGAATTCACTCCAGAAGAACATAAAATGGTATACGAGAAATTGTTTTTCTGTATTCAGGAACATCAGAACGCGCTCAAGTTAGTATACTTTATATTCGGTATAATTTTTTAAAAATATTTCCTCTCGTCACTGAGACAATAATGTATTTACGCAGTTTCTCCCATTAGGTATGCAAAAGATCTCGAATCGTTGTTCATGAAATCCATATTCTTTCAACTGTTCTTTAATTGTTTAACATTAAGCGCTACAAGCGTTTGTGTAAGTACTTTCGAGCGGAAATGGATAAAGTTGGTATTCAAAAGATTTAAATTAATTAAAACGGAAGATGATTGTTTTTTAATTACGGGACTTTGAACAAAAATTTATAACGTGTATTGTATTCGAATCATTATTTAATTCTTATTTTATATGTTATATACTATTGTTATTCTTTTAGACTGTGAGGAAGCTAGGTAACGTAGCCGAAACGATCAGGTACGGTTCGGTCTCGATTGCACAAATAACTTACATATTCTCTCTTTGTCTTCCTGGACAAAGGCTAATGAATCATAGCGAAGACGTATACGCCGCCACGTAAGAATACAAATGTTATTGCAATTTGGTATATTTATCTGATTACTTGGCACTTTTCGTATTTATATCCCGCTTCGATGTACTTACGCGTAAATGACGATTTTCCGTGTATTACTGCGTACAGAAGAAATACGTGCACGAAACAGCTTTTCAATAAAGGGATTAATTTTTATGTACGTATTTAGATACGAGACTATGTGGTACAAATTTTCCAAAAAGACTGTAAGTTTATATAAAATACTGCTTATAAGATGTTTGATACCTAGTAAGCTAACAGCGTTCAAAATGGCACCATTGACGATGGAAACATTTCTCACGGTATATGTATAAGGAAATATCTATCATTAAAACAGTGTATTTTATACATGGCGTTCGGCTACCTCTGGGGAAAAATTTAATGGAGGATTCTAGAGGCCAAAATAAGACGAAAATCAAGAATACTAATTTGTTAATTGAGGCTCTGGGAAAGGAAGTTCCGTCTGCGGAACGGCAATCTGCGAACAGATGCGCGCGCACAATAGTGGTTCTCACTCAGCATGAGAAACTCTACTTACTGATGTACCGACAGCCTTACAGTTTTGTGAGTGAGAACCACTGCCACGCGTACGCAGCTGTTTGCAGATTGCCGTTCTACGCGCGGAACTTTAAACGTTAATAACTTTTTAACATTAATAATTTTTTTGCCCTCTAGAATCTCCCATTAAATTTGTTCCCAGAGATGGCTGAACATCCTGTATATTTTTACACCATTATCTCTGAATGTATACTTTTAGGTAATTCGAGCAGTGATGAGTTACTTCACTGTATTGTTGTCGGCAAACGAAACTAGCGAATGATACAGAAACATTGTATATAGTCTCTTAATTTGGCAATTTTCATAAAAATTTATGTAGACACCTCTACAAAGGATTGGAGAAATTAACGTAATGAAGGATATATTCGATAATATGCAGTATATATGTATGTATAGAATTAGAAGAATTAATAGTACACTGATTCCATAAATAAAGAAAACTGGGAATAGAGTAAGCTAATAAATCACTTGAATATCCTATAAATTTTTTAAATATAGTAATTTTATACCTACTACTTATCTCGGATGCAGAAATTGTCTTTTTTGGGGTGGCGTCACCTACAAAATTTTGGAAACCGGTGACCAGACAGGAGTATGCTCGTGTGTAACTCTACAAAAATGAAAAATTAACTAGTGAGTCTGACTGTGTATTGCATAATCTTCTTCCTAAAGTGTTCGGTATTGACGCGAAAAAAAATTAGAGGCCAAAATAAGACGAAAGTTAAGAATGTCAATTTGTTGATCGTGGCTTCGTTAAATAGTTATTAATGTTTAAATATCCGCCTGTAGCTAGATAACCTGCAAACAGCTGCGACCATGTGATAGTGGTTCTCACTCAGCATGAGAAATTCCGCTTACTGACGTATCGACAGCTTTAAAGTTTTCTGAGTGAGAACCACTAGGACCGACCTGCACGCGTACACAGTTGTTCGCAGCAGTGATGGACATTAGTGGGAATTTTGGTCATGCGCACTGGAGCGCATGATCACTGCCATATACACTTAACTAGAATTTGGATCCCAATAATGAACAAAATTTAAGGAAGTTACAGGGAAAGAGACAAAAACAAAAAATTTTCTCTTAATCTACATGAGTATAGCTAAAGAAATACGTAGGGGATCTTCGATAAGTTAATTTATGTGTGATTGGCGAGCATTTGAAGTAGAAAGTTCAATTTTGTACAAAACATGGGAATCCCCAATATGCACCTCTTTGTGCACTAAAGATAAATTTATGGTAGCGGACGACAGGTAGCTGTGACGTCCTTACGCATGCACAGAAAGGACTCCCACAAATGTCCATCACTGATGGACACAGAACTTTAAACGTTAATAACTTTTTAACGAAGCCTCAATTAATAAATTACTATTATTGAATTATTTTAAGTTAAGCCAGGAATTTGAAGGTATTGAAAAACAAAGAAATAAATCTATTAAAAAAGTTAAGAACCGAGTTCTACATTTTTATTCTTTCGAACCGCTCTCGAGAAAAGCAAAGATAAATTGATAGCGACTATGCGAGACAACGGTTCGAGCAACAAACGTCGTTCGTTCAATCGTTAATAAGTTGCACGAACATAATACATAGAACAGGTGAATCAGGGAAAATTGGCCTTCCGCAATTTCTACATTCTATTCTTCTACTATAACGACTAGAAAATGACCGTTAATCAAAGAAGATTGCCCCGTCGTTTAATTACACGATCGTTATTACGCCATAATTACAAGCACCGATCATAGATTTCTTTTCACGTTTCTTCGCGGTACCCTCCTGCAAGAACAATTATACGTTTCAGAAAATAGCACACAGTCCTAGACTATACGGTCCGTGCGGTGACTTCAAAGTAGTATCGCCCGTCTTCGTACACGGTCGTTTGTGTTTTCGTTTTGCTATCGAACGTTTCGTTGGTACCACTGTTCAACACTCTTTTACAAAAAGTGTAATTTGTGCGAATATTTTTATCGAGTCAAAAAGTAAATTTTGGAAAAATAATTAAACTTTAGAAGATAATTGCGAGTTCGAATTTGGAAAAGTGAGTCAATTGTAATAAAATAATTATCCGCTTTAAACGTAAATCCAAAGACAATTGTTACTTCTCGATACAGCACCGATAACATGTCTGTGCTTTGTTCGCAATTGCGAAGTGGGAATTAATCAGCCATGAACACTCGATCTCTCACTGCAAAAAAAAAGTATATTGTACAAAATAATTAGAAAATGTATTAATTCTTTTGGAAAAAACATTTTAGTTCAAATAGGGCTCAAAATAGAGGAAGATAGGCTGAAGGATGATTCGTGATATTTTTTTGTCTTTAGACTGTAAGGAAAGTAGGTTATATAGACGATTTGTTGAGACTCGGTTCGGTCACAATTGCACAAACAATTTACAGATTTTCTCTTTGTCTTTCTGGACAAAGACTAATTAATCATAGCGAAGACGTATACGCTGCAACCTAAGAGTACGAAACGTTGTTATAATTTTGTTTATTTGTCTAATTTTGATGGAAACGTTTCTCGCGGTACAAAAAAACAGATACTGTTCGTTAAAATCTGTGTATTTTGCATACTTTTATTATTCTTTCTGAGATTATATTTTTAGGTTATTTAAACAGTCGTGAGTAACTTCACGGTATTATTATCAACAAACGAAATGAACGAATGAAATGTTAACGGCCGCATACAGTCTCTTAGTCTGTCTCAAAATACACCGACGATACATAACATGCAATAAATTTCACAAAAATTTATCCAATCGTCTAATCGAAGAATTGAAAAAATTAATACTACGTATATACACGGATTGTATAAATAAAGAAAATTAAAAACAAAATAAGCTATGCTATCTTTCGAATATCCTGTAATATTACTTTGCAAATAGGCATACACAAAAGAATTATACAATTATTAATAAATAATTATCGTTAGAATGTTAATATGGAATATTTTAGACATTAAACGTTTAATAAAAATTATCGGTATAGTCTTGTTGTTCAAACTTTTATTTACATTATATTTTACTATGCACGACTTTCATCATTTATATCACGAAATTCGCAATTTTCTTTAAGAAATGTCTACAAACTTGTTCGAGAACAATTTGTGTAAATGTGGATAAATATATCGATATTTACATCGAAATAAAATAAACGTCAATAGAAAACCGTAAACATTTGCACATAATATTATGCAATACGTCACATAATTATCAATCAATTTTTACGATCGATCACAAAATATAATGTCATAATATGAAAAATTTTTTTTTTCTTAATTTTAACTCAATATAGTTTGTATCATGAAACACCACGCCTCTATGGTTCATAAATTCCTAACGGCGTTAACTTAGATTCTACAAAATAAAATGGTTACCATACAAAAGACAGATGTTCACGCTCGCAGAGAAACAAATTGATGGAAAACGTCCAAAATATGGGGGTCCAGATCTGGCGTGAAAAGCAAAGTTTCTAGAGTCGATGAATACTTTTGAACTTGTTCGTGATGCTGTAAAAAAAAAAGAAAAGAAGTTGCATGAACAAACACAAATAATGCTTTACTTATGGTTTACTTATAACTCTATTACTCAATACAAATTAATGTGTAACTTACAGTTAGAAATACTTGTTGTAATCTTCCTATGGTCCACTTGTACCAGTGAGTATTATAATCTATACCATCAGTATCGCAACGTACTAAATGTTCAGACAGAATCATTATAAAACGCTGAAAGAAAATTGAGATACGTATAATTCAACTTCCTAAAATTTTTTTTATAACAGCGTCAAGAAATAATCATTTCTACCTGGAAAATGATAAGAAACAAATTTTTCTGATCGGCTTGCGCTGCTTCCAGCTTTTCCTCCATTCTTTCCACAACGTCCTCCGATGGTTTCTCTTTATTTCTGTCTTTATTGCTATCCTCATCTTCCGATGACGATCCTGATCTACTTTCCGCTCTTCTCAATTTCTCCCGCGCTTCCGTTAATTCCGTACTCAACTTCGTGACGTGCTTATTCTTCTTTCGAATCGTTAAATGAAGTATTTCCCAAATATATAACCTGAATAGATACAGATACCGTTAAACTGAATTCATTAAACGTCACTGACCGTAAATCGTCGACGTCAAAGATATCGTAAGTACTTGGTAAATTCCGATGCCATTTCTTTTGAAAATATCCAATTTGCAATGGCGCTGCATTCGATGATACCAGTCTTTAAAAGCTTATCTGTTAGAACTGCCATCATTTGGTAATGATTCTTCCATAATGCATACATATTCCTTAAAATACATATCTGTGCCTCTTCAGTTTCTGCAAGAACCTGCAAAAATAAAAAATCGTTTGCTTAACAAATATCACGTTTTTGTTAAATAAACTGAATTGATCATATTCAATCGATGATGTCTTACCTTAAATACATAATGGAATTTTCCTATTGCCGCGAAGCTATGACTAAAACTTTTAGAACCTAGGTTCAATAAAGTTTGTACAAAAACATCGATTTTCAAGGGATTGAAGTTATTGGTTTCTTCGTTTTCTCTAGGACCTGGTAGCGTGTTCAATACGTTCAGAACCTCTTCTAGCGTACATTTTCGTCTAATAGAAACTACCAACTCGTGAGCTGCTGATGTACCAGGAAGCGAGCCTGAAACAAAGTAAAGCATATTTTAATATTTAAGATGTCTTTGATTTTCGGCACATTAAGGGGCCTTTCTACCTTGTGGGATTAAAAAAATCGATATTTTTTTTTTGCATGTTCCTTTAGTATGTAGTCTCGAAAATATGTCTACCAAATATTAAATTGAAATTCGGAAAACTAACGAAGTTATAGCCTGTTGAAATGTACCGCGCGCAGGTATAACAACTGGACGTGAAACTTTAAAGCTGTTTTTCTCGAAACTACATTTTTCGGCACTGCGTGCGTGATAACTAAAAAACTATTCAAGATATCAACATCAAATTTATACAGTATCTTCAGAACTGGTCTCCCTATAGCATGAACTAGGATAATTGCGATATATGCAATACTTTTTCTTTTATTAACAAAAAAGCAACCAAATATATGAAAATATTCAGTATTTTTTCGTAAAATAGCTGCCATTTTGCCATTTTTTGTTTTTTTTAAAAGATCCTAGTTCATGCTATAACCACACTCATCTATATTAACCAGTTAACTGTGATTGACGAGTATACTCGTCATGGAGAAGTGGCACGATTTTGTGTATTGACGAGTATACTCGTCATGCCTATAAAGTAGTTACCATTGACTATTTAAATTGTAATTTTTGAGAAAAACAAAACATATTCTTAAATTTCAAGATGTTTAGAATATTTTGAGGCCATGGCGGAATAAAACAAGCAAATAAAAAATATAAATAATTTGAGATGAACTTATGCATCCCCGTATGCACCGGCTGAAACAGCTTACCAGTTCGCATAACGAATTTATTTATGTGCAATGATAACGTTTTTTAGATGTTAGCCTAAAAGGGGCAAAGGCAAAAGTCAGAAAGTTGATTTATAATAGGGTTCCTTCAGGTATGGTCAGTCATGGGACAAATGCGTGACACCGACCAGGCGCTGAGCCTATTGATACCTACTGGCCCGAAGATATCTAGCTATCGAGTGGGTTTTTATTGCGTGTTTAGTTTAATATGTATGTAATATATGTGTATGTTAAACAAATACGTAAATATTACTAATAAAATTGTCAATTTTATAAAATAAACCCATCTTTTTGATCCAATATCTTACCAGCGCAACTTACTCTGTGATTGACGAGTATACCCGTCATGGCTCGATTCTGGCGACACAAAACGGTGCGCGCTCTCAAACGAGCGTGCCACAGTTAACTGGTTAAGAATATCGTTGGTTTTAGGATTTCGAATAACTTGTTCGCAAGATATCACGTACGCAGTCGGGTGCCGTTCGTAAAAACTGTTGTTTGATGATCAACAAAAACAGCGTAATCAATAGATATTATGCGTTGCAAAAATTCGTAAATATAGCTAAATATATAATAAATGTATCTACAAAATCCGGAATTAATCGCTCTTTAATAACCCGCAAAAAAAAATCACAAAGAAACACGTATTTTTCATGCCTACAAGGTAGAATGGCCCCTTAAGATGTTCAACTTTTGATACATTATACTTACTAGCTCCTTCGGAAGTATACTTATAAATAGGCTCTGGAGGTGGTGGAATTAACTCGGCATACGACTCAGGCATCATATCCCGTATTCTTTGGTAATATGATAATCTAAACACAAATTATAGAAAAATTGTAATTTCTAAAAAGTTATATATCGGTAATATAGGATGACAGACATTTCCGTTACTTTTCGTAATTAAATCAATATATATATACCGTAAAGCTTTAAGAAGTACTTCTCGAATGAATTTTGGACGTGGATGTTCTGGATCGCGTTGCAAACAAGAATCCCAATCTTCCCACGACCAACGGAACTGGAAATTACTTAAATGGTACGCGAACCACCACACGAAACGATCGAAAGCGGCAGCAGCCATACTATCTATGCGACGGAATAAAATCTCTGTTGCTTGAGCCAAAACCTATAACAAATACAAAGTAAAATTATCCACAATAAAATTAAATAATTTTTCCATCGTTAATTCCTCAATATATCTTACTTGTGGCATCGTTGATGGTTGCAGCTTGCAAAGCTCGATTAAAATTGACCCGTAGCATATTTCTAAATTCTTCGGCGCTGGTAGTCGAAATAATTCACCAAATATCACTTCCACGATACAATAGTCTAAAGGTATTTTTGCTTTGTACGGAAAATTTAATAATTGAGCTGCACTGTAATATATATTAATTATCGAAATTTTATATAGTGCAACAGATTGAATACAATGAAATTATATATGAACACAATGATACATGAAACGTACCAATCTTTTCTTTCGTAAAAATAGTTATTAATAATCTGCCTTAAATGTTCTTCTATAAGAAATCGTTCGATAGCGTGGCTACCAGGCAATAATGGTCCTTCGGCTGGACAATCTGTATAATCAAACATACGGAAAACTACCGTAGGTAGCGGATAAGAATAGGATTCATGATGCGGGGGTGCCATTATAGTAGGCAAGTTATGTTGCAATGCTTCGCACAATATTGAATCAAACGCCAGATAAGGTCTGGGAATATGTTTCTCTGCCCAGTTGTCTTGTCTGAGTTTCCGCACTTGAGCCCATAAACAGTCCAAATATTCTTCTTGAGGATGCGGTGTGTCGCTTGACCAAATTCTCAAGGCTGGCTGATGCTTCTTATTCCGTTTATTTAAAAATATCTCTATCGTCACCATCAAATGGTCTAACTCTTGCTCCTTCTTTTCATACAGTTCTCTTCCAACCCATGGCAGTGTGGATAATACAGCGTAAACATACCTGTGGAATAAGAGGATAACGTTTTCTTTACTTCTATGTTTTGCCGTTTAATATATCCTTACTAAATAATTATTCCTTTTACATACCAATCGCGTCTTACTTGAGGCACACCATCTTCGTTAGCAGCATCTAACATATTGTCAAACAGTTGCATTAACGATCCACAAGACAAAACATGACAATTCACTAAATCGGCTAAGAATCTTAACGAGTATCTGGCGACATCCCATTTACACGCTTTTAACGAATCTTTGAAATTTTTCACCATATAATCAACAAATTCACCACCAAAATTAAAATTCTTTGCGTTTAACAATCCAACGAGCGTAGTGTAAATTGTGCATTTCTCAGGCATTTTAATAGCACAATCGGTCAAAATCCGAAGTATTTTACTGCGAAACAATCCAAGATCGGCTTCTAACACAGAAGCTAAACCTTCAAGATTACTCTCCAACGAGGACGTAGACTTTTCTCCGACCCGTAGAATAAGAGATTCAAGTCGATCCTCGATTTCTTGGTTCTCGGATACCCTCCTGCGTTTCTTGTACGCACGTTCTAAAATAGTTTATAGAATCAAAATTTGAATAACTTATAAGCCAAATAGAATGCAGAAGGCAAAGAAGTATTACACAATAATAAAAAATGTTTTTCCATTGGACTGCATTTGATAAATGCAATAAATGTATGGCAACAAGGGAAATATATAAATTTACCGTATCCATCGTCCTCTTCGTGAACCCTTCTACGACTCATTTTTGAAATATCGAATATATATTGTGTCAACTAGTCGCAATTTTTATAAAGTCATTTACACTATCGCAATTATAACCTTAACCCTTCGATCTTCCATAACCACATAACCAGTCCGTAAGTCTTTAGTCGTAAGTAGTTGCGAACTTGCAATTGTTGCGAAGCGGAGCGTTCCACGAAACATAACATGAAACATAAAGTAACGTAGATACGTTATGTGAACGCAATAAATGGCACAGTGGCTGACTCTGCTCTCGAGTTCTCAAATAATGCTGTTACGCTTCGCACGAATTCGGGTTTAGTACACGTAGCGCCGCGACGGGAATTTATTAGAACTGGATTAATCACCATCGAGTCCGCGCGCCCTACCGAGATGACGATGTTGAGGATTGGCTTGACTACCTTTAAGGCGAAATTTGCTAAATACGTATTTATTAGAAGGTAAAAATCTTTTTGATGAATCCGTATCAGCAAAACCAGGATCAAACGCAAATACTTTCTCTTCTTTCTTCTCGACTCAAAGCATTTCGAGGTTAATCGTACCAATATTATCTGTTATAACAAAAATTGAATATTCATGAAGAAAACGATACTCAGAGGCTTTAATGCAGTCTCCATGAAACGAGAACATAAATTAAAGTAACATGTGTACCGCGTTACAATACATACTGCTATGTCTATGGTTTATGAGTAGCGGTGACTCGCAAATACTTCGATTATTCTAACTTAAAATACCAACAGTTTCTGAGGGAGGACAAGATTTCCCGTTTTGTATTCATTTTGTAAAATAATCGCAGCAAAATGCCGGAAAGCGTAAAAACGGAAACGAAGTCGAGCAAGGAGATAAGAAGTGGAAAAGAGGAAGAGAAAAATGAACTCGTAAGTCTTCGATTCTGACGAACGATGTTGGTTAAGTTGTTAATAAAAAATTTCTTTCAAATTCAATATAACGGTTGGATATTTGAAAATCAATTTTAATTTCTATTTGTTACAAATTTTACTAATTTCGATAGATAATTTGTATTAAGAAAAAAAGTACTTAACACCATATCACTCACAGTGTGTAATCGTTATATTTAATATTGTACTTTTTAGTCCGAAGAGGATAAACTATTGCAGGAGGAATTAACTCACCTTGTAGAAAGTTTGCAAGATCCCAATACCAGTTTACATTATCCTGCTTTGGAATCGTTGTGTTCTCAAATTCGTGCGTCCACTACTTCTATGACCAGCGTTCCAAAGCCGCTCAAATTTATGCGACCTCATTACGACACAATGAAAACTATTTACGAAAAAATAACAAACCCAAAAGCTAAGGAGCTGTGCTCCGATATCATTTCAGTCCTTGCTATGACTGTTGGAGAAGGTAGAGAATGTTTAAAATACAGGCTAACCGGATCTGCATTAGCTATCGGAGAATGGGGTCACGAATACGTGAGACACTTATCGGGCGAGTTGGCTGGCGAATGGGACGAGCTTACGGACGACGCGGAAGCTACGAGCAAAAAGTTAATTGCTCTGGTACACGAGATCGTACCCCATAACATGGCTCATAACGCAGAAACCGAAGCTTGCGATCTACTTATGGAAATCGAGAGGCTAGATTTACTAGAACAATACGTGGACGAAAGCGCGTATCAACGGGTTTGTTTGTATCTAACAAGCTGTGTAGCGTACGTAGCAGATCCAGAGAACAGTACTCTGCTTCACACTGCCGCTAAATTATATAGGAAATTTGGCCAGTACCCTCAGGCTGTGAGATTGGCGATGCAACTCAATGATTTCCCCCTTATCGAAGATATATTCACAAAATGCCCGGACCTGTAAGTGAAACGATTCCGAAAGTAATTTAACCTAAAACAAATTTATATCTACATGCGTTTACCGACCTTTCTTTCAGATCTGTGCAGAAACAATTAGCATTTATGTTAGGCAGACAGCAAATTTTCTTGGAACTTCCCGAATCTACTCCGGAGTACGACGATTTGGTAGAAATAATGTCCAATTCTTTGTTGAATTATCATTTCCTGAATTTGGCACGCGAGTTGGACATAATGGAGCCAAAAACACCGGAGGACGTGTATAAATCGCATTTAGAGAACTCCAGACCTCCGTTCGGCAGCGGTCAAGTGGATTCGGCGAGGCAGAACCTTGCGGCGAGCTTCGTCAACGGTTTCGTGAACGCGGCCTTCGGTCAGGACAAGCTGCTGGTCGAAGACGGGAACAAATGGTTGTACAAAAATAAAGAGCATGGAATGCTAAGCGCGACAGCGTCTCTTGGTCTTGTTTTGTTGTGGGACGTTGACGGTGGTTTAACACCGATAGACAAATATCTCTATTCGTCCGAAGACTACATAAAATCTGGCGCACTGTTGGCTTGCGGTCTCGTCAATTGTCGCGTACGGATCGAATGCGATCCTGCTCTGGCCCTACTTTCGGATTACGTTCTGCACAGCAACAATACTATGCGTATCGGCGCGATCGTTGGACTTGGATTGGCGTACGCGGGTTCGAATCGACAGGCCGTCTTGAATCTCCTGATACCCGTGCTGAACGATCCGAAATCCAGTTGGGAAGTGATAGGCGTAACGGGTCTTGCGTTAGGAATGGTTGCAGTAGGTTCTTGCAATGCTTTCGTTACGACAACTATCATGCACACTCTCATAGACAAGCTGGAGACAAACCTTAAAGACACGTACGCGCGATTTTTACCTCTAGGCATCGGTCTGTGTGTCTTGGGGCAGCAAGAAGTAGCCGAGACTATCATAGCGGCTCTGCAGGTGGTGCCAGAACCGTTTAAATCGATGTCCACGACTCTGGTAGAGGTGTGCGCGTACGCCGGTACCGGAAACGTTCTTAAGATCCAACACCTGTTGCACATTTGCTCGGAACACTACGAGTCGTCCAACGAGAAAGAGGACAAATCCGATTCCAAGGACAAGGATAAGAAAGAGGAGAAAAAGGAGGACAAGGAGAAGGATCTGAGTTCCAGACAGGCGATCGCCGTTCTTGGTATCGCTTTGATCGCGATGGGAGAGGAGATCGGTACCGAGATGGCCTACAGAACGTTCGGTCACTTGTTGCGTTATTGCGAGCCAGTAATACGGCGATCCGTTCCTCTGGCCCTCGGGCTCATATCCGTCTCTAATCCAAAATTAAATATTCTCGACACATTGTCGAAATTCTCGCACGACAGCGATCCCGAAGTGGCGCACAATGCAATTTTCGCGATGGGTCTAGTTGGAGCGGGTACAAATAACGCACGACTGGCTGCAATGTTGAGGCAACTCGCGCAATTCCACGCGAAAGATCCAAACAATTTGTTCATGGTGCGCATTGCGCAAGGTCTGACGCATCTTGGCAAAGGAACGCTGACGCTGTCTCCTTATCACAGCGACAGACAGGTACTGAGTCCTGTAGCGGTAGCCGGTCTTCTAGCCACGCTCATCGGTTTCCTTGATGTAAAGAACAGTAAGTATATCGGCGAGTTTTTACTAATTTTTATGCTCGGTGTATATTAATTGCTGAAAATGTGTAAAATAAATGTTTTCTTTTTAGTAATTCTCGGTCGGTCGCATTACTTGTTGTACACGTTAGCTGTTGCGATGCAGCCTAGGATGCTGGTGACGTTCGACGAGAAACTAAATCCTCTTGCTGTGCCAGTGAGAGTTGGTCTTGCCGTGGATGTCGTAGGTCAAGCAGGAAAACCGAAAACCATCACCGGGTTCCAGACTCATACGACACCGGTTCTATTGGCGTACGGTGAAAGAGCAGAACTGGCAACGGAAGAATACGTTCCGTTGACGCCGATTATGGAAGGTTTTGTAATTTTAAGGAAAAATCCAGACTTCATACCTTAACTAGGAAGCTAAATGTTTTAAGTGGAAAAAAAAACATAATCCGTATTATTATCGGTTCTAGCGTAAAATACAATTAAAGTTATTGCGTGTATACAAATAATTTTCTTATATACATAAATTACACATTAAACAATAAATCCCAAAGGTGATCACAACCACGTAAATTGATTTTTTTTTTTATTAACTGCAGAACCGTTCGAATGAATAAACTACCAGTTTTGGTCATTTCTTGTTATTTTATTTATTACAATAATAAAGCCTTAGTTTTCAACGGCAGATATATTTTAATAATTAAAATACTGATACAACATGTAAAATGTTCAAAAAGTAATTACTCTAAATTTATAAGTTAGAAAAATAGTTAAAAATCTTCGTACGCGATAAGCTCGCATTCTGTTTACAAACAAATAGTAAAATATTGGCAAGATACAGTTACAAGTAGTCAGTCAAATGCACGTATACAATATAAACCTAAGAGGCTGCCTCTTAGCTCGTAATATTTTTAACTATAAAATGTTTGTTATGTTTAATACATAAACAGAATGTCGCTGTATACCTTTTTCAAAAAGTATTTTCAATGTATAAAAATGTAAATAGCTTCATATTAACGATTACGCAATTTTATATCGATCAATAAATTCTAATGTAAACTTTAAAAACTATGTAACTTACACAATATATAAATAGTGAACTTGTGATGCTTGTTTTTTTTTTTTGTTCTAAAATTTTCTAAACGCGTACATTATAAAAACAAACTGTGAAATAAAGTACCCTATCCATATTTCGATCATTCCAAACATGTTGAAATGCAAATTCTATTCTCGCTTTTCTCGCTGCCCTGATATCACGTGTAACATTTTATGATAATGCTATAAGTATAGAGTATCTAAAGCGATAACATTAATATAAATTTTTTTATAATACAAAATACCTGAATTACACAGTTTGTTTCTAACTTCTGTAAAAAATATATGATTGTTTTACGTTATGATCGAACACATTTACAATGATAGAATAGGATGAAGGATTTGTGTTCTTAAAATATAGTTAAAACTGTTATTAACCACTTCTCGCAGTCTTCGGTGTGAAGACAATGGACATAACACGAAACAACATCAAGATTATTTACCAATTACAGCCACATGCTCCAGTTTTCATTTTTGCCTTATGATTGCAATGACCCGTGAGCTATATTACGCACGTTTTCAAATTTTTTATCGTACAATGCACATTATCAGGTCAAATGTAGTAGTAAAGCATCCAAATACTAACTTACAGAGTGACCCGATGTACAGTGAAAACTCAATAAATGTCCTCAAGAGCTGTTCCATAAATGATACATTTTTATCCCCACCACTAGGGGGATCCCCCTTGAACCAGTGAGGCGAAGTGTAACCGGAGACGTAGCGGCTTTCTTTAAAAATCTTTATTGCCTTCGTCATCTTAGTTTAAATGTCCCTGTCAGTGTGACCACACTACTGTACAAGAAGAATGTTTTTTATTTTTTACTTTTTTTTAATAAAAATTTTACTATCATGTGGGGAAGATTTTTCTAATTAAAATGAGACTAAACACGATATAAATCGGCCAATATTTGTTACCATAATATTGAATTAAATATTGTGTACTCGTATCTTCGCAAGGTCAGTGGATTGGTACATTTATCGAACAGTGGTAGCTAACGAAACCCCCTATTTCATAAGTGTTGCAGTTTTTGATCACTTACGAAACGGTGGAACTGTTCCGTTTGAAAATAGCTACCTCCCGTTCGATAAATGTAGCCAGCACCTCGATGCGTCGTTCTTTGATATTTCCGAACATAGAAAAGGACAGCACAAGAAGGATAAATAAAGAGAGAAAGACTCGCAAGTACAATATTTAATTCAATATTATGCTACCAAATATTGACCGATTTATATCGTGTTTAGCCTCATTTTAATCAGAGAAATCTCCCTAACATGATAGTGAAATTTTTATTAACAAAAAGTAAAAAATAAAAAACTTTCTTCTGTGCAGTAGTGTGGTCACACTGACGCGGATATTTAAACTGGGGCGATAAATCCGAGTTTCAGTCCCTCTTTCTTCTTTAGCTACTGACTCTTTCTACGTTCGAAGCGTCGGCAAACTACAATCAAATTCGAAAGACGATTCTCCTATTCCGTAAGTGTTGCTGACCGGACCCGGAGTAGCGACATTTATCGAGTTTTCACTGTATCAGGAAAAGTTTGATATCGTTGTACGTTACGAATACTTGTAGCAGAAGTCATCGATCATTTCCAATTTAATTCAACGATTAAGTAAATTAATTAATAAACTACTATTATTCAAGTAGTAATTTGAACGATCGATCTAAGTCAACAGACCTTTATGTCTGTATATTGCTACGTCACGTACAAAACTAACTATTTCTTCGTAATGTAAATTTTACTTAAACTTCCATTCTTTCTCGAAAAAATGGAACCTTAACAAAATTTTTTCCCCGTAATAATTGTTTCTTACGGTCATTAACAATAGTTTGCTTCCATGTTACAATGAACTGTGACGGGTGCCAGAACGTGATGTGGAGATCCTAAATGTGTTGTCGGAGACGGAAGACAAATAGATCGTCTTCTTAGATCGGGCTCGGTACTGTTACCGACTACCAATAGTGGTTCGGCAAACGTTTGTTGTTCGGAATCGTCATGAGGCGTCATTGTACTATACCCGTTATCGCTGTCACCGCCAGGCGGTTTTCTATAGTTTGTGGATACTCTGTATGGAGATATAGGAGCTATACCGTCTCTTATAAGAGAGTCTAAATTATTTTTCGTTTGATCTGTCTCCATCGGTTCCGCATCGCCTTCTAAATGCGTCATACGCAACATATCAGGCGACGTATGAATATGCAAACACTGATGCTCCAAGCCTGATTGCACGGAACGGAGCCTGAAACAGAGTAGCATAACTCCCAGTATCAAAAGGAATGCCAATATTCCTCCGGCTACTGGCCCAACCGACGGCCAATCTCGTACTGCAATTTCTTCGGTCGACTGAGAATCTAAAGGAAAAAAACGAATGTTTGGTTTACAAAAAAAGTCATATAATGTACAGGGTGTTCGGCCAACCCTGGGAAATATTTTAATGGGGGATTCTAGAGGCCAAAATAAGACGAAAATCAAGAATACCAATTTGTTGATAGAGGCTTTGTTAAAAAGTTATTGACGTTTAAAGTTCCACCCGTACTGAATTTTTTTCTCGAAAATGCGCAAGATTTCGGGAGTATGTCTATTCATAAAAAATGATTGTAATTGACCCCCGCGACCGAAAATAATTTTTTCAAAACGATTTGAAATTTTTTTTTTTCGTCGAAAAATTTCACACCTTCTTGAATTTTTTTCTAGAAAGTGCGTAGGATTTCGGGGGTATGTGTAATGATAAAAAATGATTGTAATTGACCCCTGTAACTAAATATAATTTTTTTAGTATGATTTTAAATATTTTAATTTCGTTTAAAAATTTCAGTACCTTCTCGAATTTTTTTCTAGAAAGTGAGTAAAATTTCGGGGGTATGTCTATTCACCAAAAATGATTGTAATTGACCCCCGTAATCGAAAATAATTTTACCAGAACGATTTGAAATTTTTGAATTCAATTGTTAATAACTTTGTAACAAAGTCTCCATCAACAAATTGGTATTCTTGATTTTCGTCTTATTTTGGCCCCATTAAAATTTTTCCCAGGGGTGGCCGAACACTCTGTATAGGTCACTGCAAGTATCTGATTCTAATACTAAATATCGTGTAACAAAATTTGCTCACTGTATGTTCCGTCGCTGAGGGGCATAGCGGACCCAAGAATGCCCCTAAAACATCGAGACATGGCGCTACAAAATGGAGCCTGCAAAGGCGTTTCTCCGTCATTGTCAACGTGACACCATTGGCATCCAACGATTCCCAAGCATTCGGTTTCCGTTTTAAATACCTTGCACGCGATGGACGGACATGTTTTTAAATTTACGGACTGCGCGTAAGACATCTGCGAGCTACCACCCTGCTCGTGCGGTACTGGACAGGGCTCTAAATTATGCATATCATGAATATTGTATTCAGCACAATTCGAAAAGTATAAGGCACATTCGCACGGACATTCGCATTCGGTTTGCTCCATTCTTTTGCAATTTAAACACGAACGATCCATCTGTAACATTGATGCATACGTTTTGTTAAACCTGGAGTATATTAATGTTTACGTAGAACGAGCGTGTTATTGCTTACCGTGCTACATGGACAAAATGCTCTTAATAAGTTGCAGGTTATGTTGACTACACCCAAAAATACATTTGTTCCCGGTACAGACGCCACTTGATACTTGACGCAATGTTCACCGTGAACTATGTTCGTAAGAACTTCGTCGAGCGATGTATTGAATTGGTAGTACCTTTGCACGGTACCGTCCAAATAGTTCGCGCAAGCTTTCTTTTTAACAAAAAGCTCATGATTCAATATATCGTTCGCAACTAGTAACTCCTTGTGAGTCAAGTGTTGTTGCTCAATTTTACCAACCGATTCCAACAGAGCGGGGTGCGATACCAAATAACCTTTATCGTCCATCAGGAAACATTTTACCGTGGAATCGTTACAAAAAGAAAACAATTCCTTTAACAGCCTCGAAACGAAACCCATCGTCACGTCCATAGACATGACCGCTACAGCATCGTCATGCGTAGACGATCGAGAATTACGATGGACCGTGTGACTCAGAGTAACGACGTATCCTGTACCGCCAGCGCCTAGATACGGAGGTGTGAAAATTAATTTTCCAGGATGTTCCAACGCGTTTCCATACCATATTCGTCTTTTAGGATCGAAACCAGAATCGAGCATAATTCCTGGATATATTTCCAACACTCCACTCGCAGTTCCAACGATATATCTAGAAATGAAAAAAACAAAAAAATTACTTTGCAAATTTCAATGTAATACAGTATATTCTGATATGATCGCGCATACCTTCTTATTATAAACTTATTTAAAACACTTTCTATATATCTGATTTTAAAGTATCCTAAAATTTGTGTCACTATAGCTACGTCTGGTTTAACGGATTGACGTAAACCAGGATTAGCTAAGAGCCCTGTTAAGTCTTTTAAGTAGGCCATATAACTTTGCATGGTTACAACGGATCCAGTGTCTAATAATTTCAGTTGCTCCATTGGGGATTGGAAACACCACGGAGAAAGGTAGACTACTCCCGTTGCTGAGAAACAGATAAATTCTTTGTTACAATTACAATTACATTTTCTTATTACTTTTATGTTCAATCGAAAGAAATTTACTTACACAATGTTAAAAGTTTATTATTGTAAGTACAGAGAATGCCTTTATCAGCTATACTGTGCATCAGAAGATCAAGACGATGATGTAAAATGTTTGTTGACAATGTTGGTACTAGTTTCGCCACAGGTAATGTACTGTCGTTCGTCGTCGATATCAAACATACTATCAACTCCTTGTACGTCAAATGTTTCCAACGATACCATTTCTAAAATATAAAATCTGAATCAGTATGAATGTTGTGCAGATTTATAGAAGTTAACGTACCTGTTCTTTCAGCTTAGTTTTTACGTTAACAACACCTTCATGCTGCTCGATCATCATCATTACAGTTTCGGGACTGATATTTTCTATATGTTGTAATTTAACTTTAAGAGGCTGGTCCATCATTGTCTCCATTCGTGGAAAATTCTTGTGCATCCAAACTATACCTTTGTCGTCGAACAATATCGGATACACGTGCGAGCCAATATTAAAATACGTTATATCATCAAGAAAATTTCGTAACTGAATATCTAAGGATATCAATGCTTGATCTGTAATTTTCCCAATGGACAAAGTCATTGTTTTACTATACAAATCAAAGTAAGGATCGGATAAATAGTAATCTCTTTTATGTTCTTCTGAACACTTCAGGCCAGAAAATAATTTCGATATTTCGTATCCTAGTATATTTTGCGTTGGAAGGACTATAACACTGTCGTTGTATTTTTTATTGTTTGCATGAGGTTCCTGATCTATGAAAGGAACAATGTATTAACGATACAATATTACAAGAGCAGCGTAGTTAATTATACGCAATACAAGATTTTTACTTACCCGAAAGAATCAGTATCGTTCTTAAATAACCATTTACCTTCCCAGTGGAAAGTATTTCGTTTATTTTTGTTATATGAGGTGTAACCTTAAGCGTATTAGTCAAGTGTACGAATACCACTTGACCCTTTATATTCTGTATTAATTTATCATAGTTGAATTCAATCGTGTCGTTCGTTTCTAAAGTTTAAACAAAGGAAATATCATGAATACATAATATTAAAAATGTATGCAACATTCGAAGTAGATTATACCTGTTCTGATTAAACTGTGAATATAACGAGCTAGCTGAAATTTATTGACATCCGTTGCTTTTAACAAACCATCCTTACAATGTATGGAATTGTTACTAGAAAGGCCGATAACGTTAATATGATCTATTTGAGATAACATATCGATTATTGTCTCTGCAGTTATTTGGGCCAATGTAATATCCCCTTCTGACATAAATACACCGTGTTCGAGTAGCAGAAGTACATTCTTTTTTGGACAATATTGAGACAATAAAAGAGGTCCGATATTATGACCTGAGCTAGGTGGGCCACACATAGTTGCAGGATACATAAAAGGCAGTAGATGTATGTTCTTCCACTCCTGATTCCTTAAATTAATTACCAGTGCTAAAACATAAACAATAATATCATATAGGATATTCCTAAAATGTATGGCTAAACTTTACTAACACAGTACACTAATCGTTCTAGTGAAAATGTATTGCAAACTGTGTATCGTGTACCTCGTACAACTTGCGAGCAGAAATCGGACAGTCTACTTGATATTACATCTAATCTGCTCGTAGAATCAGAATAGGGAAACTGATCTTCACTTTTCATCAAAATTGGTTCTATGACATTGTAGCTTTGCTTAAGGAGTTCCGCATAAGACGATAATTTCTTATTTAATTTATCGACCAACAAGCTGAGCTTGATATTCAAATTGTTCGAGACATTTATGAATTCCATGTCGTCGAGCATCTTTTGAAAGGATGTCAAACCCAGTTCCGTGTCCGTCATCGACCGAAACTCGTTTGACAGCCGGACCACAATGTCTCGTAAACATGTTCCATTCAGTAGTTCCGCGTTCACTTGTTTTCGCAGTGTTTTACCGAATTGACACTTTGCATCAGCTGTAGAGTTTTCCTCGGCTAAAATCTGCAGATTCACGAACATCGTCACGACAAGTCCTAAATGCAAAATCCTCCTAACAACCATACCGTTTTTGAGTTTATATCTGTTCTATGGTAACCTTAAAAATTCGTTATGGCGCCATAACGACGCAACCACCACAAACAAGGTCGACGAGCGCAGAACCGGGCGTACGGTATAATAGGACAAAGTAGTTCTATTACTTTCTAATTGAAATATAACCGATACGTCCAGATGTATATTTGCGGTCGTGTATATTTTGCGGTCCAAGGAGCTTACAGTTCTTGATTTACTGGTGTTGTTTCTGTATTCAAACCTTATTACACGAAACCGTAATAAACATAAATGTTATCCAAAGAAGTGTGTTATTTATCAAAGAAATTAACAAAACGATCACTTTAAAGTGAAACAAAGTTTTGAAATTAATTTCATAATCAATAAACTATTTCTTTCCAAGTTTCGTGACGCTAAGTATCAAACTGATAGCTTCGTTATAAGTAAAATTGAAAATTATTTTGATGTTCTTTAACGAAATATCGAATGGAAATATTTTCCGTAAGAAAGATCATTTCTTAATTTAGGCGCGCTTTAAGCGATGGAAATATCTAAAATATACGAATTTTCGAATTTTTTACTTCGCATGATTTGAATATTCAAATAATAGAATCATAGACGCAATATGGAGTAGATTAAGCATCGTATGGAAGTAGGTGTCACACCTAGTGTGGCCAGATTTAGCATAATTGAGTGCATCGACGGCAACACTAGTAACGACGAACTTCGTTAGTGTCTAACAAAGACATGACCTACCACACGACCCATGTTACGTGAGCTCGGAATTTCAGATCGTTTTAAAAAAATTATTTTTGGTTTCAAGGGCCAGTTACAATCACTTTTGGTGAACAGATATACCCCCGAATTCCTATGCACTTTCGAGAAAAAAATTCCGCGGTTTCCACACTCTATTTACTTATTATAGGGACAGGGAGCTACTAGCCAGAGTGAGGGGAACGTACGCTATACGGACGTTAGACTGTCTAACTTAGACACGTTTATATTTAATGGTGAAAATCTGGTGCCATCGGTCGATCTGTATCGTGTCGGGAAAGCGCATGGTGGACGTTGTAACTTTTCAAATTGTGTCATCAGTTAATTCACGCACGAGGAATTAGACGTCGAAACGTAACAATAATTTATTGATAAAATGGTCGATATGAAAAGCGAGGAAATCAACGGGGAGACCGATGCCCCTCAAAAAAGTGCAAAACAGTTGCAAAAAGAAGCGAAGAAATTGGCGAAACTCGAGAAGTTTAAGCAGAAGCAGGAAAAGAAAGAAAGCAGCGACAAGACACCAAAAGTGAAGGAAAAAAACGAAGTAAGAACGACAATGAGATTGTTATAGTTGTTCGCATACTTTCGATGTCTATTGTCAGACAGCTTTTGATCCATATGGTCTTTTTAACACGATTAAGAGAAGATGGAACAATTGTGCACTTTGAAATTGTTTCTACTATAAATAAATACAAAAATGATACGAGTTTCAAATAATAAAATTTAATACACTTTTCGTTGTTCTATAAGATCGATGATAACGGGCAAAGAAAATCTTCGTATCATACTCTTTAGTATAATAAAGTAATTTAATTTTCTTATAGTGTTACATGATTACTTATAATTTTCCCTTAAAATTAAAATTTCTATTCTATTAATGTTCCATTCATTCAGTTATGTTCATTTATCAATTGTAGTTTTAACAATGTTTATCATTATAATGATCGAGCTATTCAGAAGCCCGGTCAATTAATTATTTAATATTATTATTAAAAACAAGCAAGTCATTTCAGTATTTTTACAGAAAAATGAAAAGAAAAAGGAATCCAAGGAATCAATTTTATACACAATAGAAACACCCGCAGGAGAAAAAAAGGATGTTACGTGTACAATGCCTGACACGTATAGTCCAAAATATGTTGAAGCTGCATGGTATGCATGGTGGGAGAAACAAGGCTTTTTCAAACCAGAATATGGGGTCCGTAGTCAAAATTATATTTTAATAATGAATTCATTTTTCATTGCTATACAAGATGAGTCTAATAACTGAGCCTGGCTATACGTAGCTCTGTTCTAAATAAATCCGATGCAATTCTACTAAACAATTGTCTAGGTTGGAAATTAAAAACTGCAATTATACAGTAGTGCCCACTTAAGTGTCCGCGCTCGGGAACGGCCGTCAAGTTAGCTTCCAAGAATTGGTCGGGATAACCGTGGAAGCTTAAGTGGGCATTACTGTACTTTGTAACTGCACTACTGTCCTTAGGGATTCATAAGATAGAATAAGAGAGATCCATTGTGATCGTATTACAGAATAATAGAGTTTTCTTTTGTCTTTACTTAAGACAGAGTCACCTTACTATATACTTTGCCCTGGTTACTAGCATTGTCTAGTACAATAATTCATTGTAACAGTATGATTAAATTTTTCTGTTGCTTATAGCATTATTAATTGCAGAGAAAAAGTATATCAGAGCCAAATCCCAAGGGTAAATTTATTATGGTGATACCACCACCTAATGTAACTGGTTATCTTCATCTTGGACACGCTTTAACTAACGCTGTAGAAGATGCTATTACAAGATGGTAAAACAGAGCTTTCGGTACACTATATTATATAGAAATTTGTGTCTTATATAAAAATAATATTATTACCTAGAAACTGCAATTTGACGATATAATAATAATAATTTTATGTAAAGGATTTTTTATGATTTGCAAGGAATCGTATGAAAGGACGTACAACTCTGTGGAATCCAGGTTGCGATCACGCAGGTATTGCCACTCAAGTGGTAGTTGAAAAGAAACTTTGGAAAGAGGAGAAAAAGTCTCGCTATGATGTTGGGAGGGAAAACTTTATAGAAAAAGTTTGGAAATGGAAAGAAGAGTAAGTGTAAATATATATTATACAGGGTCAGTTGTTTAAGACTTGAACTGAAACATTTTTGTTCTTTCTAATCGGAGAAAATGTTTTAGGAAAATATATCTCAATTAGTATATAAATTCAAGCTAATACAACAAATGTATGTATAATATACACGTTTTAGGAAAGGTGATAGAATTTACTTGCAATTACGAAAGTTAGGCAGCTCGTTGGATTGGGATCGTGCTTGTTTTACTATGGATCCAAAATTATGCTCTGCCGTTACGGAAGCGTTTATAAGATTGCACGACGAGGGTGCCATTTACAGAAGTAATCGTTTAGTCAATTGGTCTTGTACCCTAAAAAGCGCTATTTCTGATATAGAAGTAAGGATTCTTGACTGTAAATTACTATAAATTGTATTATAATATTATTTATATAATACATATATAAATTATTATAAATTAATTTTTCCAGCTCAGTACCTGATGTATGTTTCTTTTTTCAGGTTGACAAAGTTGAATTGACTGGTCGCACGTTGCTTTCGATTCCTGGATACCAAGAAAAAGTAGAATTTGGAGTTTTAGTGTTATTTGCTTATGAAGTAATAGATTCCGAAGAAAAAATAACAGTAGCAACTACTCGTATCGAAACTATGCTAGGGGATACAGCCATTGCGGTGCATCCGCAGGATACTAGGTACAGTCAGTTCATTGGAAAATATGTACAGCATCCATTTTGCAATAGGAAATTACCCATTATAGCTGATGAATATGTTGAAAAGGATTTTGGGACAGGTAACTTTTATACGATACCGAACCGTTTCAGAAAACTAGCTATTTTTTAAACTAGTTACTCTTAGAATAGTGTTACTTTATCCTAAATGATTTCTTCATTCACAAATGAACAAGATATTTAAGCATTTCCATTTACATCAGAGATTCTTACTTTGCGTATATTTAAATACATCGAAATGTTAACTTTAATTTTCGTAGGCGCTGTAAAAATTACACCAGCTCACGATCCTAACGATTATGAAATTGGAAAGAGACATAATTTACCATTCATTACTATTTTCGATGACAACGGGACCATTATCGGGGATTACGGCCAATTCACGGTATTTACATTTCTTGGTGAAACTACAAAATTGCTGTTAACATTCTTTCAACAATTTAACTTGTTTAAACAGGGGATGAAACGATTTCACGCCAGAGTGGCTATAGTAAAAGAATTAACGGCGAGAAACTTGTTTGTCGAGATCAAGGACAATCCTATGGTGGTACCAATGTGTAGCAGATCTAAAGACGTTGTCGAACCATTGTTGAAACCCCAATGGTAAATATTCTTTTAACAAAAATAATAAAAAATGTTGAAAGATTTTGCAAATAATTTTGTTTCTTTTGTTCATAGGTATGTGAAGTGTAATGAAATGGCTGCGAAGGCAATGGAGTCGGTGCAAAACGGCGAGTTAAAAATCATTCCAGATCAATATAAGAAAATTTGGTACCATTGGATGGAGAACATAAAAGATTGGTGCATCTCGCGTCAATTGTGGTGGGGTCATCGTATTCCCGCTTACTCCGTTAAAGTACTAGGTGCAACCGAAGATATCAAGGTAATTTCCAGGAAAATTCTGTAACACAATCGATGCAATTCATTGTATAAATTCGTTTTACTCAGCCAGATGATGATTATTGGGTAAGTGGGCATTCGGAGAGCGAAGCTAAAGAAAAGGCAGCTAAACAATTGGGTGTAGCCGTAGATAATATCATTGTTACTCAAGATCCTGACGTATTAGACACATGGTTCTCCTCGGGGCTGTTTCCATTCTCCATATTTGGCTGGCCAGATGAAGTACAAATCTTACTTAAGATATTTTAATATTTCAATGAGATTACACTTATATAAATTTCATTCGTCGTTTTCCCAGACAAAGGAGCTCGATGCATTTTATCCTGGCACATTATTAGAAACTGGTCACGACATACTATTCTTCTGGGTGGCAAGGATGGTATTTCTCGGTCAAAAATTATTAGGAAAATTACCGTTCAAGTAGGTTTATTCTTAGTTAGGTCTATTTTCATACTCAACCCTTTACCCTCGGAGACTTTTCTCTGATCGAACGGTAGCGTTGGAATCAATTATTTTATTCAAACAAATATCGAACTTTTACGTCTTATTAGTCCTTAGAGGAGATATTTGAGTTGTTTGCTAGATTTACGATGTCTTCTCAGGGGAAGGGGAGCAGCCGAGTGCAAAGGGTTAAAATTTCTGTAATCGAAGATACATGTAAATCAATATCGTTCCATCAGAGAGGTATATCTGCATGCAATGGTACGAGATGCGCACGGAAGGAAAATGAGCAAGTCTCTAGGAAACGTCATAGATCCAATGGACGTAATCAGCGGTATAACGTTGGAGGTATATTTTCTGAAGATCACCGTAGGCGCATAAGCACCTAAAAAGGGACTTTGAACGAATTTGAGCATGTTATACGTCGATCGTTAGTTCCAAAAAAAAAAAAACACGTTCAATCAAGTTTTAAAATCGTTTAACGCTGTGTATGTCTATTATAATTTAGGGTCTCCATAACCAATTAATGGAGTCCAATTTGGACTCGAAAGAGATTCAACAGGCGATCGAGGGACAAAAACGCGACTATCCTCAAGGAATTCCTGAATGTGGTACCGACGCTTTAAGGTTCGCGCTGTGTGCTTACACGACGCAAGGTCGCGATATCAATCTCGATATTCTTCGCGTGCAAGGATATCGTTTCTTTTGCAATAAGATTTGGAACGCAACAAAGTTCGCTTTCACGTATCTTGATTCTAACGTCGATTACGATGATGCTCGACCGGTAAGACCGTTGGTACATACAAACACGATAAACGTACGCGACATTGCATTGTTTCTATTAAAGAGAAATTATGACGTTCAGGGCGACGGTAATACGTTGGATGATAACGAGTGGTACAAGAGTACCTTGAAAGAAACGTGCGTCCAGGATGCGTTAAATAATTATTTAAGCGATTACTCGTATTTGGAGGGATACAGTCCATCGCAAACCGACGCGAAAGTTTACCAAACTTTTGTCGAATTGAATGTTGACGTGACAAGCTATCCTTACTTGCATCGTTGGTACAAACACGTTGCGTCGTACAGCAAACAAGAACAATCCGTATTCCAGGCGGAACGAGGTAAAATGTTGCTCGAATGTGCCTGCAAAGTACACAATAGCCGTAATTATAAGGAACAGGTACGCTATATAAAAATTGAAATAAAAAATAATCTTATAAAGCCGACAATATATTTATTCTTTTTTTTTTTTATTAGTCGTTTGGCGCTGAGACGAATGTTGATTTATGGATGCTCTCTCGTGTAAGTTACGCTGTGCAGACCTGCGACGATGCAATGGCACAGTATGATTTCACTACAGCCACCACTGCTTGTTACAACCTTTGGTTGTACGATTTGTGTGATGTTTACTTGGTTCGTATATTAATTAACCTAACCCTTCAAGTACCACGTCCGTAAAATATATACCGATCCATTAATCTTGATTAGTTTGTAACACTTAACCGTGTATTTTTACATTTACAAATCAGATTTTGTCACCTAAAGACAAGCTTTATCACATCGTTTGAGATCGAAAATTCCGTTGTACCTGAGGGGTTGAACAACAATCAGTGAGCTTTTAGATTTTATATTAATACCAATTTATTGATTTAGGAATACTTGAAACCAGTATTTCAGAGTGACGACAACGAGCGAAAGCTTGCTGCAAGAAGAACTTTATTTAAGACGCTAGACGTAGGATTAAGATTATTGGCTCCGTTTATGCCGTTCATTACAGAGGAACTTTATCAACGTCTGCCGCGCAAAACACAAATTTATCCAAGTATTTGCGTTAGTCCGTATCCAGAACTTTCAGAGGTATCGATACTGTTTTTTTTTATATTCTTAGAGATGTCAAACGTGTACGAATTATCCAAACTATATTTGTATTTAATCGATTTACAGTGCCCTTGGAGAAATCTAGAAATAGAGAAAGACGTTGATTTTGCTAATAAAATAATAAAAAACGTACGGTCCGCGCGTGCGACTTACAATTTACCAAATAAAATAAAAACTGAAGCGTTCCTTGTATGCGGCGACGGGAATCTGAAAGAGAAGCTTATGAAGTATCAGTTACACATAGAAACCCTTGCTTATTCTACGATTAGTACAAACGAAGCACCAAAAGGATGCGCTATTATTACTGTAACGGACAAAGTCCAAGTACATCTATTGTTAAAGGTAACAGTATTATTGTTATGAATAATTGAGAAACCGTCAGTTGTAGTATAATTGAGGCATCAGTTGGAAGAACACATGCGCCAAAATCAACTTCAAATTTTGCCTTTTTTCCATCTAATGCCTCAATTACAAGAGTATATCAAATTCTGCTGATTTCCTCGTAAAATTGATAACGATATTTATGAACTTTTAAAGGGTTTAATCGATCCAAACAAGGAATTGGAGAAACTCGGTAAAAAGGAAGAGCAGTTGATAGATGTTATAAAAAGACTAAAGCAAGCGATGGAAGTTCCTGATTATAATGTTAAAGTACCTTTGGACGTACAAAATAGTAACAAAGAAAAGTTGTTAAACAGCGAGGGAGAGCTGCAACGAATCGCCGATGCAATAGCGGCTTTACGAACACTGTAACACTTAGGCCACAGAATTTTAATTTCCATATTACCATATTATTTATTAAACTATATTTTACCAAAAATAATAGCCGGTACTGTCGTTCTTCAATAGCTAATTTCATAGATGAAAATTTAATAAATTTCTCAAATCTCATCGACGACAAAAACGGAGAGGTAATGTAGATAATCACGGCATTGTAAAAGGATACTTTTCGTATTTATTTATTATAAAGCATTACCAATGAATGTGCAACAATTGTTAAAATTAATATGTTCAAAAATCTAACAAGGACGAACTAATAATTTCATATATAATCGTACTTAATTTGTTCCGATCGAACATATTCTTCGTGCAACGATAAATCATTTAACTATTAAGATACGATCGATTTAACGTTTTACGTTCAATGATACCATTCATTATTACATGCGCGAATAGAATTTCATTCAATTATACAAATTAAGATTTACATTGTCAGTATTATCTACTGTGTTACTACATTTTAGCACGACGATTCTTACGACTTCAAATGTACATAATTTAGACATTTTGAGAATTCGGTTCCACAATATTAAATTGTATTTTCTCAATTAAGTCTTTCCAATTTTTAACCAACGCGTTCCTCATATCCTGCTTTTCTGTATACTATAATATTGCAATGATCGCGTTTTAAAATAACATTGCACGCCGTCGTTCAAGATTTATTTGGAAGATACAGTGATTTGAAACTTGCACAAAACCAGGCATTAATGGACGTTTAGAAGTGTTGAAAGTTTTACACGGGTCTGTTCTCGATATAAAAAGTGTGACGAGGACATAAGTGTTATTAATTGTGCTGTAGAGCAAAACCATTTATATTCAGTTTTGCCAATGGCTACGATATTATACTTAACCGTTTATTCTATTTACCGTCTCTTCGCTGAATGCTTCTCGTGATCGAATAATTTTCTGTAGGCGTTCAATGAATCTTTTTTTATGCTTACGCGCAGAGTTGAGCATATTTTACTCAAATAAATTCTACGAATAACGTCTCGAATAAATTCTTTGATACATTTTCAATCTAATAATAATGCAGAACTACTTACACTACAATATTTTACAGACAACAATAATTAGAATTTTTTAAACGCATACATACTAATTAAAAACATATTTTTAAAATACAAACTCATCCGAAGTAAGTAGATTATCCGAAAAAAATTTCGAATAAAAAGTTACACTAAAAGCAAATTTACCCAATATGTCATAATGATAAAAAAAACCTCTTTTGCTTTTAATTATTTTAATAAGACCATATTTATACACATAATACGTTTCTATAGAACTGAATTCATGATTTTTAAGAGAATTCTAAAAAATGCTAAAAAAAATGAAATTTACAATATTTACCTTACAGAGACGAGAAGATGTGAAATACGTTTCATCGGTACTTCTTTTTTGAGATATTATTCGAGATGTTATCCGAACAATGCTACCAACTCCGCTTACACGAATAACAAAAAGAAAGCAATACTAACATTATATGTACAATCGTGATATGTGAAACGTAATATGTTAATTTAATTCATGAGCTATTCGAATTTCGTCCAATTGTTTTGCGACTTAATGGCAGGCGTGTTCAGCGTTAAACTGAACGTGTTATCGACATTACTAATACTGCTGTCGGATGTGTTGCACACTGTTGAGTTTCTCGTCGGTGAATCGCCGTTACTTATACTAAATTTATTAAAGTCCAAGCCGTACGCTTGTAACAGATCCAGGTCACCAATATTATCGGAAGATTTCTGTTGGCCGTCGGTAGTTTTGTGCAGCGGTTGGAAGTACGGATAGAGTGGGTTGCTAAGACCCTCGCCCATTTCAGGAATATGCAACGACTGACTCATCTGTTTCGAACTCGTGAATTCCGTGGACTTGGAAAGCAACGGATCGAAGTCATTGCTGCTCGTTGTTGAATCTAATCTAATTAAATCTGGCACTTCAGGAGAGTCCTGCAAGCGATAATACGTTATAAATATTTAAGACAGACGTACCATCTACGCTTATAATAAAAAGAAAAAAACGAAAAATAACTTTTCTTAATTCCGTTAATGGATAAGGTAAACGTACAAAGGTCGGTTGATAACCAAGGGATATCGGAATTCAGATTATTATGCGCAATTGGATCAAGAATAAAGAATGTTTCGTCGTGAATAAAAAAAGTGCATAGAACGTTAGAAGAATAATAAATGGTATAGTCGAATAAGGGAGTCAAATGAACCAAAGTTTTTAATTTTTCACGCCTAGGATTTGGAATCGTAAAATCGGAAAAAATTCTCAAACACGTATCTCGATAACCACAATGCACCAGATTTTTTCATAATTTTCATACGCGAAATAGACACTAATTCGCTAATCCGGATTTTCCCTATAACTACCCAAGATAGAGGGTTGAAATTTGGCAGAGAATGTTTTTTTCTGATGCTCTATCGATGGATCCATCATATGTCAAATTTGGTTCAAGGTCACATTTGACCCCCTTATTCGGCTATAACCTTTACATTCCTCTTGTCTCGAACGTATTCTCTAGGATTAAAAACCTCGGTGATCGATCGACCCTCGTACATATTGTATGTTTAATGATCGTTGAAAAGCGGTTATACATTCGCAAACAAAATAAATAGTGAATGATGACGTTTACCTTTGAAAGTGCAGAACAGGACGTACTACTGAATGCATGGGATGGAACGTGACAATTAACAGACAACGATGCGTTTGTGGCGTGAAATATTGACGGTTGCAAATAGGAAGGCATGAACACTTTGCTCGTATCGAAGGGATCGTTCTCTTTCGGATGGGAATCAGAATCAATATCTTTCAAACACGCGTCGAAAGAGCGATCGCCTGCGTCCGGAACATGATTCGTGAACGCGTCGTCGGTGTAAAATTTAACGCGTTTCGAGTAATTTTCGCTGTCGTTTTGGTATCGTTTCCCATCCGATGTTTGCGGACAGAAGGACGCATTGTAATTACGCTTTATAAATTCGTTGACACGAACTTCGTGTAAGAAATTACTTGACTGCGAATTGGCCGCGGTTTTTGTAAATACAGGCGAAAACGAAGCGTCAGTCTTTTCCTCCGATTTATTTGTTTTCGGTGTCGGTGAATCGAACGGGCACGATCTGCTGTTGCCAGTTAAAGTATCATTGGATAACGTGTCGTTGGCGTTCGACAATATACTCGACTGATCGACTGAACTAGTTACGCTGGAATGCGGAACGGGATGGGACGAAGTTTTTGCGGAAGATATATCGATTGGATTTGCGGTAACTGTACTAGGTGGAGGGCCGTGCCGCAAGTGCCCACTCCATGCAGGTCTCAAGCTGTCTAAACTGCGTACTGGTTTCAACTGAAAGTGATGCACGACTCAATCATTGACAAAAATTCAATAACAAAATTAAAAGAATAATCGGGGACCGTTCCTGGCGAGGGTGAAAAATGTACCCCAGACCGTTTATTGCATATTAAATTTTGATTAATAAGATTAATAACACTGTTCTACAAATTCAATTTTTTTTTCTGTTTTTCAATATCCACTAGGTGATTCTTGTAGAGCTTTGTACCCTAAACACGAATCTGAAAATGGAATTGCTGTATCACCCTCAGTTTTCGAAAAACACGAGAAACTGGTATAATGGTGCAATAGGGTATGCACTCTGTATATAGTATGTTTGATTTTTTTTTTGTAACTTTTATTGCTTAATATATTTGTATACTCTAGGATACTAATCACTGAATTATATTTTCAAAATCCATGTAAACTTATCAATGGAATCACTCGAACATGTACGCTTTTCTAAGAAAGATCTGGAGTAAATCCTTGCTATTCACACTTCGCTCTTAGGAATATTATTCCTATTCTGTGAGGCAACCCAACAATAAAATGTTGTTTATTTTTTTACGGCTTTATATTTAAAAAACCATTCATATATATACAATGAACATTGAAATTGTTTAGAAATGGAAATGATCGAGAAATGTTTTGTACAAATCCACAAACAGATTAAAAAATAAAAAATGATAAACATATACAGGAATTAGGAGCCTAAGATATTATCGGTGTCGCATCCATTATGCGTAGCTACGACACTGCCGAGCCGAGGTAGGCTAGCGATGGCCGCGTGGCGGTAAAACGCCGTGCACGCGTTGCCAATACACATTTTCTCGACCTGTGACAATTGAGAACGGATTCTATACTTCTGTTGGACAGTTTCTTCTTCAGAAATGTCTGCAGAATCAAATCCTGTGTATAGATTTCGTGTCAGGTAAACAACTTTTCGTAAATATGCAAAAGTATTGTGTATAAAGTATGTACTTCGACACTTTTTCAAACTTTGGCGATCATTTACAACCGTTCAAAAGCACAAAATATTATAACTATCGATGTTAGCATATTCAGGAATCTCTCCTCTATCTTTTAAGATTAATTGGAACTGTCTGATGTTTTTAATTTTCGCGTAATACCTCGTTTTTACCCAAAATTGTACGTTTTCACAAAAACTCGTGTTTTTCGAAAACTGAGGGTGATACAGCAATTCCGTTTCCAGATTCGTGTTTAGGGTACGAAGCTCTACAAGAATCACCTAGTGGGTACGGAAAAACAAAATTCGTATTGAACAGTGTAATCAAAACGTTTTTGACGGCTGTTAACAGTGAGTTACAAAATTATCGGCACGAACACAGTGACGCGCGGTTAACTTTCGGAATATTTGGGATCCAACAAATTTCTTTTTACAAAATGTTACTCTCTGTCAGGTTTGGTTAGGCTCGAGACGTTGGATGGAAGACATCGAAGAGGAAGGGATGAATCGTGGAAAGTTAACCGTACATTACTGTACACACAGAGATACCATTCTTCCACGAGAAGAAGGCACAGCGTATTTACATCCCCATTCCTGTTGCAGTCCGCTGACTCACAGGCATTGGTCGAAAACGGTGACGAAGATCGGGTGACAGCCAATCAGCGGACTGCAGCAAGAGTAAGAGGATGTAAACACGCTGTGCCTTCTTCTCGTAGAAGGATGATAACTAATACTACGCTAATGAAAATATCTTATAACTCCAATATTAATAATATTTGGACCCATGTTTATTAAAAATGTTTTACTTGTTTTCACAGTCCTGAGAATAATTATGGTCAGCGAACAAAAAATACACAACCTCGTCAATGTAAATTTAATTTCTGCATTCTTCGTGCAGTAAAATATACTTATGAATAAATATTTTGCGACGCGGTACCTTAAAATAACACAAAACAAACGAGAATCCTGTTTGTAACATTATCACGGAAATTAAAAAATATTTCAAAAGGGTACATGCATAATTGCAAATCTTAAATGCACAATTTCAATATACGTGAATAATAGAACGTCGATTATTAGAATTACGAGGGTGGTATGTTCATTTCGATAATTGGTCGAAGAAAATCGAAGCTGTACATATTTACTGCACGATGAAGTTGCTTGATTTTTGTACCCCCTTCCCTCATCCATATTAAAATAACATATTATCTTTAAATACGATTTTAGTACGGGATTATGTATCCCGGAAAAGAAACAACTGTCCCATCCACTAATAATGACATGGATCTAGTTTTATGTTTCATTAATTACCCACTTGAATAATCAACGTTCTACCGTATATCATGAAGTGTAATCATGCTACCGATGCTGGTTGCAATAACATACCAGAGTTGGGCATTAATCGACTGATTCTCCTAATTATATTTATAGATTACGCGATACGATTACAAATGTAGTCGTCAGAGTTAATTACAATTAATGAAAGAGGGTATTCTACTATAGAACGCGTATTCAACTCAGATAATTAAATTTTCTCGACTCGACAGCACTAAAAAATAACGATTACTTTAATCATCGATGGCAGGAACCAATTTATGATTAATTTAATCCACAATTATTGCGAACCATTAATTTAATCGTCGATCATTACTTCGATTATAATTTACCCAACCCTGAACATAAACGTTGCGATAAGCGACATGTTACAAAACACTTAAAATACGAACAGACATTTCCACAATAGCTGATGGTAAATATTTCACGTAACTGTAACGTTATTTTAGTGATTTTATGTGACATATTAAAAGTACTTAAATTGTACTAATATTGTTTGGTATCACGGGTCAAAATATTGTAATCAGTTTCTGTAAATTTCCACAATATACATATACGTGTATTATAATAGAAACAAAGATATACATACTGTTCTATCAACAGGAGGTGTATTTGGAAATATCACATGGCGAAGTTCTTGCATAAGGTCAATGTTCACCCGTTCTGGTGGAGAATCGGATTCTTCTGGAGAACTGGGGCTTAACGGTGAATATTGCTGCCTGTTGTAAATTAAACGATACAGATTAAATACGTGATAAAGTAACGTGATTGTCGAAGTACTTAGGAAACGCTGTAGAAACATAGAATTGAAAGATTCGTGCATACCTTGAATCAGTAAAATTACTATTACGTATTCGAAGATCTTTTCTATAACTAGTAGTCGCTGTGAAACCATTTGGTGATTTTGGTGGAGATGTGAAATCAATGGATCTTCTATCCGATGTTGGTGAACTAGGTGCGGATCTTGGTTGATGAAATCTCATACTTGTTTCGCTTCTATTTGATCGTCCTGAAAAGAGTATTTTAAAAAGATTTAGAAATGTAGTAAAATACAATTTTGGCCGATTCTGCAAACAAGTTCAGAAAAGTAACAAAAAACACACCTTTCCATTTTAGGCCTTTGTACGCTGTTTTCATATCTTTCCCCTTGTCTTTCACCTGTGAACACAAGTTTTATGAAAATAACTACACAACTAGATTTAAAATTTATAAAAATATACAGGGTGTTCCGTACCGCATGAAAACAATAAAAAGGTTTACAAAAAACATGTATCCTATTTGACCTTGTTTTCGAGTATAGTAAATTTTCTTATACTGAAAACGATATACATCACAGACCATAGTTTCAAATGACAATTGTTACGACCCACCCTGTATACATATGTACATAGCAGAGACGTTATGCCGAGTGGAAGATATTTGGATTAGTATAATTAATAACACGAATAAAATTTGATAGATGCGTGGTTAGCAAAGAAACATCAGAATGATAAAATTAGTATAAATGGTACAAGTTTGTAAAACACGACGAACTTGGTATATATCCATCGAAACTTACTGATTTAACTGCATACTTTACTGCTGGATTGGCCTGGAATTGAAGGCAATCAGACATACAAAAGTAAGACTTTGAGTATTCGTACTACTAGTCAAAACTGTCGTCTTAAGGGGCCATTCTACCTTGTAGGCATGAAAAATACGTGTTTCTTTGTGATTTTTTTTGCGGGTTATTAAAGAGCGATTAATTCCGGATTTTGTAGATACATTTATTATATATTTAGCTATATTTACGAATTTTTGCAACGCATAATATCTATTGATTACGCTGTTTTTGTTGATCATCAAACAACAGTTTTTACGAACGGCACCCGACTGCGTACGTGATATCTTGCGAACAAGTTATTCGAAATCCTAAAACCAACGATATTCTTAATATAGATGAGTGTGGTTATAGCATGAACTAGGATCTTTTCAAAAAAACAAAAAATGGCAAAATGGCAGCTATTTTACGAAAAAATACTGAATATTTTCATATATTTGGTTGCTTTTTTGTTAATAAAAGAAAAAGTATTGCATATATCGCAATTATCCTAGTTCATGCTATAGGGAGACCAGTTCTGAAGATACTGTATAAATTTGATGTTGATATCTTGAATAGTTTTTTAGTTATCACGCACGCAGTGCCGAAAAATGTAGTTTCGAGAAAAACAGCTTTAAAGTTTCACGTCCAGTTGTTATACCTGCGCGCGGTACATTTCAGCAGGTTATAACTTCGTTAGTTTTTCAAATTTCAATTTAATATTTGGTAGATATATTTTCGTGACAACATACTAAAGGAAAATGCAAAAAAAAAATATCGATTTTTTTAATCCCACAAGGTAGAAAGGCCCCTTAAACGCTATTGAGAAAACCTTGACAGCTCACCTTATCCTTTACGCTGCGGAAAAATGCAGAACTTTCTTTTCGCATGGCATATGTCCACTCTCGATACTGTTGCATAAATTTACTACTAGATTTAGCGGAATAGCTACAAGCTTCCATTTCGAATTCATCCGAAAAGCCAAGCCCAGAATTAAGCATGTTCAGTCTTTCTTCTATAAACTAAAATCCACGAAAATTTCAAGGCCGTGTCACAATTATTAGGTCGAGTCGCAAGCGATTACCGGTTCAGGTAGCGGATCATAAACTTTTTACTACAATATATTCTGACTCGTACCTGTTGAAATATTTGTAACTCCAACATTTTTCGTAAAAAAGGTTGCATGGAAGATGGTCTACTTTCCACAAATGCATTGTGATTAAAAGTAATGCTTTGTCCTTGCTCCAAAGTCAATGCATCCCTATAACCAGCAGTTAACTGTACCAATGCTCGTAAAAATGCCCTCGACACACCGTCCCCAAGAAGCGCAGGTCTATTACGTAGCCCCTTTTTCAAATTGGTCACCTGGGACGAAGAAACTTTTTATTTTATTATTTAAGATGTGTTTCAATTCCTAAGAATAGATTCGTTATTCCAAATATAAAATCATATTTTTATACGAACTACGTCTTGAGGTAAGGACTCCAAATCTTGAAAGGGAGATTCTATGGTATTGTTATCAGCATCCAAAATAACTACTTCTCCCAAATCGCTTTTACGTACTCTCTAAAAATAAAATGAAAAATATAAATACAAATATAAACATAAAAATAACGATCTCGGTTCGTTGATTTTTAAAAAGCAAACCAAGTAACACAGGATGTTTCAAAGGAGTTAAATAATTATTTTAATTTGTTCATTTTAGATAAACAGAACATGTTCAACAAACGGAGTTCCACCGAAATAACTCTATCTTCAACAATTTTAAATATTTTTATATGAAAGAAATTGTGTATACTTCTCAAGTATAGGTACTTCAAAGGACACGTACAAAATTTACGTCTAGATCCCTTAAATAACTTACACACCCAATTGATCCAATTAATCCAAAATGAGCAAACAAAAATTATTCTTTTTAATACTTAATAATCGATACAAATAGAAATTGTTAATTTGTAGTGCGTATGTGCTATCAAAATACCTGAAGCGTCGGTGCTGGTACTCCAATTAAAAACGGCATTGGCGCCAATAAATAATCTATTAAAGATAATGGCAAAACTGGGATATATATATGTTGCCAAATCATTGGGTAAATTAAAGCATTACATGCTTGAACACAAGCGCTTAATCTTGAAAGACGTTTCGAAGTAAAAATAATTCGTCGCTCGTATAACATGCTAGCAAATATTATCATCATATTTAGAGCATCAACAGCGCTATAATATTCCGTCAAGTTTCTCTGAAATAATGAAACTCGCTATATGCACAGTATACTACTTAAAATATATTTTTACGTGCGTCGAATCAAATTTATTACACGACTACTTACATTTTCCGGTATACTCGGTAGTTGAAATTGTTTCGGACTTCGACAAACAAAATACTAAAAATTTGTAACATATAAGTAAAATAATACATTGCGTGTAAATTCGTCGGGTCACTTACCACTTTAGAATTTGGTACAGGAATGGATATAGAATTACCGGGAATGGGAACTGTACTTTTGTATACAATTTCAAGAAATTTCCAAACATCTTCTCCAGTGCCATTGCTCATTAAAGTCGCGATATGATTTAAAAGTCTGTACAGATACAAAATATTATACTTTACGCTTACACGAATTTCATTTACTCTACAGGGTGTCCAAGCTGAACCAGGGCACCCTGCTAATAAAATCGTTAGCTACTAAATTTACTCATATTTTAATTCGACTATAGCAACTATAAACCGACAACACTGTTCATATAGGATAAACTGATTTAGTGAATTATATTCTACTGTTAATTTTATCTATCGTTTTAAACCTTACGCCAAATCATATACTGACTTGTAAAATATTTCGTGCCACGGTAATGCGCTCAAAATTACTAAAGCTGTATCCGTTTTGGGATCGTGCCGACAGAACCCAAATGTCCATTTTGAGTCTATACTAGTGAGTACAAACGAAAAATGCTGCACCAGCAAGCTGAAATAAATATAAAAGTGTAATGGTATGAAATCATAATTAAATCGCAATTATATACAATTATTGCATTCCAAAGTATTTCATGCAAGATCAAATTTTAGTAATATTTCCATCTACACTAATCGTTTACCAACATGTCGAAATCACCAATAAATGTTTCACAATGTTAGTTTCTATGGTTAATTTAAGTTAAATAGAAAAAAAACTTTATTTAATATCTAGATAGTTAAATACATCCATGTATGAAATACACATTAGGACATAAATAGGGGTACAATAGTGTATCTATAATTCTACATAATTTAAGATTGTGTGACTAAAGAACTTATTGTAGTCCTATGGTACAAGCAGTTTCTTAAAACTTACTTTTCTAATTCACAAGGATATGCAAATTTAGGAACAGATTTGAGTATTTCCTCATCCAAAAAAGAACTAGGATACTTTTGGAGTATCCAAGGTAGTTTTCCTCCTAGCGGTGCTGCTACTTCACAGAAGCATTCAAAGAGAAGTTGCACATTGTCTCTGAAAATGTTAATGTACTTTTGTAAATCCAATGTTATCTGTGTACATTAGTAATACGTATGTACAGTACACGTGTAATGGCTCACAAAAGTATTCAAACACTTTCAAATCAAATAATTAAGAGTACATATGTGTTAAACTTAAAGAACATCTGGCAGTCTAAATAATTTTTATAAAGCATTTTTTATGTTAAGAAACAAAAACGTAATAAGGGTACAAAGAGTCTATAACAGTTGACTATACAATATTGTGTGAGAATATATTTAAAATGCAAAAACAAAAGATAATTTTAGTTGAATTTTCAGAAATACTTGTACTTGTTTGTATGCTTGCCACTGTACGTAACATACATATGTCGAAGCATACGTGTTAGATATATTGTAACATATATCAGACTTGTATTTACTTATTGCTAAGTGAACTACTTAGAAAACTCATTAACGCGTTATGAATCTAAAGACAAAATACTTAGTGCAATAGATCCTAAAATCAATAAAAATTCATTTGCGTTTGTAACGTTGATAATCGTTCTGCATTAAATAGATGTCTTTCGTCTTCACGCTATGTCGATTTTTCATAAGTATTTATCCGCTTTCTACTAGTAAACGATACAGAACAAAATAAAATCTGGTTGCAAATCAACACCTCGCGCAAGGTGCCATACGATACATTACACAATACGTACGTATGTACATCGTAAACACAAATTTATCTCGCGAACGTCCTCTACTTTAAATTGCAATTATCGTGAAGAAACATCTTTCAATATGTAACGAATAAGCAGCTAAGTCTACCAACTGTCATGCATGAATCTTTTATTAAGAAAGACACTTAAGTAATAGCGGTGTGTCAGACAAACATACTTTCACTTGATATTTGGTAGTGCAAAAGGAAGGATTACGTGTCGTAACGAAAATACCAGCAAACAAGACAGGGCGACGGAAATATCTACGAAACACGACGGGGAAACAAAACGAAGATCGAAAAATTCACTTGCCTCAATCTGGAACCCATGATAACAGCGAAAAAAAAATAAGTACTTCGCGTGCTCTTGACGTCTATACGTCATTGTACGTACTACATGACAGTAACGCATTCCATTCACGTGAATTTCAATCGCATCGCGAGGCGTACTATCGGTTTTACGAACAACGTACAACACTTTCTTATCCTTTTTCTTTTTCTCGCACAGCGATGCGTTTCAAGGCGCAACCGCCAAACACCGTACCAGCTATTATCTCCTGGCTGACTATAGTAACACTGTTACTGTAACAGCATCTCGTGTCGAAATCACGCCTACCGGATTAAAATACATAACGTACGACGATCATGAGTGTGCCGGATGTTGATTTCGAAAGTACTGCAGCGACCGCTACATCGTTTTTTATTGGCGAGAGATATCTGCGCGATAGGCAATCGAATTGTAAATTGACGATTACGCATCCCTCTCTATCGTATTATTATTTTAAGGCGGAAATGTATATGCTGCAATTTTCGCGCACGCGCGTTGAAAATAGCATCAGTAAGGTACCACGATCGAATAATAATGGGTATCGCATGACTTCTTGTTTAATCCTCGTCTAGCGCATTTCAGGTTTATTTCAAAATAATATTAATGATGACATGAATGAACTTGTAAAAATGAACCTTATTGTTACTTTTACTCTTAACACTCCCGGATCTATCAAGATATTTAATGCTCAAAATATTTAAAACCTCCAAGACTTTCAAGAATCAAGATTTTCAAGAATTCTAAATTTCGAATTATATTCATCTTGATCGAAATATAATCCAATTAAAGCACGATATAAGTAGGATTAAAACAAGAACTTGAATTGGCACAATTGGAACCTAATAGATTTTAACGCCTATTTTGACTATGTACGCCACTGTTTCCAGTCGTGCATGCGTAGAGATCACATTCTGATCATACTCTGCTCACATCGCTTACACTGCGTATGAACGGCATCGAACTCTCTGAAACATGGCGCTTAACCTCACCGTCAAGGTTCATCCTGTGGTTCTTTTTCAAATTGTCGACGCTTATGAACGTCGAAAAGCTGAATCGCATCGCGTTATCGGGACGCTATTGGGTAATTTGAAATTATATGTCTGCACAATAGAAAAAAACACGATTGCGTTTAAATGACTACACTAAGTACTTTGACAGAAGCAGTTGGATTCGATGAAGAATGTACATTGCAAACTTAATTTATATCATACTCGTTTTTGATACACAGACTTAAACAGTGAGCACTAAACGTTTAATTAGATGGCATTAATAAAACTCAAATCAAACATCTAAATACACAATGTATTTATGCGTTTGATATTTTATATGTATAAAAGTTCAATATGATTATAGAGAAAGAATAATTAAAACCAATAATCCTGTGCTTATATATAGCTTCTGTATATTCTCTGTGTATTACATTTGATACAAATGGCAATTAATATTCATAGGTACTGTAGAAAAAGGAATGGTTGAGGTCACAAACTGTTTCTGCGTACCACACAAAGAGTCAGAAAGTCAAGTAGAAGCTGATTTGACATATGGAATTGACTTGTACGAATTGAATCACAGAGTGAATGCACAAGAAAATATTGTTGGATGGTGGGCCACTGGTAATGAGGTAAATTATTTTGCAAATTCTGTGGATAGTATATTTGGAACTTAAACTGGAATTATTTATATGTATCTTACAGGTTACCACTCATTCTTCAGTCATTCACGAATATTATATACGCGAGTGCAACAATCCTGTTCACTTGACCGTTGATACAACGTTACTAAATACTACTAGAATGGCAATTAAAGCTTACGTATGTGTGTCATTAGGAGTACCTAATGGAAAACAAGGTTCCATGTTTACCCCGGTTAAAGTACAGGTACATTGTCCTTTTCTTTATAATACAAAAAGCCCTCAACTTATACAGGGTGTTCGGTCAGAATATTAGAATTAGAATCAAGATATTAGATGATCTGGTTTGCAATTTATTTGAAATATTTATTCAATTACAATAAAATTGTCTATCCTTTAAAATTTCTTTAATTATACTAGAAAAGATTAATGAAACCACAGAAATTTTGCTCACTGAGATCTATGTACTTCGAGGACTAACTGTATATTTATTTTACGAAATTTAATTTCTCGTAATCCGCCGATTTGCGTAGATCACATCTTACGAGCCGGAAGTTGTTGGGCTACAACTTTGTTCTAAGACACAGTTACCAGCACACGCCCAAATTGCTGGTGTGAAGTCAGGTGGCGGTATAGAACCAATGATGGATTTAGCACAGATAGCAGAAGCTAGTGCTAAGCTTTCTTCCATGTTAGAACAAGTGCTTGCATACGTCGACGATGTTTTAAATTCGAAACAACCGCCAGACAATCAAGTATGCACGATTTTATGTCGTCTAAAGCCGGCCTGACGAACTTCTCTGTCGCGGGCCACAGATTCCCCTGTAACTAAGAATGTACGTAACAGTGCGCGGGCAAAATATAACATCGATCGAGTGGGGGGTTCAGCGAGTACGGGGGAAGGTCTAATCGCGGATCGTTAATTCGTCAGGCCCGGTCTAGAGTTTTTGTACGATAGAATTGCTCTAAGAATGATTAATTTTAATACGATAGGTGGGTCGTGCTCTTCTGGACATGGTACATTCGGTTCCCAAAATGTCGAGCGAGCAATTTGAAGAAATGTTTAACAGCAACGTGAAAGATCTACTGATGGTCGTCGCGCTCTCCCAGTTGATAAAGACTCAACTTCAACTAAACGAGAAGCTTACTCTACTCACAACACTGTAATACAAGTTTTTTACTCGAAAAATCTGTAATATAAACTCGAATATTCTGTAATACAGTAACCACGAATAAAAAGAGATATAAATTTTCAACGCAGCATACATTTTTTATTTTTCATTTTAGTATGTTAAATACAAAAGTAAGAAACCAAAAATAAATAGTGAAAATGGAAATTATTCATATTACTTCTATATATGTATGTACATATAAATACAACGATTAAAATATTTTTATTATAAAAAGTTAATATACTTTACATTTCGCAATTTACAGAATCTTCTCTTTGGTTATCTATTAAACTGGTCCAGTCAGGGATTCTGTTAGATTTTAAATAATTCTCTTTTGTTACGCATCTTGATGGTAAGTCCACAGTTCCAAAAATGGCACCTCCTAACCATGCTGTGTAATTTGGCTTACTGGGCGCGGTATGGAACTTGAATGACTGAATTTTTAATTTCTCGGAATAAGGACTGGTTTTTATTAGAGCAGAAAGTTCAGATTTAAGACGACTAGCAAATCCTTTTATCATTGTCGTTCCACCGATTAGTATTATATTTTCAGCCAAAGACCGTTTGGTATCTATTGGACACTGTAATAAGAACTAGAGTTTGATACTTCAAATAAACTAAGTTAAAAAATAATCGGAATAATCGGTTAATTATACCTTAATTATGGCATCTAGAATCATTGTAGGGATACTAAGATTATCATTATCTCTTTCCCAGAATGCTTCAAATGCTTTTTCTCTAACTTCGCCGGGTATAGTAATATTTTTAACTCCAGGATACATAACAGCAGGAGGCGGATTAGGAGCATCGTCTGTTCCTAATTTAGCAGATCTTTCTAATGTAGTAACAAAACATGTCCTTACTTTTATATCTTCCACAAGGTTCTCTGTTATATCTGCATTAGGATTAACATCCTTCAAAGACTTCATCAAATACCTACAAAAAAGAAATGCGAGCATTGTATAAACGTCAATGCAATAATAACAAAATGTCTATTATAATGCACATAACGTACTCGTGCACAATTTGACCACCCAAGGGTAGAGCTTGCCATGCCTTCAAAATTGGTACACCCTCGTAAATTGGAATCAATGTAGCTTCCTTGTACCCAACATCTAAAACTAAGGCTGTGTTGGTACCCAATGTACTGATTGTTGCCAAATGAACAGACAATAACATCAGAGAACCAATCTCAAAGTGCCGGAACAGTACTTTGGCCAGTGTGTCTCTGAATTGTGACGGAACTAACAGTGACTCCAAAACAATAATTCTTGCTTCTTTTGGAGTTCTCAGAACATATCTAACACAAAAGATACAAAACTAATAGACAATATTAATTTAGAAGCTTATCAGGAAAATTTGGTAATATGACAGGCACAGAAAATTTATATATTCGGGAAAACTGATGCCAGCCATAATTGACAAATTTACTCACGATCGTTACCTGAAAAATAAAGAATGAAGAAATTCGACGAGCAACTGGTACAAATCTTCCGTATCTTTATAATCATAGATTTTCCGAAGCTCTTTAGTTTCCGGACACACGACTTCCGTTCTTATCATACCTCGCGGCGTAGTTTCACCCGCATAACCATATCTATTTCCAAATTACATTTTAAATTATTAACAATGTTAGATTATTCGCATTAGCGTAAATGTATTCATACTTTGTATACGCGCTTCCAATGTCAAATATCACCATTTGTTTGTCCGAAAGAAATCGTACACCTTCATAGCTGCGGAGCATTTTGACAGATTATCTTTTTTTCTACTTTGTATTTCGAAAAGGGTTATATAACCTCAAAACATATCAAGCAGCGTAAAACATTTTCTCAAACAAGTAGACAAGTCAAAGTAAATAACTTCATCTTTGTCTATCGTTTACGATCAAAAGGAAAAAGACAAACACGGCCACTTGTAAACTTCCCTTTATTTTAGAAAGACTAATAGAGGAGCGCGAGAACTCGATACACCCGAAAATCTCGAATAGGTCGATTAACACATTGGCGTCGAATGATGCACACTTCTACCTTTAACATTTTTTCGGCGGCGATCACGTATGCGTGACTTCGATGGCTTAGCGATTATCGGCCGGTGTCACATGTACGTGACATTTTAACACAATTTTTGACAATTATATTAGTACTCGACACCATCGTTTAATGACTTAAATTTTTATGCAACAATATTTAAAAGTAATAAACCCAAACGTAATTTCACATTTTCGATGAAACTTTCTTGTGGAACTTGATAAAAATAAGATTAATCCCTAATAAGTATATGACAAACTTTATTTATCTATATAAAATACAGGAAGATGCACATGCTTGTTAAACAATCATTTCAAGTTCTCTTGCATAATCAATGGCTAATGTAGCCAAATCTGAACTGGGTATTGGTTCTTCGGTTTCCTTTTCGTTGATCGTGCTGAAGTAAAAGTAACCGTCCTTAGCCAAAGTCCAATTCTTTTTTGAAGCAAACGCTTTCATATCTTTCTCGGAATTTAGATTGAGCATTCTTGATGCACCTTGAATAGAAATTTTAACGTACGCACTCTCCATACATGCTCCGATTTCATCGCGAACCGTATTTAATAAAATATCTATGAAAAAACTATATGATGCTGCTGGTATATTGCCTGTTGCTAAGAATATCTTATTATATGATCCTTCCATTAAATATTGTTCTAAGCTTAAAGGATGTCTGATGTAAACATTTGATTGTATCTGATCAGAAGGCAGTAGTTCTAGTTCTGTATGAAATTCAGCAACACGATTTTGTGACAATAAAAACAAGAGATTTAAGCCGAGCAGATGATACTTGTACACAGATTCCGCTAATCCTGACTTATAATCAAAGTAATAACACTTCAATTGTGCCATGTAACGTTCAAAAGAAGGTATATCTTCTGTTACTATGCTCCATTGTGCACCAATTTCTAAAATGTCACCTACAATTAGAAAATAATTTATATAAATAATGGTTAACTGAATATTACTCAAATTTATGTGTATCAATACGTACGAGCTATGATCAATTCATGTTGACTGGCTGTGTTATTAGATGTTGGAAGAAACATCAAATGTGTAAGACCAATCTGCAAACAGTAGAGACTTTATTGAATTGCTCATTCCTCATCAGTTTAGGTGATTTTGTATGATCTATGTTATCAATGAGGAGATAGTTTTTCTAGATCTTTTCTAATTGCTAATCATAAATATTGTACCAAAGATTTCATATAAAGAAAACATTTTAATATCAATCACACGCTGCTTATAACACGTTGAATATCGATAAACGTTGAATTTTTAACACGATGACAATTCATTTTGACAGACCACACAGGTAAACAAGGTTATATTACAAGTTCACCAGCGAAAAATATCCTTTAGCAATAGTAAATTTTTTTATATGATACCTTTAATTGATTGAGCAATTCGCCACATTTTTTTAAGTTACACGGAGTCGCTGTCCATTCTTGCTTTAAATTTTTATATAAAGAAACAACATCCTTTAGTGCTGCCATTTCTGGATATAAACCACAGTCACGCAGTCTATACATTATAGATAGTAACTATTAGATACACGAAAATTGAGAAAAAGAGGGAGAAAAAAAATATACACAGCATAGAAAATAGAAACTTATCAAGATAAAAATTCAATATTTTTCATATTTTCATAAGTTATTGAATAGATTTATTAGTTTTAAATATTATTACTAGAATATCGTATGAAAATTTTGTTCATGTAAATCAGAGATGCCAGAAAAGCACCGCCGGGTGCACACGCACACATGCCAGATACGCGTACGTGAGCTCGTGGAGTTTCGGAAAGTCGACAAAGGCAAACTGACGCATGCCCTCTTTCTCGATTCTCCGAAGCTGTCCGAAGTAATTTCGGATCGCCTCGTGGGAGTCGAGAGAGAAAGGCTCACATTTGCCTTCTCGCTCTAAACAACTGAAATCCGACCTCCCGTCAACGGCATACGATTTGGATTCTCGAGCCGAGATTCTCGACTGCCCAGGCATTTTTACTTTCCGACCTATGTAGGCGCACATAAGCAAAGTACCCATAATGAAAAAAAAATTTTGTAAAATTTAGTTTACGGAAATACACGTTTTAAGACCTCCTGATCATATTTTAATTATTGAAAAAAAAGAAATTTTTTTTTATTCCCATGTATGAGCACACATGTATATTATTAATACGATTGAATATAAATAGCTGAATGAATTTAAATGAAACTTTACATTTAAGTTTTATGTTCTCATTTCAAAGGCGTGTGGACGGATTCAAATACGTGAACACTAAACGTAACGATGTAATTATATTATTTAATATTTACTAACTATTTAACATAAAGAACATAAAAGAAAGACATAAAACGTAAACGTAAAAGATCATAAACGTAAAACTGTGATTGCTCTCGACTAACGTTCGATACAGAGTGACGTTCCTGCAGTCAAAGTCGACCCTTCCTTATTCCTATCTTATAATAATGATCTAAACAAAACGCACGTTCGAGACGCAGTCTCTAAAACGTATTTCAGCTTAAACCTAAACACCTTACTCGATACCTACTCTAGCTTAGACTAAACACTCCTATCGACGCAAACGATAACGGTTCTCCTAGCCACGCATACACTCCTTACAGATTATACCTCTTGTTTCATAGTTGTTCCGATATATAGGCATAATGTATAAAAAATCTTTTAAATGTTTCATATAAATCTTAGGACGAATTAAATTTTATATAAAAAAAATTATATAAACTTTTTCTCTATCTTCTCTAGAAAAGAAAACATTAAATGAAATCTTATACATTACATGCTTACTTAAATCGCATTGAAAACGAATACCACAAATGTTTTAGAATAATGTGCAAAATGTGATTGCGATTTTCGCTAAGACAAATTGAAAACTCGTTTCTAACAAGGAAAAGTTGGAATGGTACCAGGTTTTGGGTTAGGTTTTACTTTGAGATATTATTAAAGTTATTACAGGTACTTATTTTCAGAAATAGAACTGTGTTCACCACTAGTCAGCGTGGCGTGAGTGATGAGGTCTTTGCCTGCAAGTTCCGAACTTCTTCTGCTCTGCTGGTTCGAACCCTGCTTGAACTTTTTTTTTTTATTTTTTCAATCATACTTTAATCGTACACTAAATATGACATTATATTTTTGTCTGACCTTCGAATATTTTTTTTAAAGTTAAATTTAACCGATTACATTTAACATATGTTATTTTCCATGTACGAAGTACATGAATCTGGATGGTACTTTTCACAAAAACAGTCAAAACATAAAAATTTCAAGCACCACGTACATTTACTGAAAGTTTTGTTTTCACAGAAATAACAAAATTTTGTATCTAACTCTGATGGAAAGGCCGCTTCATTTACATTGATAAAATGTGAACGATTTTCGGATAGTCGTACCTTGTAGCTCGTACTTTTTACCTTATACTTCAGGTAAAAAGGGATATAGCTGAGAAAAACAGTTTTATGACATTACCTGCTAACTTATGTTACTGTTCTACAATGAAACGCTATGTTTTGTACCTTTAAAAATATTCGACTATGTCCTTTTAAAATTTAAGATACAACCCATACTTTGTATTAAACTGGCAAACGGGATCACTTTTCCTTTGTTTCTAGTTAGTTCTACATATTTAGTTCGTCATAACCAATTGATACGGTTATTTCAAAACAATCGAGGAAAATCATTATTAATTAATTTCTGCAATTATTAATTCTACTGTTTTGTTTATGTTATAAAAGTAAGAACTCTTCTTATTGAAAAATACCACAGCGTGCACAATACTGGTAAAGAGTGGAATCTCATTTTAATTTATTAATTTTCAATCTTAAAGTATTTTGATTTTCAAAAATCGTATTAATAATATACATATGTGTGCTCATACATGGGAATAAAAAAAAATGTCTTTTTTTTCAATAATTAAAATATGATCAGGAGGTCTTAAAACGTGTATTTCCGTAAAATAAATTTTACAAAATTTTTTTTTCATTATGGGTACTTTGCTTATGTGCGCCTACATAGGTCGGAAAGTAAAAATGCCTGGGCAGTCGAGAATCTCGGCTCGAGAATCCAAATCGTATGCCGTTGACGGGAGGTCGGATTTCAGTTGTTTAGAGCGAGAAGGCAAATGTGAGCCTTTCTCTCTCGACTCCCACGAGGCGATCCGAAATTACTTCGGGCAGCTTCGGAGAATCGAGAAAGAGGGCATGCGTCAGTTTGCCTTTGTCGACTTTCCGAAACTCCACGAGCTCACGTACGCGTATCTGGCATGTGTGCGTGTGCACCCGGCGGTGCTTTTCTGGCATCTCTGATGTAAATTGAACTGCTATGTCAAATGTCGATCGAACATTTTTATACGTTTAAAATAATCTATCAAATTTTTCGCACGGTTTCTTTGCAATATCTATTTCGTAAGAAATATCTTATTTCATAAAAAGTACATCATCATTTTATATTGTAAATGGTATATAAATTCAATACCGAGCAACCAATCAGAATGTTATGTTTTAGTACAGTGATACATACATTACATTTTCACCAAATACGAAAGTCTGGTCTAATTAAAAGAGTCTTTTGGCAATACCTCATTGAATTGCGAAATTTGTAATATTACACGGTTGCGTTTCGATTAGAATAGTTGATAAATATTTCGTGAAAGTATCAAGACACGATATATTGCAGCTACGTATCTAGAGACGTATCTATTAGTGTAGAGACTTTATGCACTCGAGAGAAACGATCTTTACCGGCCTTCGACTTCCTCTTCCCGTAACTGGCTATAATGGCGTCTGGAGTAAGTCTCTCTCGTGCGAATCGCACCGCTAACCATCGACGTTATGACGAACCAACGTGGACCTACGTTCCGTTAGAAATATTATTTAATGCGGAAACCAGCTAATCGTGCCACGATTTATTTCAGACTCTGTACACCTACCCGGAAAACTTCAGAGCCTACAAGGTGCTGATTGCGGCTCAATACTCCGGCGCTCAGGTCAAGATCGCAGATGATTTTGTCTTCGGTGAAACGAACAAATCTGAATCATTCTTAAAGAAATTTCCATTGGGAAAGGTATGTCGCAACGTGCGGCACATTTTTTTAGCCCCGTTACGTGTTATTTGTAAACCAGCTGGTGTTTTTTTGTGACAACTTTCACGAAGCTGTTAATACAGTAAGTCCTACGCTTACGCGATTGATTCGTTCTGAAGCTCTTCACGTGAGCCAAATTGTATGTATACAACGTATTGCAGAGAAAAAGAAAAATTGACTTTGGATTTAAGAGTAATGCGTGATGTCATCCATATGGATAACGTGGACAGCATAGAGTAATGTTTGTTTAATCATAGGCATTTGTAAGACTGGCCAAACTGTCTCGTCTGATCTAACAATTCGTGCCAGGACCAGTCTTTCTCTCTTCCTATAATATGTTTAGTATACAATCTTTGTTAGAAAAATGAATTAAACAAAAATTTTTTTCGTAGATGCTTAAAATATATACGAGGATGTAAGCAACAGTTCAACTGTGTATTTTAAGGATTAGAAATCTGTGTAATGTGAGGGCTTGCTGTAATTAAATATAGTGTACTGGATTTGTTGAAAAAACGTCGCTAATATTTGTATGATTTTGTCTGCAGGTTCCAGCATTCGAAACTGGTGATGGAAAATGTATCACAGAGAGTAATGCGATTGCGTATTATGGTAAAATTTATGATTGATATATTGGGTATATATTAAAATTTTATGTGCGCGTAAAATAAATCGTTCAATTTTTCCAGTGGCTAATGATCAGTTAAGAGGTAAAACTGATTTGGAACGTGCAGAAATTATTCAATGGTTTGGATTTGCTGATTCTGAAATTCTTCCCGCTAGTTGTGCATGGGTATTTCCGTTACTCGGTATTATGCCATATAATAAACAGGTACGGATAGAAGTGTTTCTCGTTATACTTATTTGCATTAACTTTTTCATTGAAAAAACAAATTGAAAGAATTTCGATATTATAAATTAAATCCTCCATCAAAGGCAAAACTAGTTCAATATTGTAACTATTTTTGTAACTCTAGGAGGTATAATATTGGCATATTGTATGATTATAAATTTTGTTTTACATGTCCAACAATATGCAAACATTTTAAGTTAAATATCTAAAATTAGTCACATTTAATACAGTTTCTTTATTATAACGTAAATTTCAGACAGTGGAACATGCCAAGGACGATGTAAAGAAAGCACTGACTGCTCTTAATTCTCACCTACTTACATGTACTTATTTAGTCGGGGAACGAATGACTTTAGCCGACATAAGCGTAGCCATGACGTTACTCCATTTGTACCAGTATATACTTGAACCAAATCTACGCAAACCGTACCAGAACGTAAATCGATGGTTTCAAACTGTTATTCATCAGCCTGAATCAATAGCTGTGATCGGTGCTTTCAAATTGGCTGAAAAAACTCTCGAATACGATCCAAAGAAGTTTGCAGAAACTCAAGGAAAAGTTAGTATTATCATTGCATGATTCGTAAAAATCTTTTTCGTTTCGTTTAACTGCGTTTCACGCGATAGTAATTCTTTATACTGTTTTTATAGCCTGTAAAGAAAGAAAAAAAGGAAAAAGAATCTAAAAAGGAACCAAAGGAAGCAAAAGAATCCAAGAAAGAAGTGGACAAGGTCGAAGAACTGGATCCAGTCGAGGCCGCTTTAGCTGCTGAACCCAAAAATAAGAATCCCTTTGACACCTTGCCCAAAGGCACTTTCGATCTCGACGATTTTAAGAGATTTTATTCTAACGAGGATGAAGCAAAATCTATACCCTATTTTTGGGAAAAGTTCGATCCAGAACATTACAGTATCTGGCTTGGCGAATACAAGTACAATTCCGAGTTAACAAAGGTAAAACGAAAATGTTGATTTAAAACGATATATCGAATACTATCGAATAGATTGAAAATATCGATTTATTTTTTCCTTCTTCTCTCGAATAGGTTTTCATGTCTTGCAATCTAATAAGTGGTATGTATCAACGACTAGACAAAATGCGGAAGGCAGCGTTCGCCAGCGCTTGTCTGTTCGGCACAGATAACGATAGTAGTATCAGTGGTATTTGGGTTTGGTGCGGACAAGAGCTCGCATTCACGGTTAGCCTATTTCTTGTATAATATTTTGATGATCTGAAATTATTTTTCTGTCTAATTGAGAATATAAAATGTAATAATTATATCCTCTTGAACAGCTGTCCCCTGATTGGCAAGTAGATTATGAATCGTATAGTTGGACCAAGTTAGACGCAAGTAAAGAAGAAACGAAACAGTTGGTTCAACAATATTTCAGCTGGACTGGTACCGATAAAGAAGGACGCAAATTTAATCAGGGAAAAATTTTCAAGTAAAATTTTGCCATATGCTTACTATTAAACAGAACACTTTATTCGCATAAAATAAACGTAAAAAAACTGATTAAATATCATCGAACTTTACAAAATACCTTTAGAATCCTGTATTTAATAGGGTGTTTTTTTCTTTTTCATAAATGTTCCTTTTCGCAGATCTCTGTTGTATAACTCGATGCTTTTACCTTTAAGTTTACCGTGTCACGTTTGAAATGCTGCTCCGAAGCTAGTTTTATTATACCTTTCTGCGTATGTGTATAGTTCGCGAATTGTGGTATTTGGAATTCGTTTGAATATCGGTCAAATACCACAGTATGAACAAGAGATAAGATTTTAATTTTTAACAGAATAAAAGATGTGATAATTACTTTGATATTCGCGCTCGTAGAAATTTCTATTTCACGTACACGTGTTAAATTATTTAATTTATACACCGTTTTAAACTGTCATAACTATTGTAATACAAATAATTCGATAGATGTAAGAAATAAGATTACTTTATTCGTCTGTTACTGGTTTAATAAACAAAAGCATATATCATAATTTGTAATTTAAACATTAAGATAAAAAAAAAAACGTGAAATTACGAATGCATCGTAGCGCCTATATTTAAGTCCACTGCTACGCATATTACAATTCGTTCTCCATAACAGCTTGTATGAAGTTTAATTTTAAATGCATATTTTTACAAAACAAAAAAAAAAAATAAAACTTGAATTTTTAACTATTAAAATAAAGTTTGTACGTTTCTAAAATTCTGTATTACCATTTAAATACTATCTCAATGATAAGTGTTAAAATCACAAAATTTAAGAATACAAAGTTATGCATTTTAATATGGATTTTTATTTTTAAGTATAACAAATAATAATTACAATAACAAAATGTATCTTTTTTCAAAATTTACACTGGTTGTTCAATTGCGAGGTACAAAGACATTGTTAATAGCATTTAAAATCCTTTTGAATCGCACCACTTTTTGACGAGGGTCACGTAATCTCCCCTAAATTGAATCTGACCTGAGAGTTCATTCACACGGATACCAATATGTTTGCCTGTGTTCTCCTCCAAATACTTTTTCAATTCGGTTCGTAATAACCAAATATCCCCATCAATTTTACGAATAGTAGTTAATCTTCGCAATCCTCTGTATCCAATATAGAGATATACTGGTTGCATATAACTCTTTGTACGATGAATATAGTATGGATGATCTCCTGGCTTTGCTGTTAAATTGAAACTAATGAATTAGATGATATAAATAAAAATAGATGCAAAATGCATGAACAAGCTATTATTTCTAAAACATGCGTGATTTGCAAACATTTTAAACCCATTCTTTAAATTACTTATAAAACTTATAAACGAACAAGTAGATATTAAAAACATTGAGTTTAACTCACAAGTGGGTGGTTTCCATCCAGAAGGCAAATTTGTATCTTGAAGAGGAGGCTCGGGCACAAGTTTAGGTTTAAGTATACGTTCTACATACTCCCATTCTTCAGGATCTTGTGTTACTTCATAATTCGCATATTGCGCAGAATCTATGTATTTTGGGGAAGATTTGAAAGATCCCCATCTTTTATGAATCTAATTCAAAAATACACATTCTATCACAATTTTCCACAAACTTATCAACCGCTGCTATTTCGTTTATACGCGCGTTTGTAGGTTATTATTAAAACGAAGTATGTAAATACAAATTTTTATTGAGAACTAATTTTCAATTTTTTTTTAATTATATCCAAATAAGAAGAAAATCTAAAATCTAAACTTGTTTCCGTACAACTTTATAATATCATGGTACACACTTCACATCACATTAGTTTTTGAAGTTAATGATTCCTTCAAAAGGTGCTTTTCTTTAAGTTTTCATTTATTACATTCTCTCAAGACGCGACAACTTAGACACCGTAATCATTTTGCATTTGAGGAGACGCACAAACATTTCAGAATTGCCATTAAATGGAAAGAGAAACCAGCAATAATACAAATACTTCGTTTGACTTCGCTCAGCTTGTCCCTTCGCTAATTTGTGTTAAGGTAACCATCACGAAAATGTGAGAAGTCATAGCCTGATGAAAGATCATGAAAGAAAAAAAGAAGTAAAAATGCAGATCGACGAGTAACATTACCTGATACACAATCGGCGAGACATTATTCCGCAGCTCGAGCTGACTAGAGGATCGAAGAATAATCGTCGAGAGCCTCGAACGTGCGAAGAGCCGAAGGGCGGCCATTTTGACTTCGGTAAATAAGGGTCGGTGGCCGCCATTGGTGCGCACGGGCGCGTCTTCCTTTTCGTTCTCGTGCCAGATCGAGCTTTTCCGCACGACGGGCCTGCATTTTCAGCATTTTTTCTGTCTCGCGATAAACTTGGTCGCGCTCGCTCGACTGCCCGATAGACGAACGCGTCACCGAGCGACCGTGAGTAACGTAAAATTCGACCAAATAACCGATGGGGGTTTTAGTTATCGTGAACACTGTATAGACGTCCAAGTGCCGCGTTGCTGGGAATTTTGACGGTGGTTCGTCGGGTCTCGGTCGTAGAAACGGCGATCATTTTCGGTCCGTCGGCGAGCACGAGTTTCACGGAAGGTGAACGTGCCACATACACCGGGTAACGCGAGGCCAGAAGGGGTTGAATTCTGTGTGAAATAACGCGACGAAATTAGCGCGAACGAATTATGGACCTGGGAGAGGTCGCGTGTTTTACCGTCAGGTGGCGGTAGCCTGAAAACAGTGGGACAGCGTACGAGAGACAGACACCCTGCAACGGGACTCTGTGTGTTTTTCACGGAATTGTTTTCTGAGTTTTCCTACCAAAAATCACGCTTCGCGACGGCGATTTTTTGGCCGAAAGGTGAGTATACGTTACGAATCGAATGCCTAGCCACGAAATCCCGTCGACAGCGCTCGGCCGACGACGTACTAAACCTTCGAAATCTCGAATCGGGTCCGACCTTTTGTTTATTCGTGGCGATTTTTTCGCGACGATTTGTCGCACGATTTTTGATACTTATCGCCAATTCACCCCTGAATTTCACTTCTTGTTAGTTAGCGCGCGATACGGCCTTTCTATCGGCCACGAATTCTTCGGGATCCGAGGCACGATCGACGAGATATCGCGGTAAATATTTCGAGGCAATTCCTGCCCAAGAGAAGAGGCGCTCCGTGTGTATCCGTGTAAATGCAAAGTTTGTCACGTAATTTTTCTGACCGCCAGGGCCGCATCTATCAACCCCACTATTCCGGCCGGCCGCTCACCTACTCGCACCTAAAGACGAATTATGTAGTTTTTCCGCTTGGTGTACAGTCAATTTGTTCCTGTCTCATTTATAAGAGGAAAGGTACTATTTCTTGGATTTTAATTCAAGCATTATTTTACATACCCTTTATAAAGTAAAATCAGCTGTTAACGTACATGAGTTTTATCGTGAATATCTTCATTGAGATAAATGATTTATCGTTTTTCAGTGAATACATAACAGTAAATAATGTTGCTTCTTTAACTTCTTAAATATGTATTATTCCGTTACTAGGGAAATTGACAAACTATCTTGAACGCTACCATGGTAGTAGCAATTACTCAATGGTCGGTAATCGGCTTGCAATTTCATGTAACGAATGAAATTGCAGGAGCCCAATGTGGGCGGAAGTGAGATGGCATCCAGGGAAAAGAAACCCTTAGCGCCTTCCAAAGCAAAACAGAAGGCCAATAATGATTCTGGCTTGCCGTCGAACGAAATCAAAAGTAGAAAGGGCAAGTCTTTGTCAAATTTGAAGCAACAACTCGCACGTGATATTTTTGAGGCAGTGGCGACTGGTAGTCAGTTTTCTCCAAAATTAGAGGCAAGCCTGCCACGAAAGAAAGTCCTTAGGAACCTTAAGCGCAAACAAAAATTGAGAGTGGCAAAGGCAAATCTCATTAAGTCTAAGGTTACAAGGAAAGTGACGAATAGGAATTTGTGCAGAATAACCGACATCAAAAAGGGCGTCAGAACGAAAAGAGTTAAATTGCCAGAGGGGAACGTGGTTAAGGCATCTGACGGTAACTCAAGAATATTAGAACAACGCGCGAACGATACGGAAAGTGAAAGTACAAGAGCAGAAACTATTAACAGAAGTGCCAAGAACAACCTCAGGACCAAAAAGACCAAGTTTGTAACAAAGAGTAGCGGCGAAGTAGAAAACGAGGACGCACAGGACAAGGATACAGACTCTATTGCTGGGTCCAGTACCAAAACCAGTCCAAAATTAAATAGGAAAGGGAAAAGTTTTGATAGTCCAGACTCTTTGTCCAAAAGCATTAAATCGACAAAGTTATCAGGATTTAAAAGGAACAGTATCAGGGAGAAGGACAGCTGCACCAAAAATACAGAAGGTGATATCAAGTGTACGAAAGGGAAAAAGAGTAACGGCAAAGATATAGATTACTCTACCACAAAGGCATCCGGTGTTGATACAAAATTTTCAAAATCCCTTCTGGATGCTAAGAGTTCTATAGATCTTACCATAGACGAAGTTATTGCTTCGATGTTGAGCGATTCAGAGGTAGATAATCAACAAGGAATAACAGAAAAAATTGAGGGAAAAATTACAAGAAGTAGGAAGATGCTGGTAGAAGAAACTATACTTCCAGACGAAATTAAAAAGGAACCGGACAGCGACGATACTAAAATTATATCTGACGGTGAAAATTTGGAAACAGAATCCTTCCAAAGTGCAATTCAGTTGAGGAAAAGGTCAAATACATCGATTGGTCAAAGAAGTTTAAGGAATGGAAAGTTACGACAATCGGATTCTGCTATTTCTGCGGACTTGGATCCCAAGAAACGTCGAAGATTAAACTCGGATGACCCTGTCGGTTCAGAAGTTTCAGGAGATAACATTGCAGATAGTAGTATAGATACAGAGTCTTGCTTTTCTGAATCTAGTGGTAACGATCCTCAAACAGTTATGGTAACAGCCAAAGATGAATTTTGCTTGAAACAGGATCCGTTGAAAAATTGCGAGGAAAATTCCCAGAATGGTTCAGAAACAGAAAACAATAATAACAGTGATCGAGTAGATAGGGCTAGTGAAGTAGGACCCACTCTGCGCTCAAAAACTAAAGCCAAAAGTACAGAGATCGAAATAAAATGTGACAATATCAAAGTTGAATATACAAGAGTAGCACCTAAGAATACAGAAGAAGATATAAAGAAAGTAAGCAATTTAGATCAAGTTAGGAAGGATAATATTTTAGCAAAATTTACAGACAAGTCCAAGAGTCGAAGAAGTAGTTTAAACATAGATATGAAAAAAACAGTAGGTTCATTTTATAGTACGGATAAATCGGATAGTAATCCAAAGTCTCAAATAGATCAAATGATAGAGAATATCAAACTTACTATCGCAAAGTCCATCGAAAGTAAAATGTTCGGGGCAGAGAAGGGACTTGGATTAAACAAAAATTTTGAAGTACCAAAAATCGAGGAAATAATTGCACCGTTGAGTGCGGAGTCACAAAAATTGGGTTTAGAGGAAACTGTGGATGAAGACAAGTCTACTATTTCCAAAACTGAGATTAAATCGGATAGTTCAGAAAATACAGTACCAAAAGTGGCCGACACTGCCAAAGAAATTGAAAAACTAGTCATGGGTGATATCGAACCAGCAGAAACTCATTCACAAAACATTCAAGAAAGCGAACCTTCGGACGTTGACGGAAGTAATAGCGTGCATAATACTTCGGAACCTGTGCTCGCTGCAGAGAATACAGAGAGCAGTTGTTGCAATTCCATAGAACAACAGGAACAGTCAAGCCAAAATTCTACCCCTACGGAGGAGCCTGAAAAGTGTTTGGATCAAACTACGGATGATCAGAAAACAGTGGACGATAGTAAAAAAGCAGTTGCTCTCAGAAAATCTCCAAGAATAATCGATAAAAATTCTCCAGAAAACGTGAACAGCGAAATTGTGAAAAAGGTAAGCAGAGCATCGAATAAAATAATTCAGAAGTCTGATAATTGCGAAGAATCTCCACAAGAAGATTTAAATAAATCTTCGTCCCCGCAAGTAGATGTAACAAAATTTCCATCTTTGCAGGAAGATTTAAATGAATCCGCGTTCGAAGATGCAACCAAATTTCCATCTTCGCAAGAAGATGTAAACAAATCTACTCTCGCAGAAGCAGCGTCAAACGATGGCGAAACCGTGTCTAAACAGATGAAAGAGAGGCTGGCGGAAGAGAAAAAGGGAAACGAGACAACCGAAAGGGAAACCATGGTTCCTTCTAACGTTTCCGTGAACTTCGAAGAGGCAGAGACGTTGGAAAGTATTTCTAAGGAAGTGGAGAGATTAGTTGCGGAAAGTCAATTGAACAGTCAGATACAAACAGTTGCGGAGGGTGTAAACAAACAAGAATCGAGTACTAAAATCGTAACTGAGTTCTCTTCGTCCCCAAGCATAAAGGAAGAAGTGATCGTTGATGAAGTCGAACCGAACGATAATGATACAAGAAACATATACGAGGCAATGGAGAATGACAAAGAAATTGATACCGGCGCTCTGGAAGCTGCACAAGACGCGAAAGAAGATGGTAGCACTTGTTGCGTGTCGGATAACCTCGACGCGGACGCGGATTCGAAACAAAACAAAAATTCTGATTCCAGCGACAATTCCATCGAAAACAGCAAGAAAGGAGACAATATTTGCGACGACGTTGGCGGCTGCAACGACGAGATCGGAGTTCCGAGTTCAGAGTCTAATGAGAAGAAGGCAGTTACGAGCAAACAAACGGAGCACGGCGAGTCTGCAGCGACGGAGGAAGAGGGCGAAAAGATGGCGGCCAACGGGGCGACGGAGGAGCAAAAGTCTGCCGCGGAGGACAAGAGGAGGGTGCTGAGGGCTCGTGACAAGGCGAGGAAAACCGAGAAACGGTACCCGTCGTTGGCGAATGTGAAAATCGAGGAGGAGAACGCCGACAAGGTGCAGAGTCAGACGCAGAACGACACCGAGGAAGCGCAAGAGTTGGTGGAGGTGAAGGTCGAGGTTATAACGGAGGAGGCGGACGAGCTGGACGACTCGGAGCCACAGATTCGGCCGAGACGCGGCAGGGAGGCGAAGAAACGAAAAGAGGATCAGCTGGCGGCGTTGAGGAGTAAACGGTCGAAGCGGGAGCTACGCAGATCCGATCAACAGAACAAGGAGGAGACGTTGCTGGACGACGAGGTGGCCACGATAAACGAGAACAACCGGTCGTTTCTGAACAAGTACGGGAACGTGGCGGGATGCGTGGCGAATTTTCGCGGTTTCTCGGAGGGCGGCAGAGGCAGCCTGGAGAAAAGGGACCACAGCGCGAACAACGCGCGGAGCAAGTCGGAGAACGACCTGCTGACCATCGTGAAGGATCCCGGGAAAGGTGACATCTCCATGGGCCACGTGGCGAAGGTAACGGAGAACGTGAACATCCTGACCGGGGATTGCAAGGCCGCGAAAACACCGGAGACGTCGCAGAAGGACTCCGACGAGACGTCCATGTCCGGCGAGTCGTCCAGCAGCGTGAACGTCACGCCGAAGATCATGGAGACGCCGGAGGACAAGGCGAAGAAAGAGTCGATCCTGAGACTGCTTGGACTGGAGTCGCTGGAGAAGGCGGCCGAGAGGCTGAGCCATCAGAAGGCTAGAAAGGAACAGTACACGGGCACGCTGAAGACGGTGATACGGGTCCAGAAGGAGAAGGACAAGGACAAGAGGCGGTCGAGGTCGCCGTTGAAGATGGTGCTGAAGCAAGGACGCGGCGATGGGGAGGGCGATTCACCCGAGTTCTACACCATTCAAAAGGAGGTAAGCACCGCGCAGAGTCGAGAGGATCACGCGCGATGAGAAAAAGATACGTTTTGTCAACCGTTGCGTTCTCTTTTTGTTTTCAGTTTGGAACCAGTGGTTTGGGAGATAGCAGCTCTGGTGCGAACCGAAAGTTCTCTACTAACCACAGACACTCTTGCGGTAATCCTGGTTGCGGGAATAACTACATTCTTAATTGTTCCCTCGTCCTTCTCTGCTTTATTAAAACGAGTACACGTTCTCATGCTCTCCATACAGTCTGACACCTCGGAATTGTGACGAGGATCGCTCTTAACCTTCTAACGTGTTAACACGTTCCGCGATGGACCCATTTTCGGTGAGAACAGGGATGGTATTCCGTCCCGAAACCGAAGTTTCTATGGGGTTTTAGGATTTGTTAGTTTTACGCTTATATTTTTTAAGTAAATTCCATGCCGTCGAGCGATCCTCGTTCACGGATCACCAGCCTTGCAAATCGTACTCACATCGGTTACATATATCTATAACAAAGCATGCTACATCGCGCTACCGCTTCAAGTGCTATATACAAACAAATCATTTCCTAACTTTCAAGTCACTTTTTGATCGAAGCTGGATCACGTCTCAAGAGATCTGATCGAATCGTCGTTCCTCCATATATTCGTTCAATCGTTGATCGTTTTGTCGCTACAGATGAGGATGTCGAGGACGTCACGCCGAAAGATCGCCAGTCTCTTGTTATTCCAGAGAAGTCATCCTCGTTCTCCATTCATCCAGGACGTTTGTGCGCGGACGTCTGTTGTTATTGCTTCGGGAAATTCGGCTCCTTGGACACGCCGATGCATCTGGCGCAGATGAAGTCCGACGAAAGACGCAAGAAGATCTTGAACATCGAAAGACACCTCACGAAGGACTCTTGTTTGTGCGATGCGTGCTACCGCCACGTGGACAGAAAGGTGGACAGAAATTCTTTTTTCCAGCAAATTAGTGCATGCTAAATCTTCAATTTTTTCTGTTTCAAAGAAGAGATCTTGTCCCGTTTCCTTCCCCGATTGATTTGAAATCATGATCTTGGTGTTCTTTACAGATGTTATGGGATACTCACGCTACAACAAATAATCGAGCGGTCTTCTTTTTTTTTTTTTTTTTTTGGATTCTTTTCTTTACGTTACTTATCTTACACTGATCGATATTAGACGTAGACTCTGTTTACAAACATTCTACTATGTAATAGTACACGAGAATGTCTCAACGAAAAGGAAGATATCATAACTTTTGCACTATTAGGCGTAGGACACAAGTATCCTGATACTTTTTCGTAGTTTGTTTAATAATAATAATATTCCTAGGCGAACACAAGTCCAACGAACATGCAGACAAAGCCTCCGAAACAACACCGGCAACTGATGGTGTCTAAATGCTCGGCACGCGATTGCAGAGACCCTGCGCGACATCATGTCAAACGTCGTTGGTTGCTCAAGATAAAAGCTGGTCTGCAGCAGGTGAATGTACGCTCAAAGGAAATAAAACTTTTAATCGTAAACACGCTGTGTATTATAATGAGCATTGTCTCTGGGTACAGGTGGACATCGATTGGGAGTCGAGTCAACACACGTCCATGTCATTCTGCGTCAGTCATTATTCGAAAATAGAACGATTTTTGACCTGCGCGCTCTGCAAACGTCGCCTGGCGAGGAACTATACTCATCAGCTGGCGAACGCGGAAACTGACGAGCTGAACCAGTTACTGGGGCAACAGGGGGTTCCTGTAGCGCTGGCTGCCGGTACCTTTGTCTGCAAGTTGTGTCGTTACTTCACGCAGTTGCAATTGAAATACAAAGATGTCGAGAACATGAACACGAGTCATCGATCCTTCTTCAAGAATTACCGGAAAAGGTACGATCTAGTTTGAAATTTAATCGAGAAAGTAGAGGCTTTGCTTTTTAAAATAAGCAAAGGCACGCGTCTGTACGATTTTTTTACAGTCCGAATGTCGACAATTTTTCATCCCAAAATCAATGATTAATTTTTGTGTTTAGTGTACATCCAACTAATAATTTACTTTCTTTAGAATTCTACACTATCACGATATCGAGGTTCTGGACAACGAGGATGGCGATACGTCGCAGAATCAGTCCAAGGATAAGGACAAACGCAAGAAAAGCAACAAGTGTACCGCCCAGCCGAAAGGTGGGACCACGTCCAAGTCTCCCGATGGCACGACGAACTCTGCTTCGGAGAAGTCGACGCCCGAACCGGCCAAGACCGAGGGTGCCAACTGCGAGACGGAGAACGAGCCACGTTCGGTGAAATCGAACTCGAACTCGACGGACGAACCCATCCCTACGGACGTGCAGTACCTCGGTATCGAGAGCACCGTGGAAAAGCTGAAGAAACGAAAGCTGCTCGAGATGCATCCATACGCTGGCTCGGATACGACGATAACCTGCGAGGGACCTAGCGAGGTGGTCGAGATACTCGCGATGGACAAGGAGGTGACCCTGACCAGACTGCCAAAGAGACCAAGGACCAATAACGACATAACGCCCGTGGTGCAACGACTCGGCGCCAATCCCTCGATAAGCGTGCGCACCCTGTTCCCCGGCGAGGAAGAGATGAACCTTCACGCCAGCATCGAATTCACAAACGTGCGCGAGATCACGCCGCAGGGTTGGGAGAAATGCGCGACGATGATACAGTACGACAGGGACACGAAGCACCTTTGGCAGGAGTTGCAAAGACCATACGGGAACCAGAGCTCGTTTCTCAGACACCTAATACTTTTAGAAAAATATTACAGGTCCGGTGACCTGATACTGGCGCCGAACGCCTCGCGAAACGCCATTAACTACTCGACGTCCGTGCAGAACAGATTGATATCGTACGAGGGCCCCGAGAAAATGGACGAGCCGATCATGGAGCCGATCTGCACCGAGTTCAACTCCCGTCGTATGAGCGGCGGCTACCTGCTCGAAAGGGACAGACTGTCCCTGCCTGGCACGAGCATGACGAAACCCGCGGCTACACCTGGCGCGCAACAGCCAGGCAAGGCCAGCCCGTCGCGTCTCCTGAAGCTCAATCCCGGCGTGTCGATCATCAAGAAACCACCGCCGAGCCTGCAACGATTAAACCTGCCGTCCACCAGCACCGCGACCGCGAACGGCAACGTAAAACGAAAGGACGTGCCGCGTGTTCCCGTTACCTCCGGAGGCAAGGTGTTCCAGCTTAGCGAGCCGGACTTCAAACGGCTGCAAACGCTGAAGAAACAGAAGCAGCTGCTGTCGGAGAAGCAGTCGAGCATGAGTCCCGGCGGCGGTGGCTCGGGTGGCACCAGCTCCTCGCCGCCCAATCCCAAGTCGACCACGCAGTACCAGAAGGCGCAGCAGCTGGCTGCTCATACGCAGTTCCAGAAGCACCTGAGGATGCAGCAGGAAATGCTGAACCGACAGAGTAGAGGGGACTTCGAGCCGTTGATCTGCGATGTCCGTATGTTGGCGAACGAGAACACACCGACGCAGAATCTGTTGCACAACCTGAATCTGCCCAAGTCGATACAAGTGACCACGAAGACGTCGGGTCAGATACCGATACTGCCGAAAATCCCGAAATCGTTGACGGTGATACCGCAGACCGTCACCAGACCCACCGACAAATGAAACGGACCGAGAACGAAAACGAAGGGACAGTAAGTAGTTAGACGTTACGATTCTTTTAGACGAGAGAAGAGTACACGGAATGTGGGAGGAGTGTGTTCATGGGACGATCGGCTCTCACGCGAGGCGAGGCACGAATTATTCCGATGCTCGTCTTCCAAACGCCGACTCGAGTGGACCGCTGATCAGAAAAACGTGACAATATCTGCCTTATCGATGCGCGCGTTGTTCGCGGGACAGCGTTCGAAACGGTACGACGAGGAGCGCGTGAACGCGCGTCTCCGGTCGCATATCGATCGTGATCAAACTGTGCGCACGCGCACACTATATAGATAGAAATATATAAGTAACTAAACTCAAACGGCTAGAGATACTTGGATACTAACGATTATACACTAACCAACCAAAGCATCAACGCGTGAGAAAGTAAATGAGACGTGAAACACGGCGAAGAAGCAAAAGAAAACCTATTTCCGACGGAAAAGTGCCTAAAAAAATGAGATATCGCGAGCGAAGTCGTTAGTTTTAATGACGAAGAATATAAATGTTGAACGGACTCGAAACACAGTATATATGTATACATAGATGAATATATATATATATATTAAAAAAATTGAAAAAGAAGGAAAACGAGAAACTAATGATCGGTCGTTGTGACGTGGACGATAAAGAGGAAAAAATCAGACGAAGGTGGAGGTTGGGAAAAAGAGACTGAACGAAAAGCTTGGAATTGTCAAGAGCAACGTTACCAGATCCATTTGTTCTCCGTTCGATGACAGTTTTGTGACGATTGCTCGACTCGGAAGAGCTCTCATCGTCAAGTTAGGATCAAACGAAATATTATATATATATATATACATATATATATATGTAATCCCACGAGTGACGAAGCTGATTTGCCTTACTGTTATCGGTACTCGGTTCACTGCTAGACATATCGTTGTTCTACGTTCTTCGAGAGATACGGGAGACGGGACAATCGTGCATGGCCGCTCGAAGAACGATCAAGTAATCGGTAGTTCGTTCCTTGTTCGCGTCCGAGGGGATAAGAGTCGAACATACCCGCGACACATGGCGTCGGTATATTCTGTTATATACAGGGTGCAGCGTCCAACTTGTGGCCTGTCAAAATGTTTCCATTGGTGGTACAAAGAAACGTCCATCGAAGGTATCGATATTACGTTAACCGTTTGAGTGCAAAGGGTAATTTCGAATTGTCCGTTTTATGTCGAAAACTATCAAATCAATGCATGAATTTAAATAATTTGTAACAAAAACTTCACTGTAAGTAGAGTCCAAGCAGCCCGTTGGTTGTGCTTATTGGTTTAATAAATCGACACTCCTCGACATGGAATGGCAGCTCGCGATCACACTGTTTGGTATTCAAATGATTAAACAAAATAATTTTTTCTTTTTAATTCAAATAGATTTTTAGATATCATGGAACCCAATTAAGAAAATATAGTTTTTAAACTATTTAAACGAAACGAGTACTTATCTGTGAATCAATTTTTTAACGAATAAAGTATTCAAAACATAACAATATACTCCATGAATGACGGTAAAACTATACATTTTTTTAAATACTTCCGTGAACAATAGCGATTTGAAGAACAGCGGCAGGAATGCCTAACTTTACTTTTATTTATTTCTAACTTATATATTATATTAGTCTAATACAATTTGCCTGAGAAATTAATAATTTATATAATGATCGATATCTTGATCGATGGCCTTAAAATTTCGTGAAATACGAGCTTCGATGGAAAGTTCCTTTCGAAACCATCCAATGGTCAACTTATCCTACACGGTCAAACATGCAATCACAAAGAAACAAACAAAAAAAAACCGATGATCTTGAAATTAGGAGAAATACGAGAGTGTCGACAATCGAAGGCTATAGAAGGATGGTTTATGCTTGGTTCGCGTGATTTTCGTATCCTTCTGCCGACGAAAGTGACGAAGATACGTCGGGTGATCCGGTCCAGACGAAATACCCTGTATATTCCGTTCGCCAGTAATATATTTTGTCTACCTGGAATCGTTTAAAATGGCGGTGGCGACACCCCTTAATCAATTGTACATTAGAAAATATATTTTGGCCTGCTCGCCAGAGGAGCGCATAATGACGACTTGTAATTAATTATAATAACGGGCGATTGTTATAAGCGGAATACAATAAGTGTTAATGTGTGAAATTGGTAAATACACTCTAGGTAGGTGTAGATCTACGCCTCGAGCTTATTTATTACGTTACTATACATCATTATATTGCATTGTACATAACTGATAATTACTATTTTTTAGTTAATAACCGATTATTATTATTATTATTATTATTATTATTATTATTATTATTATTTCATTACGAATTATGCAATTATAACATGCTACGACGAATTGAATCGTCGTGCGAAGAATTCCTTTATCAATCGTGTAACACGATCGCGAATAGAGGTTAGTTTCGCGGGTGGCAATAAGCCCGTGTTCTTTTTCTTCTATTTCTTCTTCTTCTTCTTCTTCTTCTTCTTTGTCTTGTGCACTGTCGCCACGTGAAAGTCGAAGAGTTTGCAATTCGTCGTACCTTTTGCTTGAAATGGGACTAAACTCCCCTCGTTCTCGTCCAGATGCGCGAGATTCAGCGTATTCCGTCGCCTCGTTAGAACGATTGCCTTAAAGAAAAGCTACATCGTAGCGTCGTTATCGATTGTACATAGTTCGAGAAACGATGAAACAAAAATGGAAAAAAAGGAAAAAAAGAAAACGAAGAAGGAGCAAGTGTGTTTGTTAGGCGAGGACAATTTGGTGATCGAGCAACGAAAAATAAAGACACGCGGGACGATTTGAACGTCCATATTCGAAGTAGGGATACCTTTACTTTTGAACTGATTAAAAATCGACATCAGTGGAAGCAAGGTTGCGATTTCGCGGCGTTTTCGACTTGAACCAGATTGGCTGTCTTTTTTATCGAACGTGTCCCCGTTAACTTTTATCATTGTATCGCCTTTGCACTAGTTACGCGTTCACGAATATTTTTTGTTCAAGCTCAGAGACGTTTTCCATTCGGAGGAAACCGTGAAACTGAATCGGTTCAAGAGGATTTCTATCCGGTTACTATGTATAACGAAACTTGTATACTGTCGGCTGTGGTTGAGCTAGAATGATACTGGTTCGGACGATCGAGGTTAGTTTTTGTTGCACGGACGAGCGAATGGCTTTCGAGGCTGGGTAAAAAATTTTAATTGCTCGGTTGTATTCCTGGTGTATTTGTTCGTCTCATTTTGTTGGATCGTTTGTCGACGGATTCGTAAAAATTTAGAAATCGTTGACCAAAGATTTCTATTGTTCTGTTTCTTCGGTCTGATATCGACGCTAAATTTCATTGGTCGTTTTTCTTCGTAATCATTTCGACATGCCATGTATTTTTCTACGCATTTAGAACGATAGAAGTTTTATGAGGCTCTTATGGTATCCGGACTTCTTGCGCTTGAAACTGTTGTAAGGCTTTCTGGTGTAAACTGTACAAATTAGGAAAATGATCTGAAACATTTTGACACGCATGACAGATGGTTTAACACACTGATACTATAGTATACCGTAGGGTAGTCTTAAAAATTCGTTGATACAGATGACTAAGGTGTACTATAATATTAGAACATTTAGATTACTAAAGATACAGAGAAAATATCATGGTATATAGTATTGTAATCTTCAAACCATTGCTGATGCAGTAGCATTTTAGTACTGAGTTTTGCAACATTCGCAGTCCTAGTGGACAAATGGTACTTTATATTGTAGTTTGGTATTCTAACACCTGGTAATAAGTTATACTATGATATACTGCGGCATTACAATATTTAGATCCCTGGTAAAATAGAGTAATATCAAAGTATACAATAGTGTACCTCAATCTTCAAAAAAGAAAGACATTTACAGATACAATAGCATAATTCTCACTTTCCTGGTGATGCAATGACACTAAAGTATATTACAATATTATAGTCTTCGTAACCCTGTTAATACTGAACAATACTATAGTATTTAGCAGTGGTTCTGTAATTGTTGGACTACTGCTGATGCAACTGTGTTATGGTTCATAGTAGCGTAATTCTCAAACTCTTGATAAGTCTGTAACACTATAATATACAATAGTACAGTCCTAAAATTTGTGATGGTGCAGTGACACTGAGATGTGATTCAGTGATACTTTAATTTGTCATAGTACAATTTTGCTGTTCAAAGAGTGACATTGAGGTATACTAAAGTGTTACAGTCATCGATTCCCTGTTGGCACAGATTAATATAGTAGCATATATTTTATGTAATCTTTGGATCATTGTTGACGCAATTATGTAATTCTGAGACTCTAGTGACTTCTCACTGCATTCTAATATTACTAGTGTACTCTGATACAGTTCCCCAGAAGCCACCAACGATTTTAAGCGACAAGATTGTACGTTCGTAGCAAGTAAAAAGTGTTTTGCTGAATCGTTGAACAATCTTTTGTCCGCACGAATAATATTGATATTTAAGCACAATTCCCGCCGGCGGAAAGGAAGAGCGAGAGAGAGAGAAAGAGAGAGAGAGATAGAGACGGAACGTTTCGAAAGTCGAGAAACAGCAAATGAGAAACGAACAGCGTGAATGGAGGTTGCAACACAGAAAATGAACCCGGGAACCCGACTTGCGCGTAGCTTAATTTTGAGGGGGAAAAACCGTTCACGTGGCGACACGTAGAAACAAACGTAAATAAAAATGTACACACCGGGCACACGTGGACGTATAAAAATGTTGCGTGGCCGTGACCAACGTGGATCGCGTGCAAACGATAGTAAAGAATATCGACGTGGATATTATATGTATATTGAAAAAAAAAAATATATATATATACATATATATATAAAATACTAAACGTTATTAATAAATATATATATATATATATATATAAAGAGAAAGAGCGGATATGATGAGAAAGGTACTCGACGAGTACGCTATACATATTAAATGATCTATTTTATTAAGGATATTTTTGATATATCTATCTATATATATATATATATACAGCTATATATATATATATATATATATAAATAAAAGTATAAATATATGTATATCGAAACTAAAGAAGAAACGGAATCACCGATCGAATAGATATTGACGTTCAATGTAATTATTGTTATGGACGGACAGTGGGTAGCGTCTAAAATCGCGATGCTATTTACTGAGCTGTGTGCAGTGCATGTTGAACCGTATTTTTCTATCGAAACTAATAACGTAAACTTTTACAGTAACGTTGTTGACAGTTCTATACACAGATTTTTTTGTTTTTTAAATTTGATTAAATTTTTTTTGGACTTTTTTTTTTCTTTTTTTTTTTTAGAGTTCTTTTTCTGTTCGAGAACGATCGTATTACGAACGGTGGTGTACGTTGAAAGTGCGTGTACAGAACAGCGATTCCGTTCGATTGGATTTCTCGTCTGTCGAGGATCGCCCCTCCTTTATTTATTATTATTATTATTATATCCATATGAAAATTTCAATCCTCTTTCAGTTTGTTAATATTTCTTTTTTTTCTCTTCTCGAAACGAAAGGACATGCGAGGACAAGGACACAGTTTTTATAAACCGTTGTTGTAGAATAATTGTTACAAATCTTTCTTTGTTACGTGTGTGACTCTTGTGGACAACGGTGTATCGAGATAAATACGGTAGTTTCCTCGTTCGAGCGCGTAGATTCTTCGCCGAGACTCGTGGGATCTTTCAATTGTGTTTATCTTTCGTTTCTTTTCCTACCCCGTTCACAATTTTTTTTTTTTTTGCTCTTTTATTTTTGCCCTTTAACGTAACAACTAAACATTTAACCGATGCGTATTCGATTATTGTAAGATTCTGTGTATCGATTACAGTTTTGCGTTAAAATATACATTTTTCGCCCCCCCCAGAAATTGGACTCGTCGAATCATTTTTTTTTTTTCTTTTTCGTTTAGAAACTCAATCGCTTCGATCACAAGGCTAATGAATTGTTAAAATTGTAAAGATATTTATCGAAACGATGGGAATCGAGTGGTCGTTGGACGACGGAAACGTGCAAAAAATTTTTACCGAAATACAAACATCGAACAACAAATAAAATACGATATACAAACTTTTTACCCGTTGCTCGTTTAACGAAAATTAGAATTCGAATCATAGAATAAAATTATATTTCTCGTCGAGTCTAACGATTCATCGCGATCAAATCACTGTACTGTGTTCTTATTCGTCACCCGTTATTTGTATACAATTTTGCTCGGTTCTTTTGTGAAAAGGGTCTTAGCGATTTTGGTATTATATCGATTTCAGTACGCGAGGCTCTATTTAAAACAAATGTTGAAAATTTTCACGAAACAGCATCTCAATATTTCGGTTTCTATACGAGTTATGACAATACGATCGATATAATACCGGTACAAGTCCCTGCGAGAATCGTTTAAACGTTGACGTAATTTTTCAAATTATAACCTAACGAAATTAAACGAACGTTTGAACGTAATAAATGTTTTGCGAAACGCCAACTGCTGCATACTACTCGACAAATGGTCGCTCGCGTGTGTGCGTAATGGATCTTCGTGCACGAAGGAAGTGAGAAAATAGAGGACAAAGAGTGGGGGAACGCACGCGAGACGAAGAGAGAGAGAGAGAGAGTGAGTGAACTGAGTTTAAGTTTTAAGAATTCTATTTTTGTGATCAAAAGAAAAAAAAACACGTGTAATTATTGTAGTCAAATGGGGAGCAGGAATCGTCGAATGATTTCTTTTGGACCGAACGAACACGCGTACTGACGAATTTTTTCTTATTCGAATCCTCGATGGTTAAAAATAGTCGTGACTAACGGGTTCGATTCTGATCTCTGTTCTAACCTCCCGTTGCCAGAAATCGGCAAAATTTTATTCGATCGAATAAATTACGTCTCCGTTTGCTCGTCGAGACATACTTCAGTCTGATATTTCAATAAATATTTCAATTCCAATTGAGCAACGGACAAACGGCTCTTCATTTCATATTCGTTGTTAGAATGTTCGAAAATATAGTATCGAATGGATTTTTTGAATCGTTATCCAGGCGAACGAAGACGCCAATTTACGAATAAATCTAAAAATTTTATTCGTTATTCACGAGTAAAGTTTGCCCGACTTTGTCTATGTGGTGTGAATACGCTAGTAGTAAATCCATACGATCACAAATGGCCGGAGAACCGTTAGCGGCTCCAAGAATAAGTATGTCTGAAACGTACAGTGGTGTTTCTACTGACAGTAGTCGTAACTACATATGCCTCTGGCGGGGCTCGCGAGAAACAGAATCGAGGCCTGGAGATCGAACGAGCGATTAATAAATTCGATCGTTGTCCCAGACATTTCTATGTAAATATCAACGGATCGTTCGATTAATTTGCAGATAATATTCTGCCCCTGCCTTAAAGGCCGTTCATTCAGCTAATGTACCGGGTGTTTCGTATTATGGTTAAACTGCTGATTTCTTAAAATTACAATTCGAATAAAATAACTTTCCAAGTAGAAAGCAAAATTTCACTTTAAAGTTCTATCATAAATATAGGCAGTGTTAGGCGTAAACACAGTAATTACAATATTACTTAAATATTTTTTTAAGGAAGAGCTTCTTGAAGAATTCCATACAACTATCGGGATGGTACATATCATAAAAATATGGGAAACATACTTTCCACATCGCCTGTATTTATAATAAAACTTTAAAGTAAAATTTCTCAAGAACAAAACGCCCACATTGACGAATGGTATGAAATTCTTATCGCGCTATGTGTCCTAACCTAAAAACGATTTGTTAGCTCGTCTGTGTTACTACTATCTCGATCGAAATTAGGTTATGAAACGGATAATTCCGCGCGCGAGCCTTATTGATATCACGACGTTGACAATATCGTTCCTCGATTGAAAATTCAAGGACGAAGTAAAAAGAAATCATTCGATGTTGCCTGCTGCGAAGAAATATTTTTTAAGCTGGACGACGATGGGCGAGCGTGTAAACAGGTCGAGAAGCGACCAACAGCTGATCGACCGATCGGTTTCACTTAGGGAAAAATATTTTATTACGCGGATCGAGAGCCGAGAGGTCGCTGTTAGCAATGAGAACTGAAAACAAAGAAGCAATAATAACGGGAGGAACGAAAGAAACTATCGCGCGTTAGATTTTAGGTACCGTGAAGTGTTATGAGTTTCCTTTGGTTTTCGAGCGGTGCGTTAGGCACAGACTCCGCGAACAACATCGCTGCTGTTTCTCGACTAACTTCAGAAAACTTCGTACTCGCGGAATCGATCGATACTCGTACGGATGTCTCTGTTGTGCACGAGTCGCAACCCGTTCTGTAACCTTTCTTCAAGGATGTGTTTTTAATAGTCCATCAAAATTCACTGCGTTCGGTCGAGTATCCATACCCGACGAACGTTCGAGATTCGATCGTACCGAACGAGAATAATCGTCGTCGTCTGGAGAACGTTAAATCGTTTCGGATGTTTTCATGATCGCGAATTCAACAAAATAACGAGTGTTCTCGTCGGATGCCTACTTGTGTTCGCCATCGACGAAGGGAAAGAAACACACGTGTTCACATTTTTTACCCGATTTTGTATCTCCGTGAGACCAGTAATCGCACCATACGATCATCCTAGTCCTCTGCTCGTTGTACGATGAACAATTGCTGAGAGTCGCGACTCTTTAAACGCACAAATTTACAGGCTAGACGGAAACGGACGCGAGCTGTAAAAACGATAGAAATTTTTCACTTTTTAATACTTGCATCACACCCGTTGTGTGCCGTAAAACGGGAAATGTACGCGTCTCTCGATTCGCGATTCATGGAAATGTACGATCACGATCTCTTAAACAAAAAAGGTAAACTCGGTTTTACTTATTTCTTTAAATATCGACTTCGATCTTGAACATAACTTTTTCTTCCCTCGAGAATTTAACATTACGAAGCAATGTCGATGCAGCGTGAAGGCAATTAAAAAAAAAGAAAAAAATATAAACAAATGACAAAGAGACGCTTTTGGCGTACGCAGTGACAAACTCCTTTTTGGAAATTCGGCACACATCGTTACGAATATTATGTTATTTAAATAAATATTAACACACGTTAATACCATTATAATAACCTTTGTTTATTTGGTTTTAATGTAATAGTTATTATTAGTTCGCCATCCTTTGTATATATTCGCAACACTCAATAAAAAAAAGTACCAAAAATTTGTATTTCCCTCGTCTCGTTATTGAGGTAATCCCGTGCAACGTGAGGAGATATAAGAGAGGATCGAGCCAACGCAAAGATTATATTTTTGCAGTTTATTTGCAATTTGTTCGTATAATTGGTAACTGATCTCGGATAACTATGTACTAAAAACCTAAACAACGTACGAAACTTTATACATAGCTGATTACTTTAAGGGTGCTAAGGCAGCTATTTACAGTGTGACGCGTTGAACCAACGAGATCGAGTCAACACATTCCAACGAGAACAACGTAATCGTTCCCGACTGTATCGGTCTTGACTTTCTCCCGAAATGCGGTTCAAGCGATCGAAAGGAAGATTGGATTTCTTTGCATCATTTCCACGCTTTTGATCAACGAATAATCGTTTCACTGTTTTCGTTTCTATTATTTCCTTCGACCGGTTTACAAGTTTGTATAAACGTTTACGATGATTCGATTATCAATGATTATGCAACACATAGATGCGCGTTAACCCTTCGGGCGCTACAGTCACGCGACGAATCGTACAGAGGGCGCTTCGTTCCGTCGTTCGGAATCACTCCCGGGCGTCGAAAGGATTAACGCGCGTTATTATCCTGTGTAAAAAAAAAGAATTTGGCGGAGGGTTGGGAGTATCGATCCTGCAAAACGTACAAAAAAAACCGTTCCGTTTGAATGAAACGTAGAAAAAGTAGGGCCACGGCGAGCCGCGTCGCCCGCGAAAGACAAATACGTCGTCGAATATCCAATTCCTTTTTAGCACTTTTGTGAACGGGTGGGGTGGGGGGTGGGGGGAGATAAGTTAGGGGAAAAGGATAGCGCGGCACTCTTGCGAACGGATCAACGCAAAGTGACCGTGTGGTCCGCGAATTCGACGTCGAGCATTTTTCACGTAACTGTATAACAACGTTGATTCATGCTTGGCGTTGATTCACGGCTTCTACCAAGGGATTGAAAACTGTTACAATATCGATTTCGGTTCTCGAAACGGTTACGAAGAATTGAAATTAGCGTTGTAACTGTTGTAAGAACAGTTCTGATGTAACGTCGATTTAGGTTATGGTTTGAGTTACAGTTATTCAACTTCAGTTTCCAATTGCACGTTGAAGCTCCTTTTCTCTCGTGGACAATTTTCTTTCTTAATCGTTAGAATAATATTTTGCATCTATTTAATCTCTTGGTAGGAAAAACATTGTTGCTTTTAAGTAGAAACGATAATATTACATTAGAATCGTTTTCTCAATAACAGTTATAATAACATTCTTTGTAACCATTCCGATATGAGCCAATAGATAACAGTTCGAAGTAGTTATTTTCAGAACGTTGTCAATCCCCGCATCTACCACGCGTCCCCAACAGGGAAACTGAAAGGACAAAAGTATTGCACCGTACAGTGTCTGCTGAATCCATGCTAAAGATACACCTTATTACCGCTCGAACATCATCTATATGTATCTTTTTAAACAATACATTATATACAAGAACATTTTCGAATACAAATCATATGCACAATTGCGTTTTTATCGTAACAAAAGATTTTACAAAAAAAATTCACCGCGAACGTTGTTCGCCGCGAAACGAGAAGTCAACGAAATATCCCCACGCACGGTCGAAACGGTAAAACATTTACGACGATTCGAAATATAAAACTGAGAATACTTTCGTGAACGGAAATACTAAGCAGCGGAAGCGACCGACTGGCAAACAATTGTTTAGTCAGTCGATTTCGCTCTGAAAAATCGCGTTCTCGAACGTGATATGATTCACGGAAGTCGTGTCACGATCGGCCAGAAACTATTCGTTAATTATAGTCGGATCGAAAGTAATTGGCAACTCGGAAGTCGCTTCGGTGGTTACGATTTTCAGTTCGAGCCTTTGTTAAAAAATCTCAAAGGCGTTTGTTATCGATGCATTTAACTCGAAAGTTAATAAAGTGGCTTTCAGCGACCAATTTGTGTTTGATTATTATCCGACTATAATACGGAAACTTGTACAACGGCAATTTTTCACAAGACTTTACATCGATTAGTAATTTGTCGCTCGTCTTGAAATAATAACAAGAGAAACCATACGAACAACAACTCCTCGCTATTGGCGGAACGAAGGAGGAACGCGAAACGTAACATTACCGAACAGAAATCGAAGAACGTGCACAACAATTAAGGCCCATCGTGGCATTATCGCGCGGCACAGTGAATCCATTCGATTTCATCGCACACCACCAACATTTACATCGATTCACGGCGCTACTCTGAAGGCATTTATACAGGCGTACGTTGCATTCAGTGTTTATCCGTTCTCCATTCGCTTTATTTTGCGTTCAACGATCGAAGGATTTACTGCAAGAAAGAGGCAGCTCCACTTATTAGACATTTTTCTTCTACGCGTCTTATATTTTATCAACAAAAAATGTAATCTTTCGTTCGATATGAACAGAGGTTAGCTCCGAGCAATAAATATGGCTGTTTTTTTAGAAATATTTAATTACGGAAAACAGATTGTTAGGTTATGAAACTCGTTTGGTTCCGAAAGGCACGATTCGATGCAACGAGAATTGCAACTTTACGAGTACCAATAAAAAATCGTTAAATATTAAAAAGGAACCATCGATTGCAACGACCAATCTTCAGCCAGCTTACAAGAGTCGATTGCCACTAAAAATTGCAAAATATAGAGACTCGTTAAACCATGCAAGTAAAGAACTGGTTTTAAAATCAACTAAAATCGGAATTCTCGTGAAGATAATTTCATAAACTCGTATTTGATCGTACGTAATGATCGGAATAAAATTTTCTCTTATTTTAAATCATTTTAGCGAATGTTTTCTACCTTTTTCCTATCTCGATGGAAAATGCGAGCTTAAATTGTATTTAAATTGTATTCGTTAGAAAAATAAAAGGTGTATAGGTTTCAAACTCGGTGTAAAAGTTTCTCAAAGCAACTATTAGCCGACGGTACATGATTTTTGATTGGTTTTCTAAAATTACTCGACAGTGGAGCTGCCCGATCCTGTTTTGTCGCAACAGACCCCCCGATTTGCTTTCGTACATCACCGTGAAATTTCTACTACAAAATTCATCTAATGTTATCGTTAACGTGCTCTTACAAACGTACTCGAATATATACAAATTACATATACGTATGCATAGTTCAGGATATTCTGGTACCGATATTCGCACGTACAACGCTCGGTACCAAACATTTGGTATCCGGTGCCTGTACGCGAACGACGAAAAAACATTTCGTCGAATTCTAGAGAAGTCTGTGCCCGCTGGATCCGTGTAAAAAGTCCCATCATTTTTCTATCCCGTATCCCCCCAAAATAGCGATAGAAAGATCGATTCGCAGCCGCCATATCCCCGGAGTGTTTCGAGGTTATGGCCGATCCCAGAGGGCGCTTCTCGTTCGAATCCTCGGTACCGTACACGTCTAACGATCGAGAGACAGTCACCACCCTCCGAGTCCAGGTTCATCCTCGGCGTGGTTCCTCGCGCGTGCCGCGAAACCCTTTACCCGCGTGGTCGCCTCGTCGTGCTCGTGGTTCTCCGTCGGGCCGGACAGGACGACAGGAGGGTGGTGTTCGAGGCACGAGGCTGCCTTCTAGGTCTCCAGACCGGGCACTAGGCTGTGGAAGGTCTGGATGTCGTGGAAGGCACGACCGCAGCTCTGGTTATTGTTTCTCTCGAATTTGGCTAGGTCGAAATGCTCGTCCAACGACTGCAGCTCGACCAAACGTTCCTCCAGGCTTTTCGCCGAGTCCGCGAACCTGAAGTCGCAGATCCTGTCGGGGTCGACCACGTCGGAGGTCTCCATCATACCGACGTCGCTGGATCTCGTCACGCTGGTCAGCTGAGCGCCGGTGTCGTCCAACTCGCCGGGGAACATCACCGAGTTGCAACAACTGCTCGCGGACGTGGTGGTACTGCTGCTGTTCGTCGTGTTCGCGGTGCTCGTGTTCACGATCGTCGTTCCCGATCGTACGTCCACGGAACTCAGACGATCCTCCGGGTAGACCAAGTGATGGTGATGCGGCGACTCCGGCTCCTGGACCTCGTCTATGTGAGAGAGTAGACGCGGCGTGGGCGGCAGGATGTAGAAGTCGCTGAACACGTCGTCCTGGAGGTCGAGGTCGTCGTGCCTTTGTCGCTTGGGACTGATTCCGTCGTTCCTCGTGTCATCGCTCAATCTGCGGAACGAAATCATACTCATCGGTAAGACGGAACTTTCTGTCGGTTTTTTACGAACATAACCTAACAATCCGATAATTCCGAAAATTCGTAACGTAAATTAGTTTTTTTTCAAAGATAACATCCGACGTAAAGCTATTATTCTCTAATAAAAATTTTATCGTGCAAGGTGAATTTGATTCGGAGAAAAACGAACTGATCTGCAAAAGGGTTAATTTTAAATGCAAAACCTGCAACAAGTCTATTTTATTCTCAAAGCATATAATTTGAATTGGAGAGATTCTGTTGCATAAGTATGTATTCAGGGGATAGCCTTTCGCTATAAACGGTTCTACCGTGGTCACGGGGTCTCGTTTAGATCTGCTTTATCGTCCCGCGGAACAAATTACAGATACACCTTACCGACGCATCTACGACGGCGGATCTATCAAACGTAACGCGATTTCTTTTCCTTCCACGCGACGCCGACAGAGGGCAAACGGCGACTGCGGTCATATCGTCGTCCTAAAATGCACACTGGAGCAGAAAACTTGCTCTTGTCTTCCAACTTCGGGCCCGCTAGGTACGCCCGGTACGAGTCTACGGTCCCGAACGCATTGCGCAACGATCTTGCGCGATTCGCTGTCGCTTGCGTAATTTATATTATGTAAAACAAATCTCTAGCTGGTACGATTAAGATCTCGCACTCTTCTTCCGTTACTGCGTAAACTCGAACCAACCTAACCTCTCTATTGCCCTTTCGAACGCGGCACCGGCCCCTCCGACTTTAACCCTATCGCTATAAACTCTGCGGTTTAATTTAGCTCCCGTTACAACGCGGGTCACCAAAGAAATCGCGGACATATATTTATTTAAAACTAGTTTTCCTATTATTCGTGAACTTTGTAATAAAATTTAATGCTAGATTCACGGAAAGATAACTATTATTTGTTAGCAATCCAACACGACGAGTATCGATAAAAATATGTACAATCAATGCCCGTAAACCTAGCGTTAATACGATCGTTGTTTCAAGAACAAACAACACGATCACATACCTCTTTCTCGAGGACGCTTCGTCGTCTGTCACGCCGACGATAAGGTTGCCAGAGACGTTATTCTCTTTGGTGGAGTCATTCAGATACGTGACCACCGGGAGACCGTAGTTCCTCGTCTTTTCGTCCCGATTTTCGCGCTGAAGTCGTCTAACAGCGTTGTTTATGAGAACCGATCTGCAAAGGCTGGCCTCGGGATCCTCGATCCTCCTCAGCTTGCCGGCCGAGATCTTCAGCAGACGACGGCGTTCTTCCCTAGCACGATACTTGGCGGAAATCATCGTGGGTCGGCTCCTACGTATCACTAGATCCTCCTCCAATCTCATCTTAGCGTCTAAAAACAGACAAAGAAAGAGAACCGTTTAATTGGGTCGCAAATTGCAAACAATTTTTCACGATTTTTACGGCCATCCAACAAGAAACAGTTTTGGAGAAAAATTACGTTTGGACAGCGGATAATAAAAATAATAATATTATTAAAAACCTGCTTCTATAGCGAAATCAAGGTTATCTTGTGTTTTCTAACAGGACCACATATTTTTGTTTCTTATCGACGACGAGATTTTCGAAAAGATATAAAATGATTGTGGAAATGGAAACATTTAGCTTTGAGATAGAGGTTTAAGTGACCTTGAAATGGTAGATATCAGTCCTATTCGCAACCGTAAATTTATGTTTACAAATATCAAGGTTATCTTGCGATTTATTACCACTGAGTTGCAGCCAGTATTTTGTCTTTTCGATCGTTAACAAAACGAAGAGAGAAAAAAAAATGCTCGCCTAACGGTATTACCGGGAAAGAACGCGCGCACGACTACAGAGGGCAGGGCAGGGCAGGGCAGGCTAGTGGCACGTAAGTACGTATTTACGTGTTGCGTACAGCGCTGATAATTGGGACAGTTTCTCGTATTCTTTTCCACTATTGTCGCCACTGACCCAAATACTATGTAACTTCCGTCGTTCCTGCGCCGCCACGAGCCAGCCGTGTTCTGGCATAAAATCTTCGATCGAGAAATAGAGTCGAGGAGAGACAGAAGAACGGAAGGTTTCGCATTTAAAACGAACCACATTACGATTCTACAACGCGTTCAGAAAGTTCTCGTATTACCAACACCGAGCGTTCCCCAGCGAACACTCCGAGGCAGGGTTGCCAATTTGATTATTTTAACGTTAAATTTTAGTAATCTAGATTTTTTTTGTAATTGAACTGGTGTTGGGAAAATTTATTTACTTCTTTCTGACTATTTTTTTTTTTTATATTGTTTCGCTTAAAACTACAGTATTAAATTGGCAAATCAAAATTTGGATTCCAGTATCGTATCTCAGTCGGTGTGTTAACGTTTGTAATTTATATCTATTTTGCAATAAAACGGAAGACGTTGGCGGACGAAATTTAACTGTGGAAAGGGATTTGCGAGAAAGGTTGAGGATCACTGCATCCGGCCATCGATCCTACTCCTGTTTCTAGTTTCCTGATATTCGACTTATTTACGAAGCGATTTAAAGTTATATTAAATACTTTATAATCGTGCCAATTGCTGCAAAACGCGATACGTTTGTTGAGCCACGTTTGCCGATTTTGCGCCTGATTGTACAAGAGTAATGCAATTAAGAAAATACTTTTTTTTTTACGAGGTTATAAGCGTGTCACGTTCGCGATCGATTTTCTGTTCGTACGAATTTCGAGAATAACGGTATGCAACGAGTAAAATGATTCTAATTCGTGCAAAGATTTTTAAACAACACCTCCATATCGCTTTACCGATCAACAAGAAAGAAATATTAACGGTTTCGTAATCCTACCGGCTGTAATCGGAGAGTAGTCAGAAAGAAGATAACGATTCACTACCGACATCTATGGTCAGCACAATTCGGTTGCGAATTTCTTGTCGGTGACGATGCCTCTGGCACAGACGAGATATATGAATAGACCTTTCACCTTATGGACTTTCGCGGCCGAATCTGACTGCCATACCGACCTGAAAATTTTAGCGGCCTCTTCTCATGGATGGCGGTTAGTTAAGAAACTAGGCACTGAATTAGTATTAATGGGCAGCCAGCTGAATGTGTGCGTAAATACATGTGAGTTGACTATGGGGAGAATTGAAAAAGACAGTGCAGTATTATCAGATGGCAAACCCGTGCCTAAAGGGAGCTGCCCCTCCACTTACACACACTAATGCCAACCTCCTTGTATATGAGTTCTGGCGTTTCGTATCTCTTCGAGGATTCGAGAAAGGCGGCGAATGTCAGTCTATCCTTCTTGCTCTTAACACAGCCGAAATTCGATCTCGCATAATCTTGAGCCGAGATTCTCGACTGCCCAGGTATTTTTGACTTTCCGACCTATGTAGGCGTATACAATGTATAAGCAAAATACCATAATGAAACAAAAATTTTGTTTACGGAAATACACGTTTTAGGACCCCTTGATCATATTTTAACTATTAAAAAAAAGACATTTTTTTACTATGCTTATGAACGTGCGTTCATATATTTATACTATTAATACTATTGGGTCTAAACAACCGAATAAATTTCACTGTAATTTTTAATTTTTAAATCTGAAAATATTTGAGAATACTGTCCTATTTGTCCTCTTTGTTTAGCAATTTAAAAAAACGCTGACTCATTAAAATCAATCATATGAAAATGAATGGAAGTTGACACCGCCCCTACTGAAAATAAAGGACTGGACAATTTTTGTTCTTTCAATGAAAGAAACTCTTTTACTTAATCTTTTTCGAAAGCGAAGGCAAAAAAGTCGATTTCGCCACGGCAACAATGGTTGGACGCGACGCGTGGACATTCCCCCGAAATAGGGGATCGGCTTTTGTTTTCCAGAAACGCTAGCGGCAATGTATTTTCCAAGAGAGTCGAATGTAAGGACCACTGAAGGACGCTCAGTCTACGATACATTTATGACAGAGTTTTGGGGGGCATGTGGCTTAAAGAGCGAATGAGACTAAACAGGCCTGGCAACGGGTGACGCGATAGCGGACGACCGCGTTGGGTCTCCAGGTAGCGCGTGTCGAGGCATTGATTGTTTATGAATAGAGAGAGAGTAGTTAAAAGAGGCAGACGACCTGACGTCGTACTGCTGGACAAAATGAAGACTTTGTCCTGAAGGATCTGGCCACGGAGTGGGGAAGGCGTGGGACCTTCCGGTAAGAGCACTGTGAGGAACGGCACAGGACTTACCCCAGAACCGTCAAAGGCAAAATTTCTAACATACAGGCATGTCTCTATAAATTTCAAATCCATTAATCAATATGAATTTGTGATATCATGTCAGCCAATTTCGAAAATATGGTTTCGAGAAAAACTCATTTAAAATTTCTGGTATGATTATTAACCGTTGGGTACTCTTCCCTCTAAATGGCTATAACTTTGTTATTTTTACGAATTTTAATGAGTCTATGTTTATTATAATTGCTAAATGAAGAGGACGAGTTCCGAGTCAAAGATCAGTTGCGGGGTTTTAAAAAAGGACAGATTTGCAGTTTTGTTCTCATTAATGTTTGCAGCGTGTTTGCGAGGGATGTGTCCAATATATACATATGTATATAATCAATTCATTTTCCTTCAATAATTCTCCATTGCAAAAATTCTACAGTATTCTTACATTTTTTTATATTTTAAAATTTTCCCATGTTATTAGAAAGTAGATATACGACGAAAGTTATACAACTTATAGTTCCTAGCATGTATAACATGTATATGTATATAACGCATGGTCGCTTCGTATGGAAAGTCAATGAATCTTCAAAAAGCGCCCAGGTCCGATTTCGAGAAATGTAAGGTCTGTCAGTCACGATGGCTTTTGTCGTTTACTGACGATTCGAACGGGTGGCGATGCCAGCAGGCTTGCTTTCGAGAAATGTAAGCGACGTCAGCGATGCAAGAGCGAGAAGGAAAGCGAGTATCAGCCTGTTCTTCTCGGCTCTTCCGAAACTCAACGAGCTCACGTACACGCAATTGGGCATAGTGTGCGAAAGTGAGGAATGAGAAGTTTCCGGGGGCCCGATGCACAGTCTGATTAAACTGATTTCGAGTCGCAAATACGTTTCTGCCGAGTTATTTTTTTAATAAATGATGTATTACAATTTAAAATAAAAAATAGAGAATTTGCGGTGTACGTATCAATGAAATACATCCTTAGGAATTTTAATAATCTTGAAATTTTTAAATACTCTTAATCGATTGATTTCTCCAATGAAATTAATCGATTAATGTCCAATGATAGACCCTACAGCTTTAATTCCGTTAAAAAATAATAAAATTTATGTAATTTTATTTTCTGTCTCACTTCCTCTTGTGTTAATTTCTGAATCTGTTGATAACGTTGCGAGTGACACGAAAATGGTAATGGGGTCCCGGGACCCCAGAAACTCCGGCCGAAAAATTACATTACGTGAAAGGTCTATTCATATACCTCGTCTGTGCCTCTGGCATACAACTGTAGAATTGCGTTACTGTCATTAAAACAGTGTAATATTCATAAAAAAATTAGTTAAAATAAAAAAAAAATAAATTAGTTACCATTTAAATAATAAAAAATTTATAATTTTGTGTTTGTAAAATTAATTTTATTTAAAAAAAATTAGTCTCCCTGAAGAACAGGGCCCGAGGTTGTAGACCCCCTAACCTCCTCCTTAATCCGTGCCTAGATTATGAGACCGTGTTATGTACTATTTATACACTTTTTATACGTATGTGGGAGCAACGGGATATTCGAACACGACGAATTTCCTGGCGTTTCTGCTCCGCGAGACTTCGAAAATAATGCTGAATTTACATAAGAATCTGCTACCGTTTCAATTACTCGCAACGCGAACCGTACAAACGTATGCGCCTGAAACACAATTCGTTTCATAACCTATAAACCTTAAAAGCAACTGCGTCACGATATTCGAAAACAGATCTTCGTAATAGGAGGTAAAAGTAAGAAATATTTAATAGGAATCGTTTTACAAAATATAACGGGCATCCCTCTCGAAAGCGGATGGGACCCCGTGATCAATCGAGCCACTTTCCGGTGTGGTTATGTGCAGCACGTCGGAAGCAACACCACGGAAAAGGATCCTGCGTATCGTGACGACACACAGCGGGGTTGTTATTCTTTTATTTTACATAGTTTATGTAAAAGTAACAAATATATACATACGATTTAAAAAATTATGTTCTATCGAAATCTTATTAAAAGTAAGAACGTTACAATATCGATCACAGTAATTAATTCCATTCTTCTTCCCCATATTCTCCTAACCTCTTTCCGCTTTTTAGGTACAAATATCCCACTGTGAGACATTTACCTTATAGGACTTTTTTTTCTCTGCGTTCATTCCGTCATTTTATGTTTACGTGTTGCATGAAATATCGTAAAGTTCGTGAAATGCCCTTGGTCATGGTTTTTTTTTCTTTCACTGGCAATTGCATTGTGCTGCGTAACGGCTGTGTGGATTGTGTTATACAAGGACGATTATGGAAAATTGCATCGAATTATGCTGTCCACTGAAATAGTAAACCAAGAGAAGCATACAAAAAAATAAGTAAACTGACACCGTCATTAAAAAGGAAAATGAAAATAATTATCTCGAATGTACGTACAGTGAAAACTCGATAAATGTCCTCAAGAGCTGTTCCATAAATGATACATTTTTATCCCCACCACTAGGGGGATCCCCCTTGAACCAGTGAGGCGAAGTGTAACCGGAGACGTAGCGGCTTTCTTTAAAAATCTTTATTGCCTTCGTCATCTTAGTTTAAATGTCCCTGTCAGTGTGACCACACTACTGTACAAGAAGAAAGTTTTTTATTTTTTACTTTTTTTTAATAAAAATTTTACTATCATGTGGGGAAGATTTTTCTAATTAAAATGTGACTAAACACGATATAAATCGGCCAATATTTGTTACAATAATATTGAATTAAATATTGTGTACTCGTATCTTCGCAAGGTCAGTGGATAGTACATTTATCGAACAGAGGTAGCTAACGAAACCCCCTATTTCATATGTGTTGCAGTTTTTGATCACTTACGAAACGGTGGAACTGTTCCGTTTGAAAATAGCTACCTCCCGTTCGATAAATGTAGCCAGCACCTCGATGCGTCGTTCTTTGATATTTCCGAACATAGAAAAGGACAGCACAAGAAGGATAAATACAGAGAGAAAGACTCGCAAGTACAATATTTAATTCAATATTATGCTACCAAATATTGACCGATTTATATCGTGTTTAGCCTCATTTTAATCAGAGAAATCTCCCCAACATGATAGTGAAATTTTTATTAACAAAAAGTAAAAAATAAAAAACTTTCTTCTGTGCAGTAGTGTGGTCACACTGACGCGGATATTTAAACTGGGGCGATAAATCCGAGTTTCAGTCCCTCTTTCTTCTTTAGCTACTGACTCTTTCTACGTTCGAAGCGTCGGCAAACTACAATCAAATTCGAAAGACGATTCTCCTATTCCGTAAGTGTTGCTGACCGGACCCGGAGTAGCGACATTTATCGAGTTTTCACTGTATATTCAAAACAATTCGAATAATGCACGATTCTGCTTGGACGTCTCCGGTTCGGTTGTAGGTTAGGAATCGACGTCAAAGCGTCAGAGATTTGCGCAGAAGTAAAGTTTGTTTTCCTCGTCATGGGAACGTCCGCGTATTCTTTCCTCGAAGTGAGTCATATTCGCGTTTCCGTGCGTAATAATTAACATTTAGTGAGAAGAGATGAATCTCGCTAGAAATTATTTCCACGAATGACCGGTTGAGTCACGGCGCGCGGACGGAAATATTTCCGAAAATAAATTGTTCAATTAGCCGACAGATGGCAGCCCGACACCTTTATGCGCCAACAGCAGGATCGGTCGTCGCGCGACATTAATCACATCGAAAGAATAGACATTTCGAGTGCCGCGTGACACTTGTTGCTAAACGATTCATTCGTATCATATTGACTGTCGATCGACGCGCGACCATAGTCGACTCGGTGCAAAAATCACGACGAACAGGAACATTTGTCGACGCAGAAAGAAACAATTTCTCGTAAGATAAAAGCTCGGTATACTTGGTCACATACGTGAAATTTAGTGTTCGTTCAACGAAGTACAAACATAACCTCGAAATCGTTGATACAGATACTAGGATTTTATTTATTTTTTTATAGTTAGACTTATATACTCGAAAAATTCTATATTATTAGTAATAGTTACTATAGTATTTGGCATTTTACCCTAGTGAACGTTTCGGAGGATCGCAGAAAGTACCAATAATTACAGAAAAGACACGTTTGTTGTTGAAAGGTTACTTAGTTTCGTTGTTACGGAAAATAGAGAAGAACCGTAGTGCACCGAGAGACGATTTTACGCTCGAAGTGCGCCTAAGCTAACTTTCTCCACGGGGGAAAAAACCGCCATGGATACACGTTACCTAACCTGTAAAGTCTGCTTTGGAATCGCTGACTCGTGCACGTCGTCCTCTCCCCTCTCTTTTCCGTAAGTTGCTTGCATGGCGCACGCACGCGCATACACACACACGAGCGCGCGCGCGCCTTCCCCGTTCGCTCGCGTACAGTGTACCTTCTCGCTCTTCGCTCCCTTGTCATTTTTATCCGGTACAGTTATTCGAAACAACGCAACTGTCGATACGATCACATTATTTATGCGACACGAGTGAATCCAGACCGTAGAGAAAGAAAGAAAGAAGAAAAACTAGATCTGGATTCTACGACGATAGTTAAATCCTACGATTTATTTTCTAATTCTGGTCGGTATTAAATCGAATGTTCAATCGGTCGGTAGGAAAAAATTAGAGGAAAATTAAAACGAGAAACCTGACCTAGAGACAAACGGTTAAAATTCAAGCTGCGCAGTTCGGATTTCTATTATCGCGGATTTCGATAGAGATAAATTCTCGAGTGGTCTCGAAAAACACGCGATAACGGCCAGGTTCCCAATTTCCCTGGACGTTCCTCGACTCTCTCGCGATAATCGTTTCGAACAACGTCACTTCGTATCGTTGCACCTGATCTTACATCACAGTATACTACGGCAGTGTTTGGCAATTAAACGAAGCTTTGACCTCGGCCGGAATTAGATCCATTTAAACGCGTCATTTCAAAACACAGATATACTTAACTCTTTGAGGATCACTGCTTACTCTCGAACACGTTACGCTTCGAAATCATTTACACGCTCGATGAAACGATCAAAATATTCCAACGCTAAATCCTTTATTTTTGTCAAACTTATTGTATATTTGGTACTCAAGGGGGAGCCACGTTCGCGCCGAAACGCGGTGGGGAATTTCGTAAATTCGGTCGCGTTGCTCGAGGGGGATCGACGGAATCTTCCTGGTCAGCGGATCGTTTCTATCGACCTCTATCGGTATCAGTTCGCGGCAAGGCGTGAAGTAAGGAAAAGGCTTCGAAGAGCCACCATATTGAACCGTTCAAAGTAGAAAGCGGTCGGTGCATGGGGGGACGGCCAGGTCAGACCATTGCTGTCCGTCCGTTCCCTGCAGGGGCCTTGAAAGGAATGCGCGGATAAAAAGAAATCGGCGAGCGAGCACTTTTACACGTTTATAAATAAATGCGGCCGGTGAACCGAGTGTGCTCACCGCAACGCTGTTCTTCTATCACTTAACGTTCGATGCTTATCTCGCGTTTCGGCTCGTTTATGCGTATTGGATCCGATTATCGCCACCTATTACATGCTGCAGTTCATGGATTCCAACTTCGTTTCTTTCCTCAACAGGAAAAATAAAAATCACCCGCTACATTCCTCTGTCGCGACGCAATTTTTTCGTAAAGGTGAAAATTAATCGGCGACACGGTAATTAACAGGCCGTTAAATTTTGACCGGCCTGTTTTATCGACCGTGCTAAAAATCGATGTTTTAATTTTCGCGCCCATAGGTATTCAGTGCATGCGCTGTTCTCATTACACGCCGATAAACGTATTTATAATTTTAACCATACCATTACGTATTTTCCATTGTCGCTATATTTTTTACAACCTTGCAAATTTCTGCTTTTATCGCGACTGGAAGCGATATCGTTCGTTGCGAACATTTTCCTAACGCATCAAACGGAAAAACCCGATACGATATAAAATTTGCATAATAATAAGTCAAATCCGTACCTCGGTTGCGGTTCGCATCGAAAATAAACGATTCTAATCACTGTCGCAAATGTCAAAAAGGGAAAGCGATCTAGGATCGAAGCAACATTGTTAATCGATCGTCGGAACTCACTTTCGAACTATTCAAAACTGTATCGTCGGTCGTACACGCTCGCTACACTTTCCACATTCCTTCGAGAGACACGGCCGGAGAAAACCAGAGAACGAACCGACCGGCGGAATAACTGTTCACAACACGACACGTTCCGCGAATAAAGTCCACGGACGAAACTGTTATTGCACCGCGGACGAAAATTTCGACGGGGAAACGGTTCGCGTACGAGCTCGCGGCGAGAATACTGCGTTTCGCGTGAGACGCAGTCGGTGTCTCGAGCCGATCTGTGCGTCACGCGTAATCGCGGCGTACGTACGACGACAGCCCGTACGACAACAAAAGTGTTATCGGGCGTCGCGTGACGTCACGACTGGCCGAGTGTATACTACCGCGCGGTTCGCGCATGCGCGTCACCCTTCCCCTGAACGGCGGCAGGTTACGCACGCACACCTTCGCGAAGACGCCGTTTGTCTGCCTGTCGCGGACGAGCACATTTAGTGACGAGCATGGCCCGTGCTCAATGAAAACAGTATCACTTTCTCCTTGCGCGCGAACAAAGATGTATAGGCGTTTCTAACGGACCGATTACGCTCTCAAGATTTCAATCATCGGTGAAACAATATATTAAAATTTTTATCCGAACGATAGATTTTTAATATTCTAGTAAATTCCATTAAATCACGATCGACATAACCCGTTTCCTGCAGATACCAGCAATGCGGTTTTATAATCGTTTCAAGTAGATATTCGATTGAAGTGGTCGTCGGTGCCTGCTAATCGACGAGTTACATTTAAAATCAAGTTACGTTGTTAGTAATTTTACACGAGCGCACGGATATCGTTTTGTTTCGCTAGAACCGCATCGTTAACGCTCGGCTTCGAATACCCTTCGCCATAGCAAACAGGTACCGCGCGCGTGTATGCATAAACACGTACGCGCGAAACTCCGGTAAGGATTCCTCGGTGCCTCGTTAATTGCGCCAACGCGAGTACTTTTACTCGCGGCTCGAATAATGAAACGGGCAAGTTTCTTTTTTGAAGCGCGCGCGACCGTGCAACACCTCCTCGCCGCCCCTCTCTCCCTCCTGCCCTTCTCTGTCCGCGGTGCTTTGAATTTCATCCGAATTAATGCGCTTCTTTTAAACGGGCCCTGCGCGCTTTATCTCCGCCTGGCTCGCTCGCGTCGATAAACCCGAGGAGAAAGATATCAATTATGAGAGATATCGACGAAGCGTCCACCATTTACGGTTCGACGATAATCGCAAATTATTCATATAAAATATACATTCGAACGACAATATTTACCGAGTCGAGGAGACTCGTTTTAAAAATAATCAACCGAGGGAATGTTTTACAATATTTTTTGCAAGCATTTCACAAACGTGTGCTGTAAAATATTTAATATAAATATGAAAATGGCAACGAGTCGAAGCGTTATTAAAATCAGAATATTATATTCGAACGTTTCGATCTCGATTTGGATCTTGAGTAAAAGTATTAGTCGAAAATGCAAGAAAAACACGTCAAGGATGTGGATACTACGATATTCTTTTGTGAACAGAGATATATTCCCGAGATAACGTTCTCGAGAGACAAAGATTCTTTAAAATTCATGCTGATAGAGACACCCCTCTCCTGCCTCGGTGGAAGGCTTGTTTCTACGAAGGACGCAGTACCGTTTTCTCGAGACCGTTATAACTTCTCCATTTTTTCCCAGTTACTTATCGCTGTTCTTTTTTTTTAATTCAATTGAATTTCGAGAAATTATGGAAGCAGGTGAAAATTGTTGCAAATCACTACTGTGCAATACGTAAGTTTCGATTAGTCGTTGACACGACATTTCGTTCGAAGAATTCTTATCTACATAAAAATTGTAATCACAGAATGGAATGTTTCGCAACGAACAGGCAAGAATAAATTGCTAAAAGTTGGACTTATTGGTTATCCATTGTTGGAATAAAATTTTGAATTTCAAGCTCCAAAGCGTTTCGAAGAGTATGTTACCGTTGTAATTGCACGAAGCAATCGTTAAATAGGTCGTGGCCATTCGGTCGACTTTCTCCTATAGCCGCAATAAGCGAAGACAACGGAAAAAAGAATCGCTCTTATTTAGAACGACTTTGTTTCCACGGGTAACCGTTACGAGTGGTATCGCGGTGCATCGTGACAACGCCACGACGACGACAGCGACATCTCATCGCCGATAGCTGACACGCGAAACAGTGGGTGAATCCCGACGTTACGATGCTTCTTAAAATAGAACAGGAAAGCAATCGTTTCTTTGCCTTTTGCTTACAATACGTAACTAGTTAATGACTGCTGGCTTTGCACTACTAGTTAAAAAATTTCATTTGTTTCACTGCTATTAGAATCCCGTTAACCGTTAATCGATGATGCGACCATTTTGTTTCATTATCTTTACCGCTAACGAATACATACTTCGTTTTACACTCTACGGTGTACAAGCGCGTACTTTTTGATATTATTGAGGAACATCGAATAATAATTTAGAACTTAACGGGTTAATAACCCTTTTGTCTGTACTCTGCGCAGGAAGTATTCTAACGTGTATGCACGACAAGAAATATTATCATATTTATGTAAGTTTCTCGAGCAGTGGAAAGTGGATGAAACAATTGCTTGCCTCTGTCGGTCTATCGATCGATATAGATATGCTTTCAGAGAGAATGAAGATCGTTTGAGTAGATTGTATCAATAGATTCATACCCAAAGTTTTAATTTTTTTTTGTTATGGAATTAAACGTTGTATACTATTACAAATGTATCGAATTGATATTTTATTCGAATAAATACGTTTTATTACATATTATTATCACCAATGGCTGTAGAAAATATTATAAATTACATACACATTATAAGTAAACGTATGATACGTAAGACTGAAATAAATGAGTCTATTTAAACGTTAACACGCGGCCAAGATTAAAATCGTTCTTGTCTATAAATACAATGGACAAGGGGAAATATACAAGGCGATCGGCCACTTCTGGGAAAAATTTTAATAGGCGATTCTAGAGGCCCAAATTTATTTTGGAATTTTTTTTCTCCAAAGTGCTTAGGATTTCAGGGGGTATGTGTATTGACCAAAAATGATTGTAACTGTCTCCCGCAATCAAACATAATTTTTTCAAAACGATTCGAAATTTTTTAATTTTGTCGACATTTCTCGAATTTTTTTCTCGAAAGTGCGTAGGATTTCAGGGGTATGTCTATTGACCAAAAATGATTGTAACTGTACCCCGCAATCAAAAATAATTTTTTTAGAACGATTTGAAATTTTTTAATTTTTTCGAAACATATCGCACCTTCTCGAATTTTTTTCTCGAAAGTTCGCAGGATTTCAAGTGTATGTCTATTCACAAGAAATGATTGTAATTGTCCCCCGCAACCAAAAATAATTTTTTTACAACGATTTGAAATTTTTTAATTTTATCGAAAAATTTCGCACCTTCTCGAATTTTTTTCTCGAAAGTTCGCAGGATTTCAAGTGTATGTCTATTCACAAGAAATTATTGAAATTGACCCCCGCAAACAAAAATAATTTTTCCAGAATGATTTGAAATTTTTCTAATTTAATTTTTTAATAACTTTCGAGCATGAAACAGTTAGGATGGGATAATTTTTCCAAGCAATTTGTTGTGAAAGTAAATCTCTAAACGGGCGGGCCAATTAGGTTACTGCAGGAAAGACCCACTTTCTATAAAACCAAGGACTTCGCCGCGACGCAGACGCGACATAAAACTGCCACGCGTCGAAAACTGTTGATAATCGTGCACGGTGGGTTTAAAGGAGCCCGGACAAGGAAGCGAAAGTGGCAAGAAACGAGGGAACACGCGATTACGATTATTACGTACTGGCAAAGCCGTACGGCAACCGAGTCTTACGTCAAATCGAATCGACCTGGTGACGCGTTTGCTAAGTTTATGAGCCGTAAGCGGTGATTATATGACCTTGGTTCGTCGCCAGTCTTCGTTGCTTACCGTGCAACGCGTTTCACATTAAACAAATTGCACGCTCGTTTATTGTAAAAATTCTAAAAAAAAATTCGTAAAAATTCCAAACACTCTAAAAAAAAAAATTTTTTAAACCATATTCTAAACACAGAGAATTAAATTTTACACTGAATGTTGGACAAACACCGTCCCCGTCCGATAAAAAACAAATTTAATGAAATCTTGTAATTTATATATTCGTAAAAATATCGTTCCATTTGTACAATTATGTCCGTGTTAATTCGTTTGCGTGGGTCTCGTTGAAAGTTCCAGCAATTTATGGGAAAAATGTTTAATGCATCGTTTTTATTTTTGCCCCGGTGTTGGCTCTCCGTAGTTTCCTTTTATTTGGTTAAAAACAGTTCCAACAACAAACGAGAACACTGCGAAGAACGCGCGCTCCGTTGCATAATACTGGCGATATTTGAAATAAAAATAACGCGCTCGATATGCAACAGGTTGAAAAAAATTCGACGAACATAAAAATCCGATAAAATTTCTGCGAATTTTCTATTCGCCGAAAACAGCTCGTATAACAGGGAAACGACGAAAATGTCGCACACCTCACTTTCTCCGAATCGCCGGCTTCGCAATAACGCAAAATTCCCTAGACTCGACGAGCAGAATTACCAACACGAGACATGTTATTCGGAATAAAAGTTCTTCGTAACTGTTACGAAAACCTAAACACCTACATTATAACAGTTTTCGAGTCCAGCCTCTAATCGATGACCTCCTCCACTCTTCGTGCACGTTATTTATTATTCGAGCAAATTACACACGCACAGATACCGTATTATCAACGGGCAGATTCGACGCAACAAGCTCCGCGAAATTAATTGTAAAAAAAACAAAAAAGAATCGATGATATTTTCGTTGACACCGAT